ATGAGTTGATCTGTTCTGGCGGCTTTTTTCTAGCCCGCCGGTGGCAGTCGGCGGCATCAGTCTGCGGTTGATTAAATAGACCCAACAGACAGGCACAACATCAGCTCCATCTGAAACACACTGGCTAGAGGCAACCGGTGTTGGTTGCAGTGCATTAACAAAAAGAGAACACATGAACATACATAAGCCCGACCACATTATAGCGCTGTCTGAGCGATTTTTTCGACCATATATCTCTCTGTTGTTATTTCAGGCCTTTTGGATTTTTTGTTTTCCACAATTCGGGTCTGCAGTTGTTGCCTTCCCCTATTTGGTTGGCTTCCAAAATAGAAATTATCGATAAGCTCGCAATGGAACTCAGGTGTATTGGTGATAAATAGGAAAACGTAGCCGTTAACTTTTTTTCTATAATTGTGACGTATGCTGCATAACGGTACTAGTCTTTATCGCATACTTAAGCATACATGTGTAGACGTTTAGTTGGAGAGCTAACAATCTATTAATGGGTTATTAGTTCTACACTAATCATCTTTCAAAATACGAGTTAAAGTATTTCAAGGGTAGAGTTAGATCTGGTTAGTTCAGTATCTGAAACTTAGAAACCACCATTATTTTTTGACAACATAAGACAACTTTGCCAGCTCTCTGAATTTATTAAAAACTCGCCAATCCCCGAGTGAACATTTATTTGTGTGGTGACGCCACCGAAAATGTTCATACCGACTGGTCCATCTGATAATACAAATATATATATAAAAAGTTGATCGCGCACGCACATACACTCCCCTCACCAGTAGGAGAGTACTGAAAGCGGGCTTTCGTCACCGACTTGGACTTCCGTCCTCCGTAAAAACTACGTGAGAGTATATAACGTGGGGGTATTGTTTAAACTTCGTGTACGTGTTTAGCTACGTTTAATTAATTTCATTTGTGTTATGCTGCTCGACGGCTTGTTTATTATGCAATCATACACATTTCTGAGCAATTTGCATATCGATTTTGGCGTTTTGTTTATTGGGTTTTCAGTGCCTTTTCCCGGCATTAGCACCACCTCGATAATTGGCCACTGAGCGGATCTCTAAGCTAAATAGTGAAAAAATCGAGTGAAAATTACATTTTCATGCAACAGAGACCCGGCAATGCGGCGTCGCCACACAAGTTAGTACAATAAAAAGTCAGTCTGAGCGCACATTCTCAGTTTTATTGTAATTGCGAAGAGCGATTTTAGTGGCGATGATGTAATCGTAGCCGACATCGACCATCGACCGCCGTCTGACGGAGTACTGGAGTGCCGGAAAGTTGTGGCAGAAGTTGTGGACCCGCAAACAAACTGGTTGGAGCTCGCTCGAATTTGAAATACAAACAAACAATACAAAAACACGGGTTGCGATGAATAAAAACCCGTCCAGCTGCCAGGGGGCAAGTCCAAGGTTACTGTAGCCTTTTTGAACTCCACAGCAAAAAAATTTCAAACAATTTTTGAAATTGAAAGGAATTTGAAAATTCTATGTTTTTTTTCAGAAAAAGGGAGGACGGTCAAAAGAATGGGCCTCCAAATTTTCTAATTTTTTTCGATCTTATTATGGTACAGAATAGAATAAGATGCTTTTCATTACAACATATTCTTCATTTGTTAAAAAAAAGCCTAAAATTTGTGGCGCCATTTATCGATCCACACCTTATTTAATTATCACATAAATATTCTTTCATAACCATTTGAGATTTATTTTTTTCTGTGTGGTAATAAAAGGCCTTTTCGATTCTTTGCCACTTCCAAGCTGAAAGGTTAAACTGCAGGGCAACGAAAATATTTTAATTAATTTCAGCCGCGCCCGAACGACCCTAACCTTAGAGAAAAATAAAATCGAACATTAAAGCAACATGCTCAAAAAAGCCAAAAGAAATCGAATGGAAAAAGCGTTGAGCAAAACGCTTTGAACTGAGAGACGGAAAACGACCTTCGTCACTGACACTACATGCATCCAATGCGCACCGCGCGAGTTCAACCCCGGAGCAAGTGCGTCAGATCCTTGACAGTCGCAGTGCCTGGATAATGGCGAGGACAAAGCAGGTCAAGGCGACGGGCGGAAACAGGTGGAACACAATAGGGGAAACGCCACTTCAAACTGGCTGGATATGAGCACAGCTAGACAATAAATAAAACCGAAAGCAAACATCGCCGCTCTCCTGTGCATTCCACGCCCACAGGCTTCACCCACGAATGGTTCTGTTTATACACACAAACATTTTTAGTTTTGGAAGAGCAACAACATAATATACACAAATCTATAGGCAAATGTGTATGAACAGTTGTGGCCATAAAAATAGCACACTGAGTAAGTCAATATACTGTTATTTGAAGGGATGTCGGGAAAAGGAAGTAAATAAATGTAGGAGTTTTAGACTTCAAATAGGGACTCCTATTTCTTTCAAATATTCGTGTATTCTTAAGAAAGCTTATTAAATTAGGTTTTAAATAAGATCAGAATTTGGGTTTTGGGGCAATACCTTTTCTATAGAAGATCTATTGGGGATTGTTATTGGTAAACCCTTTCAGGTTTTTAATTTTTCCCTGATGTTATTATAATTAGTTTTGGGAAAACTTCTAAAATTAGGTTTTAATTTGAAATGAAATGGATAGGTTTAGATATGGCCGCTATTGTACATCGTTATAGCAAGTATTACTCATCAAATTTGAATTGCTTTGCAAGTGTTTTTTTATGCTGTGCTACCTGACGCACCAAATAACGAGCCGCCACACACGTCCCAAAGTTCGTTTAGAGTTTTCGGTGTTTCGGTCAATTTGAAAGTGCTTCCTGTATGCTTATTAGACGAAAAGTGAAAAGAGCACCCGTACGTGCATACACAAGCAACGCACAACAGCATCTGATGACGCTGCGTCTACGAAAATAGCATTCAATTAGGCAAGTGGACAGATTGAAGAGCGGGTGAGAGATACGACGGTGGAGGCACGACATAAGAGGAGATGCCACTTTCTATGCAAGTGCTCTGACCTATATAACCCCGCCTGGGACTGGGAAATGCCCCGAAATACTATGAAATGCAGGCGAATGCACAACAGGCACGAACAAATCAACGGACAAAATAAATGAGAAAAAATCCGACTAAATGAGTGAGCGGGTGGTGGGGCGAGTGGGTGGGTGAGTCTTGTTTGCCCCTTTCGCTTTCATTTGAGCACAGGAAAACGAAAAAGGAAACCCAGTGGAAGTCAATGTGCTTGTCAGAGGGGTTCATGTCGAGCAGTTGTTGTGGAGATGTTGTAGAGGCTATATGGCCATTGTTAAGCCTTTTGAGGCGAGGAGCCACTGTGGCATATTATGGGGATCTCCTCCCATCAAAATCGGCGTCCACTTGCCGGCACCATGGAGTCCAAGTCAATTAGACATTTTAGACACGCATGCAGTCAGGCCCAAGTTACACTCGGAAAAATGATACATATCAGATCTAGGGACTATAGATTTTTTCCTTTTTGATAAATATTTAAGAACTCTTTCGAAATATCTGAAGTAGGCCTACAAATCACTAATTCTTATAAGAAGTCCCCATTTTTTCAGTGCATCTGAATGAACTCAATTAGGGCCAGTAGCCAGAAGCAGAGTAATTAATCATTGACAATAGCCGAGTACATGTCTCAAATAACGGTAGAAAAGGCCCTTTCAGCAAGAAACGTTGTAAAAAAAAGCTCATTCACATCGAACGGCTTACAGGTTATTTGAGAGCAGAGCTGCTCTCACGGCGGGACGCCCTAACGGTATCGTGTGTAATTGCAGTTGCATGCACAAGCACTTTGAGGTTTATTCGGTCAGGTTTTCCGATTCGCTCGACTCACCTCGCCCTGCTCCTCCGGTAACCGCCCCAAATTTGGGCCAAAAAAAGAAGAGGCATAAACATAAAAAAAAATATATAATAAAAACGAAAAACACGAAACTTGTTCTTACAACACTGACGTCATCGCCGAAGTCGCAGCTGAGAAATTGAGAATTCAAATAGGGAGTGGACTCATATGGAATCATATGTAGTGGGGCGCGAGCCAGAGAGAGGATCCAGCTGGGCAGTATTGATTTGGAGAGGGTACGGGTACGGTTCGAAACCACTCCCGATATGCCCTGCTAATGCCGATAATGGCATGGCATAGTGGTGCTATCGGAGGAGCACCTTCACCACCTTCTGCTACCGCTAGCCGTAACCCACCCACCCCCCAACCCCCCTCGCTTTGACTTTGCGCAGTCTTTCTCACGGACACACCAGCAAAGCACCGGAGTATCTGTGTGTCGGCAGATAACTTACCCATGGCGAGATACAGCTACGAGCTACGAGTGCTTCAATGGGGGAGGGAAACACACTGGCACACGCACACACACTACGATGAGGAGGAAAGCACAAATACACGCGCACAGGTCACCACTACTTCCTCTTCACTTCACTAACAAAATTTTTCTTCTGCTTAGATTTTTTCTATTTGTATCTTTCGCCGTATGCATTCGCAATATGCGTTGCTTAGCCGAGAAAGAGTGGTTGCTTGTGGTATGGATGGGTTTGGGTTTTAGTGGTTGTGTGTGTGTTCGGAATTTAGCGACTTTCGGCTCGATTATGTTGCGTATTTCGCTCTCGTGGGGCCACAATTTCAATTCGCCGACAACGATCACAGTGGAAAATGGTGGTTTCTGAGTGCTAAAAAGACAGATTCTCAGTAGGAGCTGCGAGCAGAAAAAAACACCGCACCGCAACGACACCGACGGCAGCAACGAAACGACTAAGTATCTCAGATACGCCGCGAAAGAGCGCTCAGATTCACCTGGGGATGACAATCCACCCATAGATACTTTTGGTCTATCGATTATTATTCGATGTCGATAACGGGAATCGAATAGAAAAACCGTTGAATAGCAATCGTGGAAAGCCAAAATCAAATATTTTTTGAAGTTGGTTTTTAAAAACTCTTCACATATTTCAATTGCATTAAGTATAAATGAAACAAATTTTTACCGTTGAAATTTTACTTAAAACGTTTATTTAAATATGTGTTTTGTTTTCCATGCATTTTGCGTGTACATTTGCACAATAAGCTTTCTTAGAAGGTAGTAATAGTAATAATAATTTTAATAACATTACTAACAAAAATAATAATGAGATAAAATTCCATATATAATACAATTAGAATAAAATTCATTATATTATTGGCCCTTTGTTCAACTTTCTAGAACCGTAGGATTTCTATATACGTAATATATATTTATATATAATATTTATAGGCATGAATGTATAATGATTCATAATTCCAAAAAGTGTTTTAAAAACTATCAATAAACTTTTCAATGACGCCCATTTAGAAACATTCATATTCACCCAAATATTCTTACATATGTGGTGTGTGGGCTACACCGTTTAAAATTTAATAGTACATCGAGATTTTCAATAATATAAGCCCCTCCTCAGCCTGGGATTCTTGGGTGTTTACAACATCTAGCACATACGCATATAATTTTTCGCCTAAACTGCCGGCATCAAAATTCACTTAATGGATTGTTTCAGATGTGAGTGTAATTAGATCTACCAGTGTATAGCTTCAATTTCGTTTACTTTATGGTCTACTCCTACATTGCCTCGTCGACCCAGTGTGTGAATAAATTTGACTAAAATCAACGAACGTTGAATTGGGAACGGATATGATATATATAAGTCAATCAATGCGTTTCGTACACTTCTGCTTAACCTTTGGTTTGCCTTCAATTTAGTTACAACTACAACTTTTTAACTGCTTGCAAATATGAATATGTATTCTCTATAGTTTCCATTAGCGAACTGCGAGTGCATGCGGGTAGGATCTGCACTTCATTCTCTTGTTTCATAATCCTTTTTCTATGCGAACCGATTTGCCAAAAGTACAAAAAGGATTTTCAAATATATGCGCAAATTACTGTTCTGAAACTTGTTTAAGAATGTCCCGGTTCTATTCCTCATCTGAGTCTCCATCACTCGAATAGTGTGTGATTTGCGGGCGGCGAATAAAAGGTGCGGTTATCACCTGTCTAAAGAAGTTGATCAAAAGAGTTATTTAACTATATTGCTTCCTCGTTTAGTACTAGCTTACGCAATGCGACGGTAGTGATTCAGCCACTCCTCCAGCATCTGTGCCACAAGGAGAGGACGTTTTCCAAGCTTTTGCTGTGCCACTAGCAGGCCGCCGTCAGTTACACACACGTCCAGCCACTGGCGCATCATAGACTCTTCATTGCCAACCTGTACAATATTATAAATATTATTTTCTGGTTAACTTGCAAGCTACTGCACATGATTAATATCTAACCTCAGATTGTGTGAGGAAATGTATTGGCAAGAGTTTCAGCTCGCAGTCCATCAACGGCAGATAGGTCACATCCTCGACATCATCGCGGCGTCCATCGATGCGGGTAAAGGGTTCCATCGGCACCAGTGCACTGAAGTGCCCGCGAGTGTAACCCAGGGCGATTGGCGACTTGGTACAGAAGTTTTGATCCCATAACAAAGGCAAATATACACCTAAAAAGACATCGTTGCTTACTTAATGACAATTTTAATTAAAAGCAATGACCACTGACCTTCGAAACGGGCATAGCCGATGTCTTCACCCCGAAAGCTCTTCACGTACTTCACCCCGTACACAATGATTGGACGTCGCAAGATGTGTGCCAGAGCAAAAATGTGCAGTTGTTCCAAGGACGAGCCAGGCTGACTGGCCAGTGACAGAAGTGTGCTCCAGTCTTCCTCCCATTGCGAGTCTTCCAAGGTGAAGTGAAGCATCGCAGCCTGAAGCATTTCGTACTCTTTCCAGCGCGCAAAGAATCTGAATGAAAAGGAAAAAGAGATTACAGATAGTTCTTGATCACCTAGTATTATTTATTTTATACTTACACATGACCACATTGATGCAGTGTATCGGCCAAGGCCCTTCTCAGTATGTTGTCGCGGTCGAACACGCCCCAGGTGGCCTGCATGGCGGAGTCCAGCAAGCAATCGCCTGCGCTGCGATTCCACAGGACAAACATGCGAGAGCTGAGACGAGCTGTGATCTCCATGGACCAATTTAGAGCCGGTGGTGGGTTCTCCAGCTGTTTTTGGGCGTCGCGATCAAGAAGCTCATCATATAGTTGCTCCTGAATGGGAATCGGTAGCTCCTCAATCTCGGCGGGGAGGGCAAATGTTGCATGCTTCTGCACGTAGTGGCAGGAGAGTCCCGACTTGCGCAGGCGCAGAGTATTGGCAAAGTGGCGCCGAATATCCGCTGCCAAGTCTGGAGCCACATAGGACGGCACGCGCTTAATGCCCGGACCCGATCCGGATATCTGAGCCAGCAGCATGGGCAACATCTCTTCGCGGTGAAATCGAATGGCCAGGTGTATCAACGTGTGGCCCACATCGAAGGCCGAGTTCCGATTTAGGGCAGCAATCTCCGTGCTGGTTAAAGAGCGTGCCGGATTGCCGCCACATGAAAGATACGCCTCCACGGCACTGTAGTTGTTTTCCACGACCCCCAGGCAAGCGTTCAACCATTGCCAATCTACCTGACGCCGGATCTGACGCTGTCGGCGCTCCTGTCGCTCTTGCACCGTATCACAGTTGTTGATGGTTTCCGAGGAACCTACAAGTAGAATGACAATGATAAGTAATACAAGTAGTAGTTCATTAACTCAGTTACTTACCCAGTTGGTAAATGTGTTTCTTATTAAAAGAATTATTGACACTGACGGTATCCACACTTTGCTGCTGTTGCTGTTGTTGTTGATGCTCCTCCTGAATGTTCAAGCTAGAAGAGGCATGCAAGTCGGTCTGTGACCCAGTGATTTCACGCTCCCTTGTTTTGCCGCACATTGAGCACTTGATGCTCCTCGGCCAATTCTCATAGGTGCAGGACTGTAAAGAAATCTTTATATTGTGGCATTTTAATGGCGGTGATGGAATGAAAAACATACGTTACACGCCCATTTGGACACAAAGCATGGTTTTTTCTGGGGCGATACCGTTGACAAGGCATCCCGTTGCTGAGGAGGATGGTGATGTTGTTGTTGATTAACAGGATGTTGAGTCTGGGATTGCAACTGGTTGTGGGACGCATTAGTGAGATTGTTTAGGTGCGTAGCATCATCAATACTTGGACTAAGGGTCAAACGATTGGAGGCTGTGGCTCCGATTAGAAGTTGGGTCGGCTTGTTGCCAGCCAATTCTGTGTCCGAACCACTGATGCGCATTGCCTGCAATGCCTCGCCGGCCCTATCCGCGTCAGCCTCGTTGTCGTGATCTTTGTTGCTGGACGCCCGCTCGACAGCGTCTCCGCCGCGTTTTGTGCAACACTGGATGCAGCGAAGGCTGCGTGGCCAATTCAGATAGGTGCACACCTTACAGGGCCACTTTTCACTATCAGCCACATTGCTTTGGCGCGCCTGGTTCTGCGGCTGCAGGGAGTAACAGGTTGATGTGGGGGAGGGCTCCACTCCAGCCGCCTCCTCCGCCGCACAACTGCTCTCCTGGGCAGGGCTCAGCCTGCGTAAATGGGTAGTTAGTTAATCGGAATCTGGGTCAATGTCTTACTATTTTTTACTCACCGAAAGATATCCTCGTTGAGCAGCGGCTTCGACGCCTGGCACATGGTGCACTTGAGTGAGGATGGGTAGTTCTCGTAGGTGCAGATGTCACATTTCCATTTCTCTGCATCGTCTTTGGTATCGCACATCGTTTTGTGCGCGGAGCCAGCCACAGCGATGCAGTTGTTCTGTCAATAAAAGGAAAATGGCTTTTATTTACATGGCATTCTTTCGGGTGGGCCATTGTTCTTACGATAATACCATAAGAAAATAAGTAAAGTAGCTAGGTGTGTTTTGCACAGATCTTTGTCAAGCAAACACATAGCCAAGTCAATTTTATGTTGATTTTGAAGAGATAAGATCAGAAATTATGTCTATTAATTTCGTAAATATTTTACGTTACTTTACGGACTGAAGTCTTAATAATCTCGGATGAAATTAAAGAAATGAAGCCTCGCTGCTGTCAGCCAGTGTTCTATTCCTATTAATAAGGTCAAACAACGGGTAGGGAAGCAGTGTCCTTGACCCTGAGACATAATTTGCAGCTACAACTACGGAGGCAGATATGTACATCTGCATTGGCTTGATTTCCCACAGTGTCGTCACAGTTAGCCTTCGCTTCGGGTCTGGGATTGCAATTGTTTGTTGCCACTATTTGTATGTATGTCGTGTTATGTATGTCAATTTTGCATTGGGAAAGCTAAACAGGGGGATGGGTGCTGGGTGATGGCAAGGAGTGGGGAGGGTTTCGCGCTAGTTTCTTATTGGGATTCTCCTCGTGCCAGCCAATCCAATCCACATCATATCGTCGCACAGTACCTGGCGCAGAAGTTCGCAAGGCCTTTTGCAGCAGTCCCAGACTGCTATTCGATTTGAATATATATGCGACACAATCACAAGCAAATCAGCCCGCGAGTGCTATGCCATACAAGATACAACTACACCCCGCACCCGCACCAGCGTCACTGTATCCGATCTCCGTTCTGTCCAATATTGCCAGTAATACGGGCGGCTGGCAGCAAAATTACAATTACAAAACAAAGACAAGGCAAGAGAAAACTTTCACTTGATTTTCGATTTGGCTTTTTTTTCTGTTGTAGTCGTTTAGTAATAGAGTCTTTGATGTGGTACACTTTCACAATAACACACACGCACTGGCGTCGATCCGAAGTGCAAGGAATTTGGAATTTGGATTTTTTGGAAATAGCTAATTATTTATTTTTTACATTATTGCGAGGGCAATACGTGTTGTTGTAGCGATAGTCACGACCAGTCAGCTGTTGAACTAGCACGAGGTGTCGATTCATCGGAGCAGTCACGAGTCACGAAATAGTGTTAGAAAACACCTAACTTCTACAGAATGCGGTCATTTATCGGGTTTTCAGACTTTTTCAGTAATTCTCGGATTTTATCAAACTGAAAGCAGCTTTTAAACCTGAATTCTATTTCTTTTATGTCCCAAAACGTTGGAGATTGATTATTGTGTATAAAATTATCGATAGTACGAAATACCGATAATATCTAAGTCTATCGCGATCTGTATGACCCACCCACCTCTAGCTCGAGGCGGGAGCTGTACAAAAATCGTGATTTCTATTCTCCAAACAAACTATAAAAACAATGGTTAAAAAACGAACAGAGCCTTGTGCTCACAAAAAGCCAACCACCAGAATCGTTTTGCGTAACAAGAAAACTACAAATAACAATGAAGATGCGGCAACGCCGAGGCAATTTGCGCTGCGTAAATGCGTTGTTAAAATCAGACGCCTACGGCTTCGGAAAAACACCCCTTCAAAGGAAGAGCAGAAGTTTCCCGATGCTGTGGAAAACAGCTCCTTCGAACCGGCCCGGAACTCTACAATGTGCGCTCCTGAACAGATAAATACCCCAAGCCCGGTAAAAAGGGTTCAAGGTACGTGCGGATATACACTTTTTAAGCTTAAACTAATCACATAAACCTTTAAACAGTGCGCCTGAAAAGAATTGCAACATCGCCACCGAGTGCGGAGCCTTCCTCCTCAAAAAAGTCACGCTTTTTTCACAGAGAGGACAAAAATCAAAGAACAAGATCGTCTGTGACGAGAAACGTTTACGAGTTCCTTTCCGAATCGCAAATAAAAGATGACAATACCCGAAACGACCCCGCGGCTGACATAATACAGCGCATGGTGAACGATGGCAAGGCTTGCTTGATGATGCGTTCGAAAAAGGATGGTAAAACTCGAATCAAACCTATAAAGAAGAAAATTAGGCCAGTGGGAAAAAGAAGGCAGGTTTCGCTCAAGAAATCAGAAATGGCCAATGGAAAAGACCAGCAACCCAGTGAACCTCAATTGAGCTGCCCAACTCGCGCCATGTCTCCTATTTACGAGCCCTTAGACGAAGATGTGCATGCAGAACCTGTCCAAGTTCCCGAAAGTCGGTCGACAGCCAAGCCAAATACATCCAAGCAGGCCAGTGATGGTGCTTACAGTACTTTAGCCCGGTCTGTTCTTCTTAATCAAACGAAGACACAGGACAACCAGCAATCGAAAGACAAGCGGCGCGAATTACTAAACATAGCCCGTCAGTTGATCAGCACACCCTTGAACCGTAAGACAGCCCCGATCCCTGGAAATATATCTACCACCACAGCTATATCCCCTATTCCACGGCATTCACCATCGGGAAGTGCATCTCCCTGGCGCGTTTCCGACGAGTCGGCCATGCCAAATACTTTTGTGTTTGGCTTCAATACATCCCAACTCCCATCTTACTCCAGTGACCATATTCGCCGAAGACATGTCTATGTACCGGATGAGCCCCGTAACCAATCAAATGAGTCTAATTGTCCGGCTATGCAAGATCAACGAGTAGAGTCAATAACTAATGAGTCGAACGAGGAGAACATGCCGCCTCCGATTCCCAATACATCACAAGCCCCCAGTTACCAGGTTATCGATACGAGCGCAGAAGACGTTGAGAACTATGTTCATTTGCCAAATCCCCGAAGAACCCAGCAGAAACGCACGCCCTTTAAAGATATTAACATACTAGATGTGGTTGTGCTGCCCTCATGGAAGAAGAATATTCAAACCACACCCTCAAAGGAAGTGACACCTTCAAGGCAGTTTAATTCCACAGCAATCGAAAAGTCTGGAGCTCAATCATCACCCAGTCGGACTCAAACGAGGGTGAATCTTTTCGGGTCGCTAAACGAAAAGAGTCCAAGGCAAACGGAAAAACGAAATCTTTTCGGATTTGAGGAGTTCCTTAATGATAGTGTGGTAACCACAGATTCCTCACCTTCAGGAAGTCAAGATGTGACATTGCATGATAAACTCCAGCGCTTGGCAGAAATGCGTCCTTCTAATCTCCCTCTAGTTTCCAATTCTCCCCTGCGTCGCGATACCCTTAAAGAGTTCTACACAAAACAGCAGGATATTCGAGATGTTTTCAGCTCCACAATGGTGCATCAAAGTCGCCCACGTCCAAAAAATGCACTGGTTGCAGACGAATCCGTAGGACTTTTTAAAGAGCAAGAAGAACCAGATGTGACATTTAACGAAAAGGTATGGGTCTATATAGAAGAATATTTTATTTTATTATTGGTGCCAAAAAGGTGAAGGCATTGCAAAGTAATATATGTCTACATCAGCCAATTGGCGCTAAATTAATCTTAAACTGGGGCAAGTTAAGGAACTCAGTTGAGCTAACAGGGCCGCAAAGACTTTAGTGTTATCTTTGAACGGTAGTAAGCAGCTCGCACAAAATATCCATATTTTCAAAATATTAAGTAGTATGATTATAGTGATATATTATTCATAAAATCATCTTTATTTGCAGAAACCAAGGCGAACGTACGTAAGGGAAAGACCAAAAAGAAAGCGGAAACAGAGAGTGCAGCTTCTGTACGTAGATAGTGAATCTTCAGAGGATGAGGACGAGCAGGACTCGCTCAATAATAGTTTAGTATCTCCGCAAAAGAGCCGTCCGCATAAGCGTTCCCGCAAGGACATTGAACATGAAGCTCAATTGCAGGATTTTATTACCAGTTTCAACAAGCAGTGTGAAGAAGTTGAAAAGTTTCCAGTAATCATTGAATAATCTTATTTAAATTTTTTTTTTTAATGTTTTGGTGTTTTTGCTAATTTGTTTATGTACCTTTTTGTTTTGTCTAACAACTAATGATTTCTTTCAACAACGTGTTCAAGAAAAAATTTAGCCTAAAGGATAGGTTTATGTAATGGCTTATGACTATGTTATTCAAATAAAAAAATTCAAAAAAAAAACATAAATGGGTTTATTTTTAGAATCAACGTCGTAGATTTTCAATCAATGGACACACTTCCAGCATTTCTAAAGTTAGCTCCCTATAGAAATTTCAAACACGGTAATTATTACTCAATTTTGTTTATTATACAGTAATTCCATAAGGTCTTAAGGTTATTGTTTATTTCTTCAAAGTTCTATTGAATCAATATCGATAAATATACATGTGCATAAGTCATACTTTAGAAAACATACTTTATTTAAGAGTTTAAAAATTAAAACATAGGCTTCCTAATACCTAATTGGCCGTTTTCTGGGTTACATATTCTTTTCTTTCTTTTTGTGGAAACTTCATTTTTTGTTTACTACAAGGTCCTAGAAAATCAGACAGTCGAGTTCTCGCCAATCGCTTTTCATAATGGCATCATGTTTGAATTTTGAAAAAGAATGGTCAAAAATGAATAATCCGATATGGGAATGATACTATAAAATAAAAAAAAAACGCCAAATCGAAAATCAAAGAAACCTAACATTAATTAAGAAATGATATTTAACCTTATACACTCGGAAAAGTTTTCATTCGCTTATACAAATCCAAAGTTCTTGGATTTAATGGCCATCAGCATTTTACTGCGTAAAATTGATTTGCTGGAGTACAGGGGAATATACAGCCGAGATATACAGGTGTTAGCAGTCGGGAGATGGGAGTCATCCGCAGGTCTGATGGTGACAGATGGTAACGGTTGGAATCCCTCCTCCGAAGCAGGCAGAGCTGGTGAGCCAGTCCAGAAGTATACCTTAATGACGGATAAGAATAGGAATTAGAAACATATTCGTTGTGCTTCTCGAGTATATGATGTCTTACCAAGTCTTGGCGTTCCAAAGTGTTCATTTTTTCCACTATACTCCAAAACCATTTCTTAAATTTCAAAAGTTTATCCGGACCCTCGCTAGATTCGTCGTTAAAGGTGGTATAGGAAATCAAGGTTGAGACATTAATATCGCCAACACCGTTCAGCAGAAGACGCAGGTCCTCTGCGGTCAAGCTATTCATGCTGTTGTCAGGTAACACGTCGAAAACTCCGTCTTTGAGAGCCTAATAAAACCAGAGATCGTGTTCAGATTTATGTTTTTAAACATTTTGTAGTATAAGTATTTACCTCGAGTGCCTTTTCCTGGGATTTTATTAACCTATATTCTGTATAGCGTCTTATGTATTCAAAAATGTTACTAGAAGTGACCGCTACGTCTCGACCACCGGGGATAAGCTCTCGGTTTCCACAACCCTCCTCCTTCATTAGATCGATTCTGCAATAAATTTCCATTATCGTTATACCTTCAGTTACTCCATAGTTATAATGATCTACTTACACAAAACATAGCTCCATTCTATTGATATTTTCTTCGCCTTCCTTAGTTTGGGCGTTTTGGATAATTTGCCTAAAAGATTCGTACAGAGCCGGATCGAAAAATGCCAGATCATGGAACTTTATTTTGCGTCCTAGAATGTATTTCAATACATGTCTTTGCAGGAACAATGGAAGTAGTTCATTTTGCAGTAAGCAAAGTCCGATAAGTCTGAAAAGTAAAAGAAAGTCTTAGAAAGATTCATCAAAGACTGAAATGGTTGAAGAATGTTTACCTTCCAATATTTCTAAATGCATTAATGCGTTCAAATGAAGCGAAACCCTGGCGTGGAGTGTAGAAGCCACGTTTGCCCGGGGAATAAAACAATGGCTCGTTATCATCGTCCACTGGCTCAACAAGCACAACGGATGGTAATTTTTTTGGTTGACTACTTTGCGCATTGGCATCCGTTTTTTGTTTAAAGGTTATAATTTCAACGGCTTCATTCACTTTCTGACGCAGGGTCTCGTCCGAGGACAGAACTGACAGGAGCTGGGGCGTTGGTATCTCCAGAAGCATTCCAGTTATCTTCGGTGCATGCGTTGGATTTAATGAGTGTATCTATCAAAAAGATATTTCTTTATAATTTGCCATTAAATTTTAACCACCAGACTCACCTTCGGGTACAGGCGTTCACCCAGTTGTTGCAGGTGGACGGACAAATGATCATTCATTGTCTCCGCATTCGAATTATCTATTTGAGAAAAGCAATGATGAAAATGAACCATAAAATGCGTAAATATCAGAATTTACCGGCGCTATTCAAGGGGGTGTACGGTCTGGCATCCACATTCAAAATCTTTCGCTCGCGAGCCGTGCGCCACAGGATCTTGCTGCTAGTGCCGCGGCGCTGCAACGTTGATGGTTCGCGACTGGATCCGGAGACAGTGCGGCTGCGTAAAATACTCGAGAACGGCACACCATACTTGCTGTGAGTGTTGCCCACCTGGACTGATTCCAAACTGGGAATCTTGGCGCTGGCCAGCAACGCCTCGGCAATGGATGTATAGAAGCTACGCGCCACGCCTGAACCTTCACCGGGTTCGTCCTTGAATGTCACCTTCACCCGGTTGAATGTGATGGGCGGCTGGGAACGTCGATTCTGGTTTCCGAATTGGGTATTCAATTCCTTGAATGTCTGTATAATCAGATTCTCCCGATTGCGCTCCAACTTGCAAAGCACCAAGTCGCGCTGCTGTCCATTGCGCAGCTTTTCCATGTGACGACGGAATCGCATTTCCTTTACTGGGAAACCACGTAGCTCTGGCAAGACCGAGCCGTGCTCCATTCCAACATCGTCCATGAACACGCGTCCAAACAGATCCAAGGTGAGCTTCCAGCGGCTGAGCAAAAAGTTCCAAGATGGCAGCTCAGAGAAGCTACTTTGATAAAACAATGAACCTCGAAGTGGGAAACTTAGTGGCTGGTGCGTCGACTTTTGGTTCTGGGTATCACATTTAACTTGTTCCGGAGTCGAGGAATTGGACGAGGAAGCGCTGCTCATATCCGAGTCCATCGACTTCAAACAGGATCCTCCAGCCAATACAATAACGCTGCGAGCAGGAGTGGCCTTATTTGGTGCTATGATCACTTCCGGGCGAGTTGCCATTAATGCTTCAGTCGATTTGCTAGTGCTTGGGACATTACTAATGTCATCCGTTTCCATTAATACAACTTTGTCGAACTTGCTATTATTTCCTGTTAGCCGAGAGATAAACCAAGGTAAGTATTAGAATTCAAAAAACAGACAGCATTACTCACCGTCAGCCTCTTTGTGGGATTTAAAATCATCCGTGCCCTGTTTCTTTTTTAATTGAACGTAAATATTGGAGTCTGTGGAAGCTTCAGCCTTATAAGTTACGTTTCCATCACCGCTCCTGCCAGACTCGGCATTTACCGTCACCTCCATACTCTGTTTGGCTGGGACTGTTTCATAAACATGCTCGTTCCTTTTTAAGGAAGCCGAAAATCCAAGCCTCGTGGGAGGGAAATCAATTGTGTTGCCGCCATTGTCGCTGGGCGAGCCACTGCTGTCGTTCGTTGTGACCAGAAGGGGCAGGTTGGCGAAAAGCTCCTGCCGCTTTGAATTTGGCTGCAGTAAGTGGGGTTTGTCGGCCAACGGCATGGCCATATCCAGTGGCAGATCGAATCCCTCTGGAGCCGAGCAGCCCAAACTGAGTGTGGACTCGGATCGAGTAAAGAAAGCATGCCGGCGGGTACCCACGTTACCGGAGGACTGGCCACTCGTCGATGGCTGCACTTCGGCGTTGAAGTCCTCTAGATTGGTCAGCTCGTCGTCGGTATCATAGCTCTCCACCATGGGCGAAAGATTGTTGACGCGTCCCGATATGGTCTCTTGCTTGTCGTAGAAGCCCGTGTCATTGCGCATATAGTAAACGAAGGCATCCAGCACGTAGCCAATGTGACGCAGGGCCGTTATGTCCAAAACGGGCAGGGCGTCCCTGTGCTCCGAGGTGTGGGCACGCATCAGAGACAAGCAGTAGGTGAAGAAATCGCGTCGCGAGTTGGAGCCTACACAAATACATTCTTGTTGAGTAAATATTTATAGTAAGAATCTAATATTTATATTGTACGCACCCATCATATTGACGCCAACAGTGGTGGATGTGGTAGGAGCTGGTGTCTGGTTAGTTGAGGCCTGGGCACTAAGGTTGAGCGGGTGCAGAGGGTGATTGGGATCGGTGTAGTTGGTCAAGTAGGCTCCAAACTTCAGCTGTGCCTCGGTGCCATCCATAACCGTGAACATCCAGTCCCAGGTAGCCTTTAAACGTTTTTCCACAAAGTTCTGCGAGAATTAAACCAGTTTAGTTGAGTTTTCGATGAAAAAAGGATGAAAACGACTTACTTGGACTGCAATGGCCTCTTCTGGTTGAATTTTCAGCGATGTTTCAATGTCATTTAGGATGTTGTACGAAAGTATGCTAATAAGTTCGGATATTTGACGAACGGCGATCCCGAATGCCCGTGCCAGATTACTGGCCGTAGTCGCCATGGTGTGGGGCTCAATCGAGGGCGTAGTTACCGCAGTGCTCGCTGGCACAGTGGAGCGTCGAAGGGCCATCGGATCGATGAACACCAAATTGGACCCAGTTGGCACCCTGACCGATGAACGGGCGGTGTCTCTGTTCCGGATGGCCCATTGCATTGTCTGAGGAGCTAGATCGCTGCGAGTGTTTGAATTTGTGGTGCGGCGTTCGAGTTGCTGGTCATTGAAATTAAATTCATCAGAATGATCGTCAGATTCTCCATCCTCAGAGCCGTCTTCCTCTTGGGCCGATGAGTCTCCAGACTCGTCCTCCAGAAACAGAACTCCAATATCTTAAGAAAAGGATCGTGAATATCACAATTAAAACAGGAAGATATTTAGAAAGCTTACCAGTTTCGGAGCCAACTGTCGCTCCAGTCTGAACGCTGCGCTGTACCTCCTGGTTGCTTTGGTTGTCATCGGAGTCCGATTCAGTCTCAGCATCGTTGAAAGCAAAGTCATTGTCGCTCTCGTCATCTTGCATCATGCCGTCCTCATTCCGTTGATTTTCAATCAGCTCGTCGTCTTGGCTGTGCGAATTAGTCTCCCGATTGATAGCTTCCTCCGATTCTGAGGGGTCGCGAATCGCTAAAATAAATAAAAATAATAAAAAACGCATCAAAAAAATGCTAAAAAAAAAAGTAGTCTGTTGAAATACGCACTCTCCATAGCAACCACGTCAAAGTTCTGTTGAATATTAAAGTTGGAACTCTGATCGTTGGCAGCATCATGTCCAATGACCTGCTCAGAGGAAGCTTCCACATTCGAAGGCGCCAGGGGATCAACACTAAACAAGTCGTCAGAGTTCTAGAAGAAAAAAAGAATATCGTTAGATTATGCATTTATAAGATATAGCAAAGGATAAGATTCCCTTTGTTTGTCTATATTTACACGTACATCCAGATTTGACGAAGACATCGTGAATGGAGCCGTGGGACGCACAACTCCCAGACGCACAGGTGCGATCAGGGCCTCGGATACCTCGCACAGCTCCTCGATGGATATTCTGTGCAGAGTTTGGAAGACTTTTACGCAGCTCTGTACGTACTTGTTGCACGAGGTGTGCGACTTGCGTTTTTCCGGGTTCGGTTGCTTCTCCAGATTGAAAATAACGAACACCCGGGAAACGGAGCGCACAAAACGGCGAGCCACCTCCTCGGCTTCCTGGCAACGATTGGGCACACTGACGTTCTGCAGCTCCCGAACCAGGGTTAGCAGCAGGGTGTCCAAATGATCGCCGGTGCACTTAACGATCAAGCTGTGGGTGAACTTATCCAGCAGCGTGGATCCGTGTTGCGTCTGGATAAACATGTTGAAGCCCTCCGAGCTGGAGTTGTCTGGCGGATTCTGGAAGTTGACCTCGCTTCTCTCCGCTCCGCTCATAATCATCGAACGCACCGCGTTCCAATCTATCAGCAGGCGCTCCAACGCCTTACGCGCAAACTTCGGCGGCTCCAGATCATGGTCCGGCATTTCAGTCTCCATGTCAACGGTCGAAGACTTTCGGTTGGATATCACTGTGTTACTGCCGTTCGAACCACTGGCTGTGCTTCCCACGTTGCGCACCCTCACATTGAAGCGGTACTGTCGCTGCTCCACGATCTGCCGGCCAACGGTTTGAATGAGGAACAGCAAGATGGACTCTCCCTTGGAGTTGAACTTCGTGACCAGATCCGTGCAGGACACCAGCTTGCAAAGGAGGGCAAATCGCTTTGTCAGGTTACCGGCAATGAGGGCCTTGCACTTGCATTTCTCCCAGCAATCGCAGTAGGCCGTGGGAGCCGTTCGCTTGAGTTTGCAATCATGACCCTTGTGGCACACACGGGCGCACTCCGTGCAGCAGCATAGAGATCCAGTCAATCCGCAGGTCTTGCACTCGAAGATGTTCTGGTTGATGTGATCCGCCCCTGTCCAGGTGAACGAGCACGTGTCGTTGTAGCAAATAACATGTAGCGGCGACTGATCGGCCGGTGAGCCGGAGGGGAATATCATGGCCTCTTTGAGCTGCGGATCTTGCTCGGTTAGCATTAGGATGGTGTTCAGCAAAACAATGCCCGCCTCGTAGGCGCGGCACGATACGGAGAGCATGAACGGCGTCTGGCCCTGAGCGTCTTTGGTGCTTAGCATCTGGCACAGGTGGGGACGCAGAGCGGAACTCACGCACATCTGCTGCAAGATAAGGAGCGCATGCTCCCTCCTCTGGGCCAAATCAAAGGTGTAGTTCGGCGAACCCAGCTTAATGTTCGATAGCATGGAGCTGTGCTGCGAGGAGGATGGTATTATCTTTGAGATATCGTCTTCGATACTGTCTGTGCTCAGATTACTGGCGGTGGAGTTCTCTGCCGGCCACGGGATGTAGGCGTGGTCCTCACTGGAATTGCCCAAAGACTGGCTTCCAGATTGCTCGGCTTGATCGGCGTTGATTAGGCGGAGTCTCATATCGCGCAGGTTGATGCGATTTTCGCGGTTGCCAGACGGTGAGGCTGATGAACCGGCAGCGGCAGCCGAGGAGCTCATGGTGGCGAAACTAGAGTTCTCGTTACTCGATGCGGAATTGGCCCCGAAGGCTTGGCTGCTGACATAGGCGCTGGTGGAAACCGATGGCATGGAACGGGCCACGGAAAGGCCCACTGCCAGGGACTTCTTATCAGTGCCGCCTCCTGGAGAATCTGGGGGCGTTTCCTTGTTGGACGATGGAGCGCACATGATTACACAAGCGTGGAATATATTCCGAGCTCCGTCGCAACGCTCCTCTACTACCAAAGCCGTGTCGGCTTGATCCTCTCTTTCCAAACGACTGAGTGCAGCAAAACTATTCTTCACATCGCAGCGCAGGATGTGCGGCATCAGCTTCTGGGTATCGAACAGCAATGCCGTCATGCAGACCTTCGACTTTAGGTTGCCGGAGTGTCCGATCATTGCTGGCAACGAGATAGTGGCCATGGTGACAGACTTTACGGGAGGGAGGTCGAACCATTGGGGGTCCTTGATGGAACCCAAGCAGTCCTTAGCCAAAGGATACAGCGCTCCGTTTCCATCGCGCAGTATAATTGTGCTGGTGTTGCCGCTGCAGTCGTTGTTGCATGCCATCATAATAGAGGCCGGTGAAGAGCCAATGAACGAGGCACAGTCCGTGGGGAAGAGGCAGTTCTGTTCCTGCTTACTATTGTACAGATTGTACAGACTGTAGTGGATCTTTCCGAGCACCTTCTTCACCACATGAATGCCGCGCGAGTCCACGGCCAGAGTGAGGAGCAGAACGCCAGCAGAATCGGCGCCAATATTGATCTTCTTCGGCTGCTTTTGCAGCCAGTCCGGTCCTCTAGTTGACATTGCCGTGCGAAAGACCTGGACGTCCTCACGACGCAGCAATCGGCATTGCTGCCAGTCATCTTCCTTGCCCTCCTCCTTCGATGTGGAAGCAGCGTTTGCGCTCGTGCTGGCGGCGTTGGAAGCCGCGGCTGCAGCTGCTGCCTGATTCATTGCCGGGAATCGAACGGCAACGAAATCACCATCCACTTTCAGGACTTTGCCTACAGGACCCACTTTGTCCTCGACGAATACCACATCCTTAAGCTGCCACAGCTCCTCGTCCTTTCTGCCCTCCTGCGGTGCGTTCGAGTCCTCTTTGGTGGTAACACGTTTTGTCCGCTTGTGGGATGTAACGCTTCCGGTGTCGCTGCAAGTGCTAGATGCCGGTGACGGCGGCGGGGGCATATCGATGCGATCCGTAGACTCCTTGCTGCTCGAGAACGACTGGGTATTCTTGCTGCTCCCTGCGCTGGGGATGGTCGTAGTCTTCTGCGAGTCCTTATCTGGTGCAGCACTCGCAGTGGAACCAGTTGCTTGAGACTTCTCGGGACACGAGCTTGTGTTGATATTTATGATCTTCATGCGGCACACATCGGTGAAGTTCCACACCGAGTTTAGGAGCTGGCCCACCTTCGGAACACCATTGGAACATGTAAAGCCGATCGATCCGGACTGGTAGATAGGGCACTTCTTCATTATCACTTGGGCGCCCACATTTATGTCTGTGGTCACCACCTTGAATGGTTTCTTGGTCTTGGTGCGAAACTTGTCCCAAAGGTAACGACGCTGATCGAACGGCAGGACGCCCCACCAGTAGATGTTGTTACTCTCTGTGCGGACGACTGTGTACAAGGAGCAGACATGGATCTTTGTAATGGGGTCTGAGATGAACTCGTTGAATGAGCAGGAATTGTGCTCCAGCTTGGCGCCGAGGTAACCCAGCTGTTCGTCCATCCATGTAGCCACGCGATTAGTTTCAGTAACGACGGAGCATCGGATAAAGTTTGCCGAGATGAGTTCGACCCTCTCGGTAATGTTGAGAGTCACGGTTTTCGGATGATAAACATTCTCCGTCTGCAATGATTGAAGAATTCAATTGTTTAGTTATAGAATGAAGCCAGCTTTCGTATAAAATCCAAAATAATAATCTTACCTCAGATTTGTAGGGCTCGGCATCTGACCAACGCCACTGATACAGATCTCCATTTTCTGAAAGGGCAATGAACTCAGAATACAGTGCACCGATGGTTTTAAACCGAACTGAGCTTTTTTCAGGCCACGGCTGCAGCTCCTCTGAGATCCAAATGGGTGAAAGCATAGGTGAGGGTTCTTTTTTCTTGGCATCTAATTATATGTACAATTACGGAAGCGTAAGAAAACTTATGTGTTGGAGGGCAGCATAATCAATGAGAAATTACCAGTATCCTTTTCCCAAGTATAATCGTCTTTGCTGATCCAGCGACGAGGACCGTAGTACTGGCGATCGCGCCAGCGACTGAATGCCTCCCGATCAGCATTTACTGATATTTGGGCCGAGAGCCCGCTACCCCCACTCAGAGCAGCTGCCGTTGTGGCCGAGCGATTGGATTGGTTACTGTCGGCAGCGTTTGCATTAGAATTGCTACGCTCACTTCGAATGCGGTCGAAAAGCAGGCTAGACATTAACAAAATAAATAAACTTTTCGTTGTAGTAACTTCACCTTTAAAGAGTGTTAATCTTATGAAATTGAACTTACTTTCGAATGCTCGAGTAGTTGCTAAATATCTCTTCCGAAAATAGTCCATCGGAGGGATCGATGATCACGCTGTTGTTCTCACCACTGAAGCCGTTGTCCAACAACGATATGAGGTCTTCAGGCACATAGTTATCGGCGCCTTCCTCAGTATCTTCGGCTTCCTCATCATCGCGCGACAGAAGATTGTTTACAGCTAAGTTTACATCTAGATTGGTGCGCTACAGAAAAGAGTTTATAATTTCTGGAACATAACTAACTAATCTAGGACCAACCTGTAATTCTCTAATAATGAGGTTCCTACTCTTGCCCTGTAAAACAACTTCCGCTTGCGATATAAGTTCCTCTGGCACATATGTGGCTGGAACGGTGACCAAGGGCCGATTTGATGCGCTTCCACCGATTATAACGCCGGTGCTTCTCGATCCCGAGCCTTGTCCCGTGGAACTGGAACGTCCTGTTGCCCTAAGGAGACGCGCCCTAGAGCGAGCCATAGGTCTAGATGACGAAGGGGCCTTTGAGGCGCTGGCGGTTCCTGCCCCACCGCTTGTGGCGCTGCGGGTAAAGTTCAAATCAATAAAAATACCAGATGAAATAGATACTTATACATACCATTTTGCATCAGTTTTTGTCAAGTCAAGCTTTTCCGAGTTAATCGAAAAGGATACGCGGAAGGCTTTTCCATCCTCCAACAGGACTCCGATGTGGGATGGTCCTATAACGACTTCTCGAACAGGAATCTTTAACTGCTCGAATATGCGATGGGTGCCATAGCCGAATCGATTCACTTTCTCTGACACTTCTCTTATCCTGCGAAAAGAACAAATTACTTAGATATCTGATACAGTGGGGAAATTGCTGACGCTTGCAAATATAATCTAAACAATATATTGCACAGCGCGTAAGCTGTCTAAGAAGATAACACATGCAATCTTTGACCGACAATGAAACATGTGAGTTCTCAAAAGGAACGTACTATATTCCCAGTTACATGTGCGGGGAACGCTAGATGTGAAACGGAACAGACATGTGCAAATTATGTTGGTTTTACCCGGATCGGAGTAATTAGCAAGCCTCATGTTATCTGAAGCCCAATCTAACAAAAGTATTGTAACATTCAATATAATAATGATCTTCCTAGAATGAATAGTTAGTTAGAATTCGGACAAATTAATCGGCATGTATGTGCATGCACACATGCATAGGAGAAGAACGCTCACATGGCAAACACATGAACACATATACGGATGGTGTCGGAAGAAAAATTGTGGCAGAAAAATGGCAATTTCAGAAGTCGCTCACGCAAAGGTGGCTGCCAATGTTTACAGTTTGATGGGGACATTATTGCATATGTTCCCCGCCTAACACCTATGCTTCGGCTCCATGTAAATGGCATAGTACATACATATCTTCCTGCGGATACATATACCATGTACGTATATATTTTCATATAACAAATACATGCAGCCGTACATACACATTTATATGGAATTTTGTATTCACATGTGCGTAAGACCGGAGCCCCCGAAGCCATCATCGCCGGAATATTTACCTTTCTATAAACTGGTCGTCCGAGCCCGGAAGCGGTTGCAAAACGAATTGCATGGAAACCATTTTATTTTTTTAATCACTCATGTACAAATGTTCTCGTCCAATTTTCATTTCACAAAACGTTGATAGACTTTTCCAAGCGATTAGTGTTGCCGGATGGCGATTCCGTTTGGAGCTGCCACACCTGATAACCCACCAGACTGAAACAGTGCTGAACAACATTGAAATAATAATCGGTTACAACCCTGAATTTTTTAGCCCAAATAATGTTCTAAACTTTTTAAATTTAAATTTGTGTGCTTATCTAAAATATTTCCAAAATAAAAAAGGAAAAAATTAAACGCAAACATTTTTTTGATAGTATTCACAGATATTTATTAGCTTGGTGTTTCTTAAATCGTTGGCTGTTTTTCCAGTTATTTCCCCGGTGTTTTGATTTCTGGTCAATCTTTAAAAACTATTTAAGTTATTAATAATAAATACTATCTTTTAAATCTACAGCTTACGTTTGGAGTAGAAGATGGCAGTCAAGTAGAACTTGGTTTCGTGGCTTGTTTTTTTCTTCGTCCTTTTTAGCTAAAAAACTCTATCAGATATAAAATTAATTTACGAAATAAATAATTTACGAAAATTTTAAATAATCCTATCACTATTCTTAAAAATATCTTAGTGGTATTGTTTATAAGGTTCTTTATTATGATAAAAATACCTTATATTTTTTAGTAAATTATATCAATAAAATACAAACCCTTTAAACTTTAAAACTCATATCTTATAAAAATTGGGGTATAATGTTGTATTCCTTTTTTTATTAAAGTTAAACTTAAAATGTAAAGTTTCACAATAAATTAATCTTTAAAAACAACTAAGCACCATAGCTGTGTTTAAACATAAATTTATTTTCCTATCGTATTGTATACTAAAATGTTGACTAAAATTTTAATTTATATAAATTTAGGTATGACTGCTGGGTTTTTTTAAGCCCGGTCTTTAGTAACTATGATGAAAATGGGTAATTTACGCCTTCACGCCTTCTCTGAAACAAAGAATCCATTATTAATCAAATTAAATAGGAACTCAAAAACTCATATGGATATTTTTTGTAATTAGAAGAAAAGGAATAAAATATAGAAAGCAAAAAATGTTACCCATGGAAGATTCCAGAATTAATTCACTGAAAAGAAACTGTTATTTTAATTTCAAAAGTGCCTTAAAAAATTGTTTAAGGACAATAATTAGTTTATTGATATTATACCCAATTCTTTAGAAAGTATTATTTGTTTTAATCATGTTTATTAGGAAGTTATTTATGTTATAGGCTAAAATTATGTGATTCTTAAAACTTAGGGAAGGAAATCATACTTATATTTATGTGTATGTACAAGTATCATTTCCGAATCCGAACCTGTAATCAGAATTGTTACGACAATGCACCAAAGAGAATTTTATGATTTGCAAATGACACACTTATCGATTGTGCTCGTTAACACTATTTTCATACATCGCTGCAGGATAATCATCCATTGCTAAGTGGCTATTACTTTCTATTAGACCCGAATCCATATTTGAATAATCCTTAGAAGCTTTACTTAAACCATCACCGACACTACTGCCGCAAAAAGGAAGACAACCTATTCGACCGATATCGTTTGGATTTACAGAATCTATAGGATTATCGGCTCCCGGCAAACTGGAGCAGTGCTGGGTACAATTATCGCAAGGGTTCTTGTCGGCCGAGGCACCGTTACCGGATTGGCAAGAGTTCGGGGAAGATGACGGCTCATATTTCCGGGGGCGCCCCCTCGATAGGTGGCGCCTCTTAACAAACTCATTATCGTCGACCATCCAAAATGAGCCAAAATCATCCTCATAACGTACAAAGCACTTGTGCAATGATAGATTTGTACGTATCGCATTCTTCGATTGGTAACATAATTAAATATTTATTGGCAAACCAAGATCGTCAATAAGATTCAGAAACATGAAAGTGCATTGTCGAGAAAGGAAGAAAAAATTCATTTAGAGAACATATTCGTTTTATTTTTTCCCCTGTTTTTCAGATACACTAGTTTTCTGTTTTTTGCTGCGGCCACTCAACCAAAATTTTTTAATCTTCTTTTCATTTTCAATTACGGACGGACAAATGTAACGATGAACGGACGGACAAAAGGTTATATTTTAAAGGGTTTTTGTTTTTCTGCAGAAAATATGGGAATGATAATATTTAGATATATCTTTTTAATCGGCATGCATAGCTTATATTGTGATACTAATTTAGTAACAGAATAAAGTTTAATTAGGAGGGAATAAAGTAGTAGTAAACTATTTTAGACCCACATACCCAATGTTCATAGCTACAAAATAATTCGAGTCCGGCGAATTGGTAGCACCGGCTAAGTTGTTACCAATGCCCGCAGTGCGTTGCGGTCGTCTTTTATAAAACTCAATCTCATCGACAGTCCAAACTGCTCCTTTCACATTCTCAACACGCATAAAGCATTTATGAAGGGACAGATTGTGCCGAACTGCGTTCTAATCATAGTATATATTAGGTTAGATTTTGTCAAAATTTAAATATTTTTATAGAAAAGTAAATATGCAAGATTGTTGTTCAAATAAAGAAATATGAAAGTGTTCAAAAGCTTGAAATACACGGACAGACAAATCTGACAGACCACCCTATAACCCAGTTTTGACTATTGATAATTATATTAACTATTAACTACTAAGAAAATGTTGAAAATGCTAAATATATTACCTTCCACGTGGCTGCGTTGCGTCGGAAATAGCAGAAAGTATTTTGGAACCAGTTGTATATTTCATTCAGAGTCAGTTGCTTGTCAGGTGAGTCGATAATGGCCTAAGAATTCATAGTTTATAAACGTTTTTTTAGTTATTTGATCCGCAAATATTAAAGTACCTGTCTTATTAGGGAAGCATAAGTAAAAGGAGGTCGCACATCCGCATTTTTGTAGAATTCTCTATTCCTTTGGATTTCTAAAAACGATATTTAAATAAAAATTGTATGCTGCAGATTTTGAATAAAATTTTGATACGTACCCTGCTGTACATCAAGACCTGCTCTTTCTAGCATATATGGCAAGCCTGAAACATTTAATATTTTTTAAGACATTTCAAAATTTTTTGAAGGAAGAATATGTTTTGCGTTAGTACTTTACCTCCATTTATTGAAAACGCATTTTTGTCGTGACTTCTTTTTTTGATTGTACATAAATTGGTCGAATTGACAAGTGGAAGATTCAGGGGGCTTGGAGAATTCGTTTGTCGAACTGGTCGACCGATGCTATTTATTGTGATGGGACTTCTGCAAAACTTTCCCTCCCTTCCGGGAATATCCTGAAACTAAATGATTAGTTAGTTAGCCAACCAATTAAATATAAACCTATATTTCAAGGTCCTAGTTTTATACCTTTCTGTCAATTTTAGTTGGTGATAAAAGCTGTTTGGAAAGATAGAGGTGGTGCATCATGGCCTGCAAGCGATCTCTTTCCTTCTGAAGGTGGGATTCCAATTGTGAAACTACTTGCATTTGGACCCGAGCCTGAGCCGTGGAGCGATCATCCAATCCGTGCTCTGAGTTCAAATGCCTATAAAATGATTAAGTATAGCCTTCTTCACTGGGACAATGTTGGGTATTAAGATTTCATGCCTTACTTAACAAATGAAGTGATATCTTCGAGATCCATTTCGCAACCCGGCCATCGGCATATTCCATGGGCGAATAGTGGATGATAGTACTTCCGCATGGCGAACTCATCGTGCATATAGTTATAGTCATTACTGCACGCGTCATTATCTTTCGATCGTAGAAATCGCTCAGCATCCGAGAACATTAGTTTCTCCTGCTCTGAAATAAACTCTGGAACATTGTAAAAACTGAGATCAGGAACCGGAGGCAGTATGTGTTGGCCCTGAATGTGCATGTGGGGATTGGGTTCGTGTTGAGCCGTGGAGGTTGATTCGTCTAAACTGGAAGCCGGAGAACTGCATTTTACGACATGTGATGCAAAGGCGAGGGAAGAATTCAGAAAACTCGACTGCTGAAAGCAGTTGTTCTTAACTGCATCTGTGCAAATGTCGGGTATGGAAATTTGATGTCGCGATTTAACGGATATTTCTTTTTGGTGAATAGACTCCTTAACATCTTCCGAATATTCATCATCATGTATCCGATGCATAATTGCGAGGCTGAAAGGTAGAATCTTTAAGGATTGACTCTAGTCAGATTTAGCCACACTATCTCAGCTACTAAGAAGAAATCTTAAATGAGTTCCCTCTGTTTAAATTTACCGATCGATTCTATGATCTGTGGAAACTGCTACAAAAATGATCTCTTTTTCTTGTGTCGTATGCGCCTATACCATTCTCAAACCCAATAATCCGAACCTCCTTTTTTGTCCATATTAAAGAAATCCTTAGAGGTACAATCCAGACCTCTAAGCTTTTCTCCAATTATAAAGTTTTATTCAATCTCGATTGTATCTTAAAGTACTCACCATTCAAAGGCAATCCACGCTATCGACTCCATAAAATCTATTTACATTTTACGGAGATTAGATATTTTATCATTCCGTTAAAGTAAAATAACGAAAAACGATTTTTTTTTGTATGTATTTTCTGCTATTTAGCGATCGATACATATACTTTTCATTAAAAGCACCGGTTTTAGATGAAGAAAAAAACGGGCTTTTGCATCTATTGTGTTATTTTTTGGGATACAACACAAAAACCTATGACCCTGCCAATTTTTTTGTTATATATTTTTATAATTGTCTAAAATGTGTCTAAAAACCAACAGGTTTTATACGGAAACGGAGATTCTTAAAGGCCTATAATAATTGACTAGGGAATGAAAGGGAATTTATTTTTAGAACTTTTCCTAAACAAGTTTTTTTTCCAACAAATGTTAATGTCAATTAAGCTGCAATAAAAATAGATAGAAAATATAAAAGGTGTTGAATAACTCATTCAATACACATTAGCTAAGTGGAAAATGTATATGTATAAGCTGTAAAGAGAAAAATTATTTTATAAAAAATATATATAATATGGAGTAAAAATGCTGAAAAATAATGTCATAACCATCCTATTCATAAAATATACTTTTGAGTTTCTTTTTGTTCTCATGAATATTTTTAAAGTCTATGCATGCATATTAAATATTATAAATATATATATATGCCACTAAAGGCTATAGTTTAGTTTTTAAAGAAATAGACATAGGGATCCTGTAAAATTTATAGTATATACATCTTGCGTATGTGTATACTACCAATTTTTATATACCAACATATATACATAAAATACTTAGGCTATCTTAAAAAAACCTTAAAATACATAACTTAACAAGTATATTCTTAAAACTAGTAGGATTATTTATATATTCTATTCTTAATAATTAATTTTATTCCTATTGTCTAGACACCCATTTAAGGAATACATACACATACAATTTTGCAGACAAGACTGCAAGCAAATTTGTATGTGCATTTACAATTAAATAACATTCACTTTGTTTTCAATTAGATAAATATATTTGATATCATTAACAATAAATTATACAAATTTTCACAATGTTAAAATGTAAAAAAATCAAATTTAAATCAATCTTAAGAATAAATTCCGGAGCTATTCCTTCGAAGGCACTTCTTAGATTACTGAAAATGCGGAAAAATATGTGTATTGCAATTTTTAATTTTTGCGCATGCGTTAAGAAATGCAATTTTGTGGCTTTAAGTACACTATACGATTTTTGAAAAGTATCATGACAAAAACCCCTAGTTTAAGGAAGTTTATTAAATGTTAAAATTTTCAAATTAAAGAAGAACAAGTTTTAAGTCATAAACCCCTACCATTAATAGGCAGTTAAAAGCGAAAGCTTACTCTTAAAAAATAAAAAAAAATTTACAGAAGTGAAAATAAATATTTAACCCTTAAATATTCAGAGTAAAAAAAGAAACATATGAAAATGCATGTGTTAAACTTTTTATTATGGGAATTATGCAGGTTCTACTGATAGGCATGTGACATTATTTATTAGATTTGAAGCCGATGAGTCCAGTTTTTTGAAGTACTGCAGTTCTAGTACTCTTCATCTTCGCCCAATTCGGTGGTCGAGTCGATGCCCACCTCCTCGTAGTCCTTCTCGAGGGCAGCCAGATCCTCGCGAGCCTCAGCAAACTCGCCCTCCTCCATGCCCTCGCCGACGTACCAGTGGACGAAAGCCCTCTTCGCGTACATCAGATCGAACTTGTGATCCAGACGGGCCCAGGCCTCTGCGATGGCAGTGGTGTTGGACAGCATGCAGACGGCCCGCTGTACCTTGGCAAGATCTCCGCCCGGGACAACAGTGGGTGGCTGGTAGTTGATGCCCACCTTGAAGCCAGTAGGACACCAGTCGACGAACTGGATGGATCGCTTGGTCTTGATCGTGGCAATAGCGGCGTTCACATCCTTGGGCACCACATCACCGCGGTAGAGCATGCAGCAGGCCATGTACTTGCCGCGACGGGGATCGCACTTCACCATCTGGTTGGCGGGCTCGAAGCAGGCGTTGGTGATCTCGGCGACGGTTAATTGCTCGTGGTAGGCCTTCTCGACGGAAATGACTGGAGCGTATGTCGCCAGGGGGAAGTGAATGCGTGGGTAGGGCACCAAATTGGTCTGGAACTCGGTGAGATCCACATTGAGGGCGCCATCGAAGCGTAAAGAGGCCGTGATAGAGGAAACGATCTGGCCAATTAGGCGATTCAGATTCATGTAGGTGGGACGCTCGATATCCAAGTTGCGCCGGCAGATGTCGTAGATGGCCTCGTTGTCGACCATGAAGGCGCAGTCCGAGTGCTCCAGGGTGGTGTGGGTGGTCAGAATGGAGTTGTATGGCTCTACCACAGCAGTGGACACTTGGGGTGCCGGGTAGATCGAGAACTCCAGCTTGGACTTCTTTCCGTAGTCTACAGACAGACGCTCCATGAGCAGCGAGGTGAAGCCTGAGCCAGTGCCTCCGCCGAAGGAGTGGAACACCAGAAAGCCCTGCAGTCCGGTGCACTGATCGGCCAACTTGCGGATCCTGTCCAGCACCAAGTCGACAATTTCCTTGCCGATGGTGTAGTGGCCGCGAGCGTAGTTGTTGGCCGCGTCCTCCTTGCCGGTGATCAACTGTTCTGGGTGGAACAGCTGGCGATAGGTGCCTGTGCGCACCTCATCCACCACAGTCGGTTCCAGATCCACGAAGACGGCACGGGGCACGTGCTTGCCGGCTCCAGTTTCGCTGAAGAAGGTATTGAAGGAATCATCGCCTCCGCCCACGGTCTTGTCAGAGGGCATATGACCGTCAGGCTGGATTCCGTGCTCCAGACAGTAAAGCTCCCAGCAGGCATTGCCGATCTGGACACCAGCTTGGCCAATGTGAACTGAAATGCATTCCCTCTAAAGGTCAGAGAAAGAACAAGGGGTATTAAAAAAGATTTATGATAATAGTTAGATGAATAGTTTCCCATTGATTAATATGGTAATCAGTTTAAATCTTCATTTAAGGTTTATTTTTATAAACGCTATCTTAGAGAGGATTTCCGGTATTTTCACTTCAAGTTAAAATATTTTTGTGACCATCTGTTGGTTATATTCTTTTATTTTACTAACTTTTTTATGGACTTTCAGGTATTTAGTTTTTAGTATGAATTTTTGTTGCGAAATTTCAGACATCCATTTTATTAAGGATTCAAAGGACCTTTAATTATACTATGGGAAGCTTGAAAATATTCTTCCTGGTCTTCTTCATGTTGCTTTATGATTTAAGCCCATTTTTAAACACCAAAGGATCACTATCTCCTTAAATAAGGACATTTTGTTTCTTACCATTTTGAATTTTTTGAATAAATACTTAAAGAAACTTGAACTTCTCAGCGAATTTCCGCTTTTGTCTGTGATGCGACAGAGCTGGGAGTCAACTAAGCGCAGCTCGGGGCTACTTGGGGCTTTTATAATCACCCACAGTCACCGATGTGCGGGTAAACGATGTCAGTGAACACATGTGGCTGTTCAATAGGCTTTGGTGGTGTTCATCCAGAGACATAAGTGGTAGCCACCGACATCCCCACCCAGTCACACATGCTCAAGATGATCGAATTTTGTTTTCTTTTTAATGGGTTTGTTGAAAGTAGAATTTCCGATGAGTTCTTTTCGATTCCGCAGCTGTAAGTAGATATTAATATTTAGTATGGATTATGTGACGATTTTTTGTTTATGACTGGCCTACGGGGTTAAGCATTGTAAAATAACATTGTTTTCTATAAATAAAGTCGGGGTTTGAAAAAGAAAAGGCTAAAAATTAAACCACAAACTTAAATCACATACACACATTTATTTTGAATTTATTTTTATTCATAACTTAGATATTATAATACTGCTCACAGTAGTTTTACACTAAGTTCCTAATGTATATGGTATTTTTAAATATAAGTATTATGTAAGTTCGACCAGTATAAAATTAAATATTTCGGAATTAAATGCCGGCCTGCGTTGTGAAAAAACACCTGGAATTATCTTCCGTTTTCGTAACTCTGGATTAGTAGCTATTTGAGCGAGTTTTATAAAATGGAATCCTATGTATCTCCATCGAGAAAATGTACAAATGCATTTAAAAACCTGGCTTGGCATCTATCGAAATGAGCAACTGTTCAATCAAATTTAATTTGACCAAACTCATTTTTGTGTAAATTTACATTTATTCAATACAAAAATTAAACAAATTAGACTATAGACAACAAAGGTTGCCCAGCAATAAGTGGATGTACTAATAAGTGAATTGGAATCGCCGGATATTTGAAATTATATTTCCTTAACAATAATTTTTTTCTTAAATATTTTTTCACATATTTACTTAGCAAAACAACATCCAGTTATCGCACACATTTCGAATTATCTTTAAGTTTTCAAATAAGGATTGTAAAGAAATCATTTTAAAATCAAACTCAGTCTATTAATTGATGCCAGTATATAGTTAGGGTATTTGTTTAAAAACTGCAGTAAGAGTATTTCCATTGGCCACATTTTCGCGTAATTAAAAATTTAAAACCCTATAAGTGATTTCATTGAGTATTGATTTCGTATAACTTATAATTACCAACGTTAAAAACTAACACTCATATTTGGCCGAAAATAATTGATCTCTCCAGAATATTGTTGTCAATAATAAAGTGGTATAAAAAGATTATTCTATTGAGTTTCGAAATGCAGAATACAGAATACAGAAAATATTTAAATCCTAATCACAGGGGCGTGTCGAATACCCTGTGGAATTTCTATAGTCATACGGTGCTGTCGCGTTTTATCATTAAAGGAGTTTGGACGGTGACCTCGTCGTCGGAAAGGTTTTGCTCGGCCGCGTGGATTCCATCGCTAGCGATTCCGATGCAGACTCTGCCGCACTGGGATTGGTTCATGTGGTGCAGGGCAATGGTTCTGCCATGTGGGTTCTGTGGGGGCATTGCCATATTTGGCGTGGCGGTGATGGCGCCTCCGCTGTTGGACGCCAGCGACGGGGAGGGGGCGTGTCCGTGCAGGGGCAGGGGTTGGGGCGGCGGTGGCTGATGGCCATTGACTCTGCCCTGGGGGAAGGACAGTTGATGGAACGTGGAGGTGGGCCTCGTTCCGGTCATGGTGCAGCTGTAGTTGGGCCAGACATTCTGCGAAGACTGTCGGGGCAGGGTGCATTGGGAGATCGCATTAGAATAGACATGGGGAGTAACATTCTGAAAATAAATCAAAAAGGTTAGTCCTCAAGTACTTATTGGATGAAAGTGAACTCACAATAGATATTTCTCCAACTGAGCTCTGGGCTTGGGCGTGCATTCCACCTCGCAGGGTACAATAACCAATTCCATGAGATGACCGCAAGGATATCTCTGCAGCAGTTAAGTGTTGCTGCTCGTTTACGAAAATTCCCCTATTTGGGCTACGATTTGTATCTATAGTTGATATTTGTTGCCGTTTTCTGGTACTCTCGGCCTAAAATTTTAAATTAAAGATTTAATAATGAATTGAAAATGAGAAAATAATTTATAAAAATTAATCCCTACCTGGTCATCAGGTTCAATAGTTTCCGGCACTACATCTGGATTCTTTTCATCACAATCGTCCACATCCTTGCTGCCCGAGCTTTTGTCGCTGGGTCCTGGGGAATCATCTCTGGATATATTTTCGTTCGAGAGTTCCTTCTGACGACGTCGGGACGTAGCGGAACAGGGAATTCGGAGTGCCAGGATAATGGCCAAAACTGCAACCAACACAGCCAGGGTTAGTCCCACCGTTAATGATACCATGGGTGAAAACAAGAGTTCTGCTCGTAGGTTATTAGCTGGAAAATAAGCAAAATATATATATTTATAAGTAACAATAAAAATTGTATAAATAATTGGATAATCTTACTCTGTTCCGACGTTAGCTGCTTTTCAGGCATACGAAGCATGGCAGCATTAATCACGGCTGGCTCGGATCGGCCCTTTGTATTAAATGCATAAATATATATCCTGTAAATGCCGCCTGGGCTGAGATTTGCAACCGCAAATCGCGGAGTTGTGGATGTAATGTTAGCTTTAATTTCCTAAAATTATATATAAATACAATTTTGCGAGATATATCTTACAGTTTTTTTGTATAGAACTTACCTGTGTATAAGAGTCCTGTAATTCCATGTTGAAATTTTGGGGCAATCCCCCGTTAAAGCCATCACTACATGTCACAGTTAATGATGTCATGGAGATGTTGGTAACCGTACAATTATGAACCTTTTCTGGGCGACCTAAAAGTTATAAAAATACAATTATTAGGTTGTATTTCAAAATAATTAAATTCAAAGAAAGAAATACTGGCCTGCAGCTATGATATGGAAGACACATGGAATTCGTTGCTTTCCGATTTTATTAGATGACAGACATAAAAGGGTTCCATAATCCAACTCAGTAATCGGAGTATAAGTCACAATTGATGTTGTTCCTGTAAGGATACACTCCTTAAGCTTTTAGAGTTAATATAAAACTCATTACAATTACCGGATCGCATTATGTGATTTGTGGCAACATCGATACTTTCGGCCGAGTTGTTAAAAGTCCAACTAAATTCCACCTCTCGAGGATTAGCATCTACTGTGCACATCACTTTAGCATCTTCCTGCTTGGCGATTCCATAGACTTTCCTCTGATTTTGCGCACACGTGGGAGCATCTAAATAGAATAAAAATTTTAAAATATTAAATATAAAAAATTTTATATAAAAAATATATATAAAATCGCTTTATTTTGATTATTCACAAAGCTATAGCCATCGGCCATCAGGAACCCCCCAGGATTTATGACAAAAAATTTAAAAATGAATGGGCTTATAGATTTTAATGCAGGTTTATGGAGATTCGATCTACAAATCGATTATGGTATTCCGCTTAAGGATCGGATGATTTTTGACAAAGTTATGGACATGGCAAGGTGCACGTTTTCGTTCCTATGCACTTTTTCAAATTTTGAAGGGGACCGCCCAGAAAATTTGACAAAAAATTTAAAAATAAATGTGTTTATAGATTTTGATGCAGATTTATGGAGAATCGATCTACAAATCGATTATGGTATTCCGCTTAAGAATCGGATGATTATTGACAAAGTTATGGACATCGCAAGGGTCATATTTTCGTCCCTATGGATTTTTTAAAATTTTGAAGGGGACACCCAGAAAATTTGACAAAAAATTGAAAAATAAATGTATTTATAGATTTTTATGCAGATTTATGGAGAATCGATCTACAAATCGATTATGGTATTCCGCTTAAGGATCGGATGATTATTGACAAAGTTATGGACATCGCAAGGGTCATATTTTCGTCCCTATGGATTTTTTAAAATTTTGAAGGGGACCCTTCAGAAAATTTGACAAAAAATTGAAAAATAAATGTGTTTATAGATTTATGAAGAATCGATCTACAAATCGATTATGGTATTCCGCTTAAGGATCGGATGATTATTGACAAAGTTATGGACATCGCAAGGGTCATATTTTCGTCCCTATGGATTTTTACAAATTTTGAAGGGGACCGCCCAGAAAATTTGACAAAAAATTGAAAAATAAATGTTTATAGATGTTATAGATGTTTATAGATTTTGATGCAGATTTATGGAGAATCGATCTACAAATCGATTATGGTATTCCGCTTAAGAATCGGATGATTATTGACAAAGTTATGGACATCGCAAGGGTCATATTTTCGTCCCTATGGATTTTTTTAAATTTTGAAGGGGACACCCAGAAAATTTGACAAAAAATTGAAAAATAAATGTATTTATAGATTTTTATGCAGATTTATGGAGAATCGATCTACAAATCGATTATGGTATTCCGCTTAAGGATCGGATGATTATTGACAAAGTTATGGACATCGCAAGGGTCATATTTTCGTCCCTATGGATTTTTTAAAATTTTGAAGGGGACCCTTCAGAAAATTTGACAAAAAATTGAAAAATAAATGTGTTTATAGATTTTGATGCAGATTTATGAAGAATCGATCTACAAATCGATTATGGTATTCCGCTTAAGGATCGGATGATTATTGACAAAGTTATGGACATCGCAAGGGTCATATTTTCGTCCCTATGGATTTTTACAAATTTTGAAGGGGACCGCCCAGAAAATTTGACAAAAAATTGAAAAATAAATGTTTATAGATGTTATAGATGTTTATAGATTTTGATGCAGATTTATGGAGAATCGATCTACAAATCGATTATGGTATTCCGCTTAAGAATCGGATGATTATTGACAAAGTTATGGATATCGCAAGGGTCATATTTGCGTCCCTATGGATTTTTTAAAATTTTGAAGGGGACACCCAGAAAATTTGACAAAAAATTTAAAAATAAATGTGTTTATAGATTTTGATGCAGATTTATGGAGAATCGATCTACAAATCGATTATGGTATTCCGCTTAAGGATCGGATGATTATTGACAAAGTTATGGACATCGCAAGGGTCATATTTTCGCCCCTATGGATTTTTCAAAATTTTGAAGGGGACACCCAGAAAATTTGACAAAAAATTGAAAAATAAATGTGTTCTTAGATTTTTATGCAGATTTATGGAGAATCGATCTACAAATCGATTATGGTATTCCGCTTAAGGATCGGATGATTATTGACAAAGTTATGGACATCGCAAGGGTCATATTTTCGTCCCTATGGATTTTTACAAATTTTGAAGGGGACCGCCCAGAAAATTTGACAAAAAATTGAAAAATAAATGTGTTTATAGATTTTGATGCAGATTTATGGAGAATCGATCTACAAATCGATTATGGTATTCCGCTTAAGAATCGGATGATTATTGACAAAGTTATGGATATCGCAAGGGTCATATTTTCGTCCCTATGGATTTTTTAAAATTTTGAAGGGGACACCCAGAAAATTTGACAAAAAATTGAAAAATAAATGTGTTCTTAGATTTTGATGCAGATTTATGGAAAATCGATGTACAAATCGATTATGGTATTCCGCTTAAGAATCGGATGATTATTGACAAAGTTATGGACATCGCAAGGGTCATATTTTCGTCCCTATGGATTTTTTAAAATTTTGAAGGGGACCCCTCAGAAAATTTGACAAAAAATTGAAAAATAAATGTGTTTATAGATTTTGATGCAGATTTATGGAGAATCGATGTACAAATCGATTATGATATTCCGCTTAAGGATCGGATGATTATTGACAAAGTTATGGACATCGCAAGGGTCATATTTTCGTCCCTATGGATTTTTTAAAATTTTGAAGGGGACCCCTCAGAAAATTTGACAAAAAATTGAAAAATAAATGTGTTTATAGATTTTGATGCAGATTTATGGAGAATCGATCTACAAATCGATTATGGTATTCCGCTTAAGAGTCGGATGGTTATTGACAAAGTTATGGACATCGCAAGGGTTATATTTTCGTCCTTATGGATTTTTTAAAATTTTGAAGGGGACACCCAGAAAATTTGACAAAAAATTTAAAAATAAATGTGTTTATAGATTTTGATGCAGATTTATGGAGAATCGATCTACAAATCGATTATGGTATTCCGCTTAAGGATCGGATGATTATTGACAAAGTTATGGACATCGCAAGGGTCATATTTTCGCCCCTATGGATTTTTCAAAATTTTGAAGGGGACACCCAGAAAATTTGACAAAAAATTGAAAAATAAATGTGTTCTTAGATTTTTATGCAGATTTATGGAGAATCGATCTACAAATCGATTATGGTATTCCGCTTAAGAGTCGGATGGTTATTGACAAAGTTATGGACATCGCAAGGGTTATATTTTCGTCCTTATGGATTTTTTAAAATTTTGAAGGCGATCCCTCAGAAAATTTGACAAAAAATTGAAAAATAAATGTGTTTATAGATTTTGATGCAGATTTATGGCGAATCGATTATGGTATTGTGGTTTAAGGGATTTGTCTTGATATAGTCTTTAAGGGAACCATATAACCTCTTAGAACTAGTGCCTAAGCTCTAATTTGAAACTTACACAAAATATTTAAAGGAAATGGAGCACTGATTCCTTCGCCTTCAGCATTGAATCCCACACAGGAATAGTTTCCAGCCGTGGCTCTTGTAACACCTTGCAGAACCAATGAGTGATTACTTATTATAATGCCTTGTGAAATGTTATGGTATAGTGGTTGGTCCTGAATAAAATAAATTATGATTTTAAAATTTGTTAAATATCAGCTCAGATTGATAAAACTTACGTTGTGACGCCATTCAATGCGAAAGACATTTGGATGAGCCATTACTAGACAGTCGAAGTACACATCAGTTCCCTCTCGCAAAGTACTAGGGTCTAGGGAAGTCCCCAAACGCACATAGGCTTCAGGAACATCTAAAAAAAAAATATGTGATATTTATTATATATATATTTAACATATTTTTTAAGCAAATACTAACATTGAATGTCTAGCTTCCATCCATCTTCCAGGGGATCGGATGGAACTGCATGATTATAGGCTTTACAGGATAAATATTTTCCCGCATCAGATTTGCTCAGACTTATTGAAAGAGTGCTCGTTGTCTGGTTACCATCGCTTGAAGTCTGACATAAAGAGTAAAATTAAATACATTCTATTTTAAATTATTCAAACTTACAGTTTCGGTTGTTTTTTCGAGTCTTATTCCATTTTGCCACCAGGTAATTACTGCAGGAGGTCTAGAGCCGGCGCTTTGGCACAAGAGGTCATATCTGCGACCGGCTGACAAGGGCTGGTGGGCCCCCAGTAGTCTAATATTAAGTGGAGCAACTAAAGAAAGAAAATACGTGAAATGAAAGCTAATTACATATTGACCTCTTTAATAACTTACAGTTCATGTCAATTTGAACCACTGCCTCTACAATGGGAGCTCGAGGATGGCTTACAGCTCTGCAAGTTAGCCTAGAATTCAGATCCTCTCTGCCCAACGAGGGAAGAGTGATTTCACACTCAATGATCTTTCCCCCGGCCAAATGGGATAATTCACAAGGAATTTCTAGGCCATCACGATACCAATTGATTGTGGGTGTAGGGTAGCCTTTAACAAAAATTTGTTAGTAAATCTGGAAAGGCATCGAGTTTCTAATTTTTAAGACCTACCTCCGATAACCTGACATTTTAATGAAACTATATCACCTTCACTGTATGGTCCCACCACCGTAGACCTTTCCGCATTGGCACTATCTCGAATAATAACTTGCTTCGGTGGAGCTTAAGGATAAAAAACAAAAATTAATTTTACATTTATTTCACTAAGAGTAAAGTCAACTTACATATGACATTTAACCTAACGCGGCTGTTTATAGTTTGGGCTTTCAAAAAGTCTACCCGACATCTATAAGTTCCCGAGTCAGAGGCTTGTGTGTTTTGAATTGAGAGCTTTCCCGGCTCCTTGTCGAATATAAAGTAAGCCCTATCTCCGAAGACAGACTCATCAGACCATCTTTTAGGAGCCTTGGATACTCCCGCACGAATATCAATGCTAAAAATTTGCACATGAAGTTGAATTCGTAGTTAAAAATAAATTTACTAAGTTGTTGTCCCATTTACTATTTCAGTAGTTTACCTGTATATGGGTGTACCCTTATCGTCTCGGTACCACAAGACCAGTACGGGCTCGTCTCCATCATATGTGGTTACATTACAGGGAAGGTAAATATTTTCACCCACCAAAGATTCAATTTGGTGAATTGGTACTGAAATTCAGAAGTATTACAGAGTTTAAGACTTTTTAAAGAGAAATTTTTTCAATTAAATTTTATATTTTGTATATTAAAGTGTTTATTTAAGTCATGTGTGGTTCTTAGCCCTTAAGCTCGAAAACAAATGAAGAAAAGGTAATTTTTAAAACTAAAAACTATTGTAAAGTGAACATAAGATGTATGGAAATCCATTTCTTTCAATTTATCGAAATTATAAATTTGTTTGGGCAAACGCCGGAAAAATACCGTGCATTATTGTTAAATAAGTTTTTATGACATCTTACCGTCTTTACTTCCAAGATTAAAGCCAATTAGTTGAATTGCTAGCAGCAATTGTAGCATCAACTCCATGGTTTTTATTTATTTAATGTTTTTATTTCATTTAGTTTATTTCCACTATTATCTAATCCACTAGTACACGAAATTAAGTTTTTAATTCGAATTGAATCAGTTACATTTTACCAACTGAATTTTCACGGAAGATGAGATGACACTAACACTCATGTATGAACACTCGATTATACATGTGTAAGGATATAACTGTATGTATAACACATAGGTTTATATATTCTTAAGTAGTGGCGTATACTTCTGTAGATTGATGAATATTTTGAATAACATTTAAACAACAAGAGTTTCGTTGGTCACTAAAGCTATTTAATTAAATATTAAAGCCATTTAAAATAGTCACGGTTATGATTTTATTCAATGTATGTACGTACATTGTACATATAAATTTTCTTATGCACTTGTATATGTTTGCCAAAAATTTCCAGGATACCCTTTACTATTGCTTATTTTTATATGCTGCCGTTCACAAACACCAGTTTAGTGCAAACACCAACAAAATAGATTGAGCAATTATTGTAGGATAATTTTAATCGTACATAATTTTTAAAATTGGGTTCATTGTAAAAGTTGTATTACTTTTCTAACCGCGATGCGAAACTAACACGTCAAAATTCCATCGCACTACACCTGCAAACCTGGGCTAAAAAGCTTCGACATCGGCGGGCGCATGCGTCTCAAAGGAGCTTTTGATGTAAACATTGCAACTATGACCTTTGTACATGTTCGTATGTGCATCCGTCTCTCCCATCCGAGTTCTTCCTTCGTTTTTTCTTCTTAACGAAAAATATGAGTAGTAATTTTTCGGCACCAAATTGTCAATTCTCCAATTATGTACCCACAGATATGTCACTAATTCCGCTCCTTATACACAATTTATTTTCACATTTTCATGCATTTTAATGCCCGTCTTGTTCAATTTATTTTAATAACAAGCTTTAAGGACTCTGGGGCGTTCGCGACCGACCTTTTAATGTACACGGTACATAGACAGTAAAAGCTCTGTGGGCAGACAGCTGCCACCTATGCATTTATCCTCTCGATTCCCCTGCTTACTGAGATGAACATCTTGTCCTCTTTGCCGGACAAAGAAACTAAAACCATCGTAGTTAGACCACCAATGTATTTCGTTTCATTTCAATTACGAGTAGAGAAATCCGAGGCATGTCAGAAGGTAGGGGTTAGAAACGCTTTCGTTGTTACTGGGTTGACCTAAGATCTAATCATGTAGGGTGTAGTCAAAATAGATTCGGTTAAATATTTTAAACAACTGTGTTTTAAATTAATGACTTTTTGGAAAAAAAAAAACAACAAACACAAGAGATAATTTTATAGATACCTTTAGATATTTTATAGGATCGGAATCTTTAATTAAACAGTTTGAAAGGATTATCATTTCAATTAAATGAATTATCTTTTTTTGTTTCTAAGATTTAAAATTATTTCAGTTTAAAATTTTTCGAAAAGAATATACGACTCCCTAAATAAATCCCGAATGTTGAACAAGTTTAATTTTTATTTAAACTAAAGTTTCAAAAAAAAAAAATTCAAAACAAATTGTATCTGTTTAAAATATATCTGAAAAAATTCGGACCAAAATATATTTGGAATAAATCCTTCTCTATTAGATCTTCCACGATTTTCTTTTAGGGAAATTTTAATAAAGGTACTTCAAAACCCCCTGCAAAGAACGGCTACCTATAGCATTGATGATGTGGTATTATTTTGGTATTTTCATACATTTCTTAAATTATTTCTCATTGACAAACTCTAGTGTTCAGGATTAAAAATAAATTCATTTATTTTATTAAAGCTCTGACATTTATTGAAATATTTAAATAACAGCTTCTTAAGATTGTTTATATTACAGTATTTAATCAATAAACCCCAAATACCAACGGTTCATACTATCGCATTCACCCGATTTGTAAACTCTCATCTCTAGTTTACTTTTACGAAAATCGGTGTGCCGTATTAAGAATTTTGTAAAAGCATACACAGAAGCCTTAAAATAATGGTTAATGACTCGGGTCTATCGACAGTAGATGACTTGGAGCAAAAACTAAGCACCGCCAAACAATCCCTACTTATATTAAATGAGAACATTCGACGCTTTTCCGGCCGCCAGTTGAGGTACAAAACATGTTCCCCAATTTAATGCAATTAATGATAATTTCCAATTTCAGGACGGAGAAATTCAAATACAACCAAGATGGAAAGAAGATCGACAATAATGGAGACAGGGATAGGGAACGTGACCGTCAGTTTCCACGTAACGGACCGGGAGGTGCCTTTAAAGACAAGCGGAGGATGTTCGATACAAAAGCGCCGCCCCGCTTTCCCGTCGAAGAAAACATGGATGGACGGCCGCCGAGGATAAACTCCAGAGTAATCAGAGAATTACCATCCAAAAAGGAAGTGGTCGAAGCTCAGGGAACTGATTCTGAGTCAAGAGCTCGGAACCGTCGGATGTTTGGTTCCCTGCTGGGAACACTGCAGAAGTTTTGCCAGGAAGAGTCTCGTCTCAAAAGTAAAGAGGATAAGAAGGCCGAAATAGAAAAAAAGGTAGAGAAACAGGAACTGCAAGAAAGAGCCTTGCTAAGAAAGGAGCGCGAGACTTTGTTTCTGGATAGGAAACGAAAGCAGTTTGAAATAAGAAGGTTGGAATACAAAATGGCCAGGCTGAAGGACTTCAAATCATGGGAGGCAACCATGGCCTATTCCAAACACCACATAAGAACAATAACAAAGCCGCAATTATTTTATCGGCCTAAAACGCATACAGCTAAAACTGAAAAATTGCTGAACAAAAGCAAAAGTGATGCCGATATCTTTATAGAGTGTAGGCGAGAGGAATTGGAAGCTGAACTGAGAAATTTGGAGAGCATGAATTTTATGAAGATGGATGAGGACAACGGGATGGACGACAGCTTCTTTGATGAGCCCGACGATGATGATCAGCTGGGCGGACCCATTGATAAGTGTAAGTATTTTTAAGATAAACCAATCCTGCATCGAAGCCCAGTATTCAAAATTTTAATTTTTCCTCCATTTTCTTCATTTTAGCTACATTGTATGGTAAATGAAATCGTAAAATTAGCCGATGCTATGCTAGGAATAAAGGACTAATTCAACTTGGATCAAATGTAATAAAATCAAGAACCGTTGTTTCATTTAAGTCATGTTTTCCGAGGGAAATAATAAAAAAAGAAATGAGGAAATCCAACTTTGAACGGAGCTTTAGTATAACAATCCAGATCCGTTTATTCAAAAGTCGCTCTGGTACGAAATACCTTTATGTTATGGGGTAGGATATCTTAATATATGTATACGATGTTTTTAATAACTACAAGGTGCAGTTAGATATGGAATTTTTAATTTTAAAACAACCACCGTTGCCAACCATACATTTGGACTCCTTCCAGTGTGACCGAAATCCGCAAAGATCCATGTCGTTTTTGGCTCATTTTTTGCAGTCAACCAGCTGAGCGGCTGGTTCGTTTTTGTTTATAAACCATGCACGTAAAGGCCACAAAAATACATTAGGAACCATTCCCTCGCCCCTCTGCAGTTTCGTTCTTCCCAAATATACGAATTGGCAAAGCAGTGAGTCCACTGATTGTAGATTACAGTCATAAAGTCATGGGATTGCACGTGTCTACAACATTTTTTATTTCTCAAATATCTTCTGCAGCTTAAAAAAACTATTCAAAATGCGTTTTTTGCGCCGAGGAACTGTTCAAAAAATTGGTGTTGGATTTTTAATCTGTATTTGCCTGATTACAGTTTATTTTGTGAACAATGAATCGGACTTGGATAAAAGCGATAAAATGTATGTATAATTATACACATATATTTATGTATGTATTTGTTATGATATGTATTTGCTTTTGCATTTCTGATAAAGAGAAATAATTGAACGCTCCATCCGGTCGGTGATCAACCAAGGGGACTGCCGGCACCCTCATCTTCCCTTGGACAATCCAGATATCATGAAATTCTATAAGCCGGTTGAGCGAATAAACTGTGGGGAAGGGTTGGACTGGGTGATGTGTGAAGTGAGTTTTAAAGAAACATTTAAATTCCATGGATAACACATTTTATTTTGTCGCAGAACTCTATTTGTTTCGTGCGACCAGAGATTGCTGCCAATCACGAGGATGTGACCTGTTCCTATACGGACATCATTCGCAAAACTGACTACAAGGTGCGCTTTGGCAGGACTCTGCGCATGAAGGAGCCCTATGTCCTTCAAGCTAGCGATTTTGTCAAGGTGGCTTGCCGCTCCGCCAACGGTGAAAGGTGATTCATCCTTTAGATTTCATTATTTGTAAATAGTTAACTCTTTTCATGTACTTTAGTTGGCTTGGAATGGCCCATGGGATACGTGATACAGTTCCACGCCCTCTGTCCGCAAACTTTTCACCAAATCTTGCTGTTCTGCCTCCGGAAGCAGTGGCCCAGGCGCAACAACAAATGCAGGATGTTCCAACTGCTTCGTTTTATAACGTTCTTATGTTCGGCTTTGATTCCCTGAGTCGGAATGCCTTCATCAGAAAACTTCCCAAAACCTACGAATATCTTACGCAACAGTTAGGTGCCACTGTGCTCAAGGGCTATAATATAGTAGGAGACGGGACTCCTCAGGCTTTGGTCCCACTACTTACAGGATTTACAGAGTTGGAACTTCCTGAGACGCGAAAGCGATTTTCTGGAGCAGGCAGCGTGGATTCATACCCGATGATCTGGCAGGACTTTGCTCGGCTCGGCTACATGACTTCTTTTAACGAAGACCTGCCAAACGTGGGAACATTCACCTACAGGATGACGGGGTTCGACCAACAGCCAGTCGATCACTACCTACGAACCTACTATGTTCAGGCAGAGCACATGGCTGCCGAGAGCCAACCCAACTGCATTGGTCGGCAGCCGGATCATATAACTATGCTAGAGTACACCAAGAATGTAAGGCACCAAGATGCAAAATGTAAATTATATTCTTTTTTAAACTTACTCTCCATTATTTTGTCCAATTTAGTTTATGCTAAAGTATCGGGACACGCCTCGTTTTGTATTCAGCTTTCATGGTGGACTCTCACATGATTCAATTAATTTAATTGGCGCTGCTGATGACGATGTCCATGACTGGCTGGTGTCGCTCAAGGAACGTTCGCTGCTGGATGACACCATACTTATTATGATGGCCGATCATGGGAATCGATTTGCCGAGGTCCGAGCCACACTTCAAGGAAAGCAAGAGGAGCGTCTACCGTTTTTCAGTTTTGCGTTTCCCGAGTCTTTCAAGAAACGCTTCCCACAGGAGTACAACAACTTCCTGGCAAATGAGCAACGCTTGACCACGCCGTTCGATATACATGCCACCCTGAAGCATATAATACGTAATTATAAAAGAAAGTATAATTTTTCAAATAACTATACTCTCCTACCCGTAACAGAGCTACAAAGTGCAGGGGGAGAGGATTTGTTAGCGGAGAGTAACAATCTCAAAACTGAACCCACTACGCCAGAAATACACATTTCGGATCTGGCCAAGGGTCGTGCCATATCGTTGTTTGAACCCATTCCAAGCAATCGATCCTGTGCCAGTGCCTATATAGAGCCGCACTGGTGCGCCTGCCTTAACTGGTTGCCCCTGCAGCTAAACGACACAAGGTATACGGGGATCATCCTCAAAACAGCGCAGAGCATAGTGGATGCCATCAATCTGGCCACAGATGGACAGCGTCAGTATTGTGCTCCTCTTCAGGTTGGTTTTATTCATAGTACCTCGTCCAATTCATCTAATCCGTTTTTTTCTAGCTGCTTCGTGTCAATTGGGCGCTTCGCTTGCAGCCCCACAAGGAACTGTTGCAGTTCAAGACCAACAGCGATAAGGACGGTTTTCTGGCGGATATGACCGGCCAGACCCTGGTTCGGGACGAGGTGTACCAGCTCCAGGTAGTCACGCAGCCCGGAAATGGGCTCTACGAGGCCAGTGTGGCCTACAATCTGCAAACGTTCAGTGCCACCACGAAACTAACTGATATTTCAAGGGTCAACAAGTATGGCAACCAGGCCAGATGTATTTACGATCGTGATCCGGAGTTGCGCAAGTTTTGCTATTGCCGCGACTAATCCGGAGGCACAAATCCACTCTCTAGTCCACACAAAACAATTGTAAAGTGCTAAGCAATCAACTCGAATAGATTTTTGCACGGCGTCCAAGTAACAGCCAACGCACGAATATTTTGTATTCTAATTTATCCCAAAGACTTCGCTCGTCACTGTCTCTCTAGAAGTTAGTCTGACTCAGTTTGTAATATAGGTTCCTTTAATCAACGATAATATTGTGTTAATAAAGTATTCCTTTTGTATATGTCAAGTGAACAAAAAATGTAATGCATTGGTAGTACTTATTGGGTAGTATTATATATTGTATTTCTATATGTCTGTACTTTTATTTGAAATTAACTTGGCGTACACAGACGTTTACGATAAATTTATACGCATATTGCAGTGAACAGGGAGGAGGGCATAAGCCCTGGTACAAAAATCATGGGTTAAAATTAATAGCTTGCGTAAATTCGTATTCGCGTATATACATACTATATGTGCTTAGTAAACTAGATGTTCATCCTTTGGTTTATCCATACATATCTTATATATTTCAAGGCTGATGCGAGCTTTTCACACTCGTTCATTACTGTACTTTCAAGTGGTTATTCGGGACTAAAATCGCCCATAAGTAAGAATACATTTGTCGAGAGAATTCGGTCGAGAAATCTCCCTGCACTTAGATAGGTGAACTATAATACTTAAGACAACGTATTAGATGATTTCATGGGAATTTAATTAAAAAAAAAAATATTAAAGTACGGAAATATCGTACAAAAGTAGTAATTTATTCGAAACTCAATAAATTAAAGGCGCTTTTATTTTAAGCAACGTCTAAAAAAAGGTTTATAAAATAGTAATGAAAATTACAACCGAATAGGAAACCAAATGAACATAGGAAGTTACGTCTTAAACTAAATTAGTCTCAGAAACTAAAGGTCGATTTTGGTGCTTCCATGAGCGAAATGTTTTGGATTTCATGAACCCTTAGGGCCAACAACTTAGGATCTAGTGTGGGAGAGGAATCGAGGAATTGAGGCTGTTATTAAGCCCGGTTACTTGGCTTTTGGTTTACAACTCTAACTCTAAGCCTAATGATTTGGTTGTGTGCATGAGGGGTTTGTGCATCGTCTAGCTGTAGAGAGCCTGTCCAGTGGCGTTGGATGTGTTGCTATTGGCCAGATGACCATGTCACGACACCGACGTGGCTAGGAACTCCTGCAGCCGCTGCACTGTGCTGCGGTCCAGCTTGCACAGGTCGAAGTCGAACGTCTTGTGCGTGATCTCATAGCAGCCAGTCGCCGCAATCATTTCCACCACGTGCTGCAGCTCCTCGTTGTCCTGCAGTGTCATGATTTTGTGGTGAAGCTCCTGCAGCTCGCTAAGATACTCCGTCGGCAGCTGTAGCTGAGCGGGAGTATTAATATCTGCCGGTGAGTGGCCGCTATTATTCGCATTGTGGTTGTTCATGTTGGGCGCAGCTCCCACAGCCCCAGTATGATTGGTGCCTGGCGAAGATTGTGGCGGTTGCAGGAAGCCCCCAGATGCAGCATTGGGAGTTCCCGATCCAGAACCTGGTCCCGAAGAATTGGTTTCCCTCGGAGGCCGCAGAGAGGGTGACTTAGACTTTTCCCTAGGCGCCTTATTCGGCTCCTTCTTTGTTGATTTTACTGGAGGTTCTATGAAGCCTCCGCCATTGTTGCTGTTCTGTGAGCTTCTACGATTGCGCGTCTTTTCCTCTTTTTCAGGCTTTTCCATTTTCTCCGACTTATTCTCAGTCGGCTTGTCCGCTTTTTCCGCCTTGTTGCCAGCCTTTTCACTCTGTTTGGACTTAGCCTTATGCTCTTTGTTTCCAGCCGGCTTGGTATCCTTTCCCGATCCTGTGTTGGCTTTCGATGGCTTTTGTTGACTGTTTATGCTGCTTCTCGCTGGCAAGTCGGGGAAGCTGCTGTTTGAGCTATCTGAGTGCTGGAGTGTGGCTGCTGCAGCGGCGGCAAGTGCGGTGGTGGCTGCTAAATCGGGTGCCGACTGAGCGGAGTCCACATCGCTGAGATCCAAGTTGCTGGGCGCCTTACTTTGTGCTTGTTGCTTAGAATCGTTCTTAGCATCCGGATCCTTGTCGCCCGCTGCATCTCGTGGCCGCTTTTCATCTTTACTGGATTTCTCCTTGGATTTCTTGTGCTTCTCCTTCTTGCTACTACTGTTGCTGGCATTGGCACTGGACACGGTCTTGTCTGTGGCCGCACCTTCTGTGGAAGGACTGGCTCCCCCGGTTTTGGGCGATGGCTCAGTCAGTGATGGCTTCTCTGTGGTTATTGCTTGCTGCTTGTCTTTTTCTCGCTCCTTTGGTTTATCCTTATCGCGCTCCTTGTCCTTTTCTTTATCCCGATCGTTACGGTCTTTGTCCTTATCCTTGTTTTTATCCTTTTTCTTATGTTTGTGCGATTTCTTTGGCTCGGAAGCATTGCCATTGCTGGTACCTTTGTCCGTTTTAGATTCCGTTGGCTTCTCAGGATGTTTTCCACCAGTGGCATCTTCCTTGTGCTTACTGGAGACCGTACTGCTGCTGCTATTACTTCCCACAGAAGTGGGCGTGGCTTTTCCTGTGACAGCTACATGGGATTGCTGAGAAACAGTTAGAGTATTCCCCCCAGCCGGACTATCGGTTTGGCCGATTCGATCATCCTTTGGCAGTCGCTTGTCCTTGTGCTCATCACGTTGCTTTTCCCGATCGCGGTCCCGATCTTTATCCTTGTCCTTCTTATCCTTTTTTGACTTCTTGCCTGAGCTACGTTCCTTGTCCTTTGATTCGGACTTTCCCGATTTGTGCTCGTCGCGTTCCTTGGAACGCGATGCGAGTGGTGCCGCGGTAGTGGAATCAGTTGCTGTCTTTTTGGGACTGGGGGCACTCATTTCAGTGGGCTTTCCAGGTTTCGGACTCGCCGTGTGCTTTGCCAAGGATCCCGCTGTCACGCCAGCTGCGATAGCAGCCGTTGCAACCGCGGAGGAGGCCGTACTGCTAGAGCTCTGATCACGATCGCGTTCTTTGTCTCGTGTCTTATCCTTTTTGGATTTCTCTTTATGCTCATGCTTGCTGCTGTCGCCAGATTTGCTGGACTTTCGGTCCTTGTCGCGGCCGTGCCGATCCTTTTTGTCCTTTTCACGTGGCTTGTCCCCTCCACTAGATTTGTCGCGCTCCTTGCTGGTCTTCTCTTTACCTCCGTCGTGAGACCCACTTTTGCCACCGCCTCCGCCCGGCAAGTTTTTGCCCTCAGGTGAGTGCTTGGTAGCGGGCACCGGGGCTAGATTATTGGCGGAGGCACTTCCCTTTGTTATGGGAGGGCCAAACAAGGCAGAGAAGGCATTGCTTTTAGCAGGGTCTTCATTTCTCGACTTGTGCTTCTTTCCTGCCCCAAGATCGGCATTGGTCAATGTTGCTGCAGAACCACCCTTGCCTTTGACGACCCCAATTTCGTTGTTCGAAGTTGCGTCAGCTCCAGCCACGCTGGGGGAAAGGGTTCGAGCGATATTGCTGGTGGCTACGTTAGCACCAAATACCGGCACACCACCTCCGCGCATCAACTTCGCCCGGAATTCCTCCGACGGGGCCTCGAAGATGTGAGTCTTTACTTGGACTCGATGCTGCGGAGGCCCCGTAGTCTGCAAGCTCAAATCGTACTGGTACGTTATTCGCTTGGGATCATCGCGATTGCGAAAGTGTATTTCAACGGGTAGCAAAAAGCCGGCATATCCAGATTCCTGAAGGGCATACGGAGGTTCCTTAAAGACTGCAAAGCGAAGGAATTAAAATACTGATCTATGAAAGCTAAGGAGCTTAACACCTACCGCGCTTCGGCTTGGGAAAGGATTCGTGCAGCAGAAACACAACCTTTTCTACAAACGCGCTTATGTCCGCCTTGTTCACGCCCTGGACGTAGATCTCCCAATCATGGGTAAAGGACTGCGGATGAGGTGTCTTCTTGCTGCGCAGCTTCGACGTGTGGCCAATCTCAAATTGCACCTTGACCGCCATACCTGTGGGTTAAGCATCAAACCTAAATTTCTGCTAGGCGGTTTCCAGCAAGCGTCTGCTGAAAAAAAGGTAAGCGCGCCAAAATTGATAAACATTAGAGAATCGTTTAATGTAGAGATAGTTAAAAATATGTATATAATAAATGATCAGGTGCTGAATTAAGGGTTTTCTTAAGGTACTTAGGGTGCATGCGTGATGGGAAGATGCGTCCTCAAGAAAGTCACGTCCTCACTCGAACTCATTCAAGTACAATTTTCCCTAGCTGATGAGGGAGTGTACTTGTTAGATTATCCAAAATGATTAACACCACTTGTTTTGTCACAATTATCCTTTTTGGAACACGTATTTTGTTATGATTTGTTTGGAAAGCAATCTGTTATTGTTTGTGTGCGAATGTGTGCCACCGCATTGTGCCCTTTCCAATAGGGAAGCTTTCGCCCGTTCATGTTTTTCAATTTGGGTTTGGCTTTTGATGAATTATTTACGTACCAACGCAGATTGGGGCATTCACATGAACCTAGGCGCTATTTTTGGAAAAGCCGCAATGTTTTGCTTCCTTGATTCGAACGAAATTCTGGAAAAACACACAGAAAATCCAGAGTTTGTTGAGGGCCTGCAGTAAGTGCGACCAGAGCTTTTTAAAAGATACAATGAGAGTTCATTGAAATAAATACTAAAATTCGCTAATAATAAAATACTCTTTTATTTAATTATTAGTTATTCGTGACATACAGTTTTGTATGCAGTTTATAACGTAAATTAAAACAAAATATATTTTCAAACTGATAATTAAATTATCATTGATCTTTAATGGAAAATTAATTTTAGGTATATTCTAGTATTTTTCTGGATTTTACCACCTACGGCGGGAACAAATTTGTATCCAGCAACCTGGCTGCCACTTACTGGAGCTCATCCCGCTGGCTAGATAGAAATAGAGATAAAAATAACCTTTTAAAACATCCTGTGGGACTACCTATAGCCGGACTAGCTACGACCTGTTTGTATGCTTTCCACTTAAATGGGAACTCGGCTCAGCCGGAAGGATTTCTCTTTCAATTGTTGTCACAATTTTTTAATCTGCTATGCAAGAACAAAGTATCCTTAAATTGTTAAATTATCTTAAATTGCAGAGAAGGCTTTGCTTTCAGCAGGGTCTTCATTTCCCGACTTGTGCTTCTTTCCTGCCCCAAGATCGGCATCTGTCAATGTGTCTGCAGAATCACCCTTGCGTTTGGCGACTCCAATTTCGTTGTTTAAGGTTGCCTCAGTTGCCTCAGCAAAAAATACCGGCACACTACCTCCGTCCATCAACTTGGCCCTGAATTCCTCCGACGGGGCCTCGAAGATGTGAGAGTTTACTTGAGCATGATGCTGCGGAGGCCCCGTAGTATGCAAAGTCAAATCGTACTGGTACGTTATTATCTTAGGATCATTGCAGTTGCGAAAGTGTATCTCAACAAGTATCAAAAAGCCGGCATATCCAAATTCCTGGAGAGAATACGGAGGTTCCTTGAAGACTGCAAAGTGAAGGAATCAAAATTCGGATCTATGAAAGATTGGAAGCTCGACAGCTACCGCGCTTATGGTTGGGAAAGGATTCGTGCAGCACAAACACAACCTTTTCTACAAACGCGCTTATGTCCGCCTTATTCACGCCCTGGACGTAAATCTCCCAATCATGGGTAAAGGATTGCGGGTCCTCACCCACTGTTTCCTTGCTGATCAGCTTCGACGTGTGGCCAATCTCAAATTGCACCTTTACCGCCATACCTGTGGATTAAGCATCAAACCTAGAGTGTGTACTTGTTAGTACTTGTTACACGAACCTGGACGCTATTTCAGGAAAAATCGCAATGTCTTGCTTTCTTGATTTGATCTTTTAGATTTGAAAATTCGCAAATAATAAAATACTCTGTTAGTTTATTATTAGTTATTCGTGACATAAAATGTTGTGCAAAGTTTGTAACGTAATGTAAAAGAAAATATATTTCCCAACTGATAAGGAAATGACCATTGATCTTTGATGGATTATTGGTGGGTTCGAGGAAATTCTCGTTGGAAAATTATTTTAGGTATATTCTAGTATTTTTCTGGATTTTACCACCTGGCCTCTCTGGCAGACACCTACTTACACACACTAGTCCGCACGGCGGAAAAACAATAAAATAATTTGCAAAAGTTATGGCCAAAACCAAAAGTATTTGGTGATTTTGAATTTGCAGACTATTTTTGGTCGCAAAAAGGTCGGTGAAAATGACCACCGATTTCGGTGGCAGCCAATTTGTAACCAGCAACCCGACCGCCACTTGCGGGAGCTCATCCCGCTGGCTAACCGAGGATGTTTTTAAACTGGTGGACATTGTCCAGCGGGACGAAGCCATCTACAACCCGCGGCACAAGTACTACTTCTGCCGACCCTACGTCGAGAACTTTTGGCGAGAGGTAGACCTGAAGCTCGAGAAGAACCCTGGAGCTAGCTTGGCCAAGTGGACCAATCTTCGCATCTCGTTCCGTCGCGAGTACACCAACTACTTGGAAGAAAAGGTGCCGCCATGCTGGTCCTACTTCGAATGCATGTTCTTTCTGCACCCTTACCTCCGAAAGAAACACCAGCAACCCAAATCGCTGGACACCCAGGTGCAAGATGCTCTGGCCCATCTATCAAGCCTGTCCAATCGCATGCAGCGAGAGCGTTCAGCGGTGATCCCAGCCAGTAGCAGTGGCGGCCAGCCGTCTGTGTCCGCACATCAGTCGCCCCAGGGGCATCAGCAGCTAGATAACTACTTGGACTACTTCGACGAAGCAGAACACAACAACTCCGAGTTGGAGGATATCATGGAGGAAGAGCAGCAGCGAACCAATCGCTTCCACAACCAGTTGGACAGCAATGATATTAAGTCGGAGTGCGAGGAGCCGGTGGATGACTACGAACAGGAACAGGAGGAGGATGATCACGAGGATCACGACTTGCACAAAATGGCCCCAACTTCCAGTTCTACGGCGGCGGGGATTGAGGCCCAACGGCGCTACGCTCATCATCAGCCGCAGTCGACCCGACTTCATTTGGGGCGTCTGCAGATGAGGGGCTACCAGGACGAGTTGAGAGGTGGAATTCGACCACGCTCTCAGGAGTTACAGGCTCCTACCGCATCGGTGGCAGGAGTCAACTTCACAACGCAGACGGCAACCCACTCAAATATATCTTTTGTGCGACCCACATTCTCCAAGCCAGTGGATCTCGTCAGCACGACTACACACAGTGGCGGCGGAGTAGTTGGAGGAGGAGCTGGTGGTGGGGTGGCCGTAGGCGCAGCTTCTTCAGAAGCAGAGCTACCTACGCCCTCTACTGCGGCCGTGCCCACAACAATTATGCCTAGTAGCAGCGGTGGAAATGGAGGCAGCTACCTTCGGCACAACCATTCTCATGGTGGACATCACCCAGCGCCACCGCCAGGGCTCCCTTTGCGAGTGGAGACAAATAATTCGGGTGGTGGATCCTTGGCCAACGGGAGTGGCGGTGGTGTGGAGTTGTGCGACTGCAAAACCGATCCCGATGCCATGTTTTTAATGAGCCTTCTGCCAGATATCCAGAAGCTAAACGGACGCGACCGCGGCAAGATCAAGATTGCCTTTCAAAACATCCTGCAGGACTACCTATACCCGGACTAGCTACGATCTCTGTGTATACTTTCCGCTTAAGTGGCAACTCATTCGGCTCAGCCGGAAGGATTTCGCTTTCTACTGTTTTTGGTTTTTCGTTGGTAAAATTATTTAATCTGCTGTGCAAGAACAAAGTATCCTTAAATTGTTTTGAACACTATTTTCTATGTTTATTAAGTGTATAAATATTTATAAATATTAACTGTGTAATACACAAGAATAAATTCATTCGAAATTATGCGAAATATATGGCTACAGGTAACTAGAAGTATCACATACGAGGGCCAACTCGGATCGGATTGAATCCCATCCTCAATCGAGGAGCCTCAGCGCGCGGGTGATCTTCTTGATCTTGTTGTCCAACGTCTTGTCCTCGTGCTCGCATATGTAGTAGTGTCGGGACGTGCACTCCTGACCGAAGTACACATAGCTGTGCTTTCCCGCGTTGTAGCTTAGTCGAAGACAGCGACCCTTTCCCTCAATCTGCACTGTATTATTGAGCACATCCTCCCCGGCTGCCTCCTCGGTCGACTGCTCCGAACTGTCCACCAAATTGGAAGCAGTAGAGTTCTCTGCTTTTTGAGCCATCGCGATGGAAGTGAGATTCGTGTTTGGGTTAACAGGCTTTGCAGAGTTGGACCAGATCCAGAGCAGACCCGGGTTAAGTCCGCCAAGCCAGTAGTCCCTGCCCCGGTGAGCTGGCTGGTTCAGCAGATAGGCCATTATCTCCTCGTTCTCCGATACCTTCTCGAACTCGGCCAGGTGCGAGTTAAGAGCCTTGCAGGCCGAGTTAGCCGTCTTCCAGTTCACTTGTTGCTGGCTGTTGATGTAGTAACAGTTGTCGCTGATCCGGGTGAAGTTCGTAGGACATGGATCCTTTACCTCCTTCTGGTTGTTGCCAGCCATCAGGTAATAGATAAGCTGCTCCGACCGCCTCACTCTGCTCTCTAGGTAATCTGTAAGAGGATTTTTAGCTTATAGAATCTGGATCTCGGAGAGAGGATATTAAAACATCTTACCCACTCTGTAGACCAATTTCTCAATAGCTCCTAAAAGATATAGATCGTTTTCAGAAACGGCACGGAAAGTAGTCGGCGGATTGCTGCCTCCGCCCGGGTGATGTTGCTGCGGCTGCTGTTGCAGATGCTGTTGTGGAAGTTGCTGCTGCTGCTGTAGAGATACAGGTCGCAAATGCTGCTGTGGGGCATTCCCTCCACCTCCGCCACCAGAACTGCCACCAAAGCCAAATATTTGCTGCAGGAAACCAGGCTGTTGCCTTTGCTGCATCTGCTGTTGTTGCTGCTGTTGTTGATGCAGCATCTGGTTGGTCATTGGACGAAACTGGGGATTGACGATGGGACTCTGGCTCTCGACGGGCTTACGTAGATGAGGCTCCAATTCTACAGCTTCACCTATGCGGCGGGTGATGTAGATGTTGTTTCCAGGTCGTTTGTAGGCCGAGGAATGGTAATTTAATGGGCCATTCATACCCATTTCTCCGCCCATATAGGGCAGATCCTTACTCTGGCGATGACTACTGCTTTGGCTAAAAAGAGTTATAATTTTTTTAGGGAATTGGCCACTTCACCCACCCGTCAGTAACACCCACCTCAAGACGTAATCTTCGAGAAATTGTGACCAAATGGGAGCATCTACGTCCGCCTCCGACTTGACGAGTGATTCATTGGCGTATTTTTGCATAGTTTCACCATCATCGCTGCCGATGGCATTGCATAAGAGTCCGGGCATTACGAGTACCGCCAGGTAAACAAGGGCTCCAAGCCGGAGGTGTTTGCTAGCCGGCGACATGATGACATGCAACATTAATGGGTATATTGCCCCCCGCCTTCGATTCACCTTTGAGGCAGTACTTGAAAATGCAAGTCGCGCGCGAGTCACTTTCGATTTTGGTGCGTTTTTCGTGCGGTTTTAGCCGCGTCCGCGTCTCTAGACCGTTCGTTCGCCTGTGTCGAGCTTAAAACCCCGACTGAAGCGTGTCTGGTGGCTTAAACTTGAGCTTGGCTTTCGGTCCGGTCCGGTCCAAGCCTCTCCGGTCTCTCACCACCGCCAATGGCAATGGCCCAGACCCATTGAGGTTGTTGTTTTGTCGCTGAGACTGAGAAATGCAAAATTTCACTTTCTCCTTCGGCTGTGCGGCTGGCTCTTTACAAATGTAAGTCATTGGGCCTTTCTTGTGATCTGTGTTTCTCCCGCAGCTTTTGTTGGCCGTCAACGCCCGCCTTCTGACACACTGTTTGCACTCCATTAAGTTTGATTTCGAGCTTAGGTAATTTAAGTGGTTCATAGAAAGGTAAATAAAGAGGAATAGTAATGGTGGAAATATAATTATTCCATGATATACCGATCCTTTGAAGATCTGAGGGAAAGGAGCTTTTATAGCTAGGAATAGTGGCTGTTAGGGTCGAACTATCACTTTAAAACTATATTCCTTCTAATGACTTCATTGAAATATTGTCATATTTTAACACCAAAATAGAAACTTGCTTTTAAATTTAAGCTATCATTTTATATATATTAAATATTGCAGCTCTTCATATTTTCTAAATATTTAAATATAATACTGAAATCCCAAAATAGAAACTTGCTTCAAACTTTTAATGCAAACCATTTTCTAATCTCTGCCAAGTTTAAGACCCCTCGTAAGTTATACATGCCAACTATCATATTATTTTATATCTAACCAGCTTATGTAAATAATGACCCGAGATATCTTATGTGCAATTTAACACACCACTTAAAGTTTTAATAACTATTTTATGGCACCACGTCGCTTTGAGATTTGAGAGAAAGAAGTCACCAAAGAGAAAGAGCCGGTGGACAGATGGACGGATAGATGGACAGAATGGGGGAATTAAAGCTCCATCAATATGAAAGGCGGCCTCCGACCGGGAGCTCGATGGGGGTATTGCCCATGTCGGACCTGGCCTTAACTGAATTATTGATGGTCGAAAAGCTGGCGCCCACATCTATCTATGTATATCCATCCAAAAAGATCTCGAAACTTGCCAACTACTTTACCCTGAAGATATGAATGAATCTGGCAGATATATCTGAACTTTCGTTATTTTCATTGCTATGACAATTAGCGGATGTTAACGATGTTGCAACGAAGGCCTTGTTTGCGGTTCGTGATCCATCGCCGATCAAGTGATGACGCACTTTTGATTTTGGTTATTTTGGACCATGGGGTTTCCCAAAACATACAACCAACGAAAAAAATATTTATAAAAAAAACCAAAACCAACTTTGCATAATCGACAAGTTCACATGAATCTCGAATAATTTCTTATCAACTTCAGCGAAGACCGGCTGACGGGCAAAGAAAATCAATTTTATGGATTCTCATTGAAAGCAAACATCAAACATATAATTTTTTTTTAGCAAATTTTTTATAAATTTTTTTGTATACTTTTTTTGTTGGTGTTTTTGTGTGTAATTTTATGATATAAATTCAAATTAAAGCAGGATTCTTAACAGCTTAGATACAGTTATAGATCTATCGCCCTATCTCTTTTCCTAAATTTCTCCCTATCTCTCTCTCTCTATAATTTATTTCCTGCTTCGGTCCGCTTCTTAATATTTTTAAACAATTGCTTTAAAAATACAAAATGGGTTTTTCAAGTAGAGGGACTTGTTTTTTACATTCTGCTACGTTTTGGTTAATTTTATTTTTTATAAAATAAAAAAAAATTAAATATTCAAAAAAGATAATGTGATCCTTGGTTCTATTACAATCTATGCTTGGTTCTTGTTGCTGTTGTTGATCTTGTTGTTGTTGTTATTTATTTATTATGAAGTATATAGATTTATAAAGAATTTTTATACACAATGGATGTTGTTCTTGGTATCTGGTATATCATTCTGAGATAATCGTTAAAATTAGTAGAGTACTTCGTCGTCGTCGTCTTCTGTTTCCTCCGCTTCTTTTCATTGTTGTTGTTGCTGTTGTTGTTGCTGATGATGTTCCTGGGGTTATAGGCCATAGTTCAATAGCCATTTTAGTAGCCAGCCAACTCGGCGAATGTGGAGTCCATCTCGTCGGCCAGGGACTTGTACCTGTCCTTGTTGATGCCCAACTCGTCTGTGGAATTAATTAAAGGGAAATTATTAGAATTTTCAAATATTAACCGATCATTGATAAGGACATGGCAGAAAAACATTTAACACTTAAACGATACACTGTGCGAAATCAGTCTCAGCTTGGGTTAAAAGCGCGCTGTTCTGGCAAGCGTTTTATATTAACAGGTATGTTACGTGATTTTTAGATGTATCTATTTTTATATCAGTTAGTCTGCAGTGCTGTGAGGGATTGGAAAGTATCTAAGGGGGACATCTACGGGTTTTAGCCATGATCTATCAAACCAATAAATGCAGACTTCTGTGGCGGAAGACCTGAATCGAAGTCAGCTTGGAAATGACCTCGGGAGAGAACTCAATAGTGATGTGATCGTCAAAAGAGAAAAACAGAGACAACATATAAAGATATATAGTGCTGATCTGAGAGTATCCAGGGAGGGCAAGACAGGTCAAGAGAGGTCATGCCACATCAATAACGGAAAGGAATATCTGGCATTCAAACAACATATACATTGAAAAATTCACCTGTGTGTTGAAAGCACAATTAACTACAGTTGCAACTTATTTTTGGCTTTGGCTTGATCTGAACTTGATTTTTTACAGTGTACTGTCTGGAGACTTTGGGGGGAAACGGGGCGTGCGTGGGTGTGGCCACATTCAAGCGAGACTAAACAAATTATTTACAGTGTATAAAGAAAGAGAGTCGTGGACAGAAGTGTATGGTTTTGGATAAATACACTGGCATCGGAAAAATAATATTGTTTATAAAAATATATAGTTGGGGGGAAAAATTGTTGTTTCTTTCGGGGAGGGGATTCTTGTGTGAGTTTTGTTGGATTTGTTTTTTGATTTTTTTTTTATTAATATCCAGTAAGTTCGGCAAATGTCTGGTCCAAATCGTCGCAGATTGCTTTGTATTTTTCCTTCTCATGGAAGAGACGGTCTGCAAAAAGCATTTTTTTTGTTGGTTTTCATTTATACAATTTATATACAAAATAGAGAGATGATTATTCTTTTAGAAATGGGCAGAATATGGGTCGAAAATATATAATTACGTCAATTAATGAAAGCAGAGTATGGCGAGTAAGTAAGAGTATTAATATCCATTTTGGGCGATATATACAATGCGAGCATTAGTTGAAGCCAGCGTTCCGACTGGAGTGGCATCTCCGGCGTCTCGTCGAGGGATTTGCCTCCTCGGGAGCTGAGTGAAATGGCGGGGGGTATGGTGGGATTGGGACTGGGAGACTTACCCTCTAGCCTGTCGACCTCCTTCTGCAGGCGCTTGACTTGCTTCTCGGCGTGCTCGGCGCGCTGCTCGGCCTCCTTCAACTTGATGGACAGGGTCTTCATCTCGCGCTTGAATTCCTCCACGCGCTGGTTGGCCTTCTCCTCAGACACCTCCAGAGACTTCAGAGAGTTGCCGACAACCTGAATACGAGAAAACATGATATCGTCGATTCCTAACATGAATCTAAAGATAAACCCACCTTCAGCTCCTCCTCCAGCTCCATGATCTTGGACTCGCCGGAGCGGACACGATCCTCAGCCACCTCCAGCTCGTCTTCAACGAAGGCCAGCTTGCGGGACACTTCGTCGGACTTGGTGTCAGCATCCTCAGCGAGCATGCGGGCCTCCTTCAGCTGGTTGGTGAGCTGATCCATGCGCTCCTCATCCTGCTGGGAACGGTTCTCCAACACCTTGCACATACGGTTGTTCTCATCAGCCGACTGGGTGGCCTCCAGCAGCTTCTGTTGGGCGGTGGTCGAGCGCTCCTCGGACTTCTCCAGATCCTCCTCAATCTGTTGCACCTTACGGTTGAGGGTAGCCACCTCCGATTCGGTGGAGGTCAGGAGTTTCTCCTTCTCCTCCAGCTCGGTGTTGGCCTTCTCCAGCTGCTCCTTGGCGGTGACCAGATCAACCTCCACCTGGACGAACTTCTTCTCCAGATCGCGCACCTCCTCGTTCAGTTTGTCGGCGCGGGAGTTGGCATCCTTAGCTTGGTTCTCGCAGGTATCGGCCTTGTCAATGGCGTTATCCTTCTCAAGCTTCATCGCTTGCATCTTCTTCTTGATGGCGTCCATGGTGTTTGTGTTTTTGTTAACGGCTTAGAAGGGAAGAAAACTGGAAAAAAGCACTGAAAAATAAAAAGAAAGGTTTTTTAAAATAGGGATTTAAAAAAGATTTCATGCCTCGTTTTGAGAAAGGTTGGGTTTTCAAAAAATTCATCCCCAAAACCATAATTTAATCTTTTTAATAATAAATTATATCTCTCATCTTGAAGTATTTTAAGTAGATGGCTGTTATCATTCCAAAATGTATCTCTTATTTTGAAATGCCTAATTTTATTTTTTGGAAATTCTATACTACTTGAATAAAAGAATCAAAATAAACATTGGAAATGTCAATATATCATGCGATATATATATTCCCATGTAGAAAGTATCATGAGAGCAATACACCTGTGATATTTTACTTGACACTTGGAAAATTTTTTATTTTCCAAAAGACATAAAAAGTGCAATTGAAAATCTGTTTATTTGAATTCTCCAGACGCATTCTATATAATCTATATAGGTGAACGGGATGTTTAATTATAAATATTTTTGTGTGTGCATATGTATCTGTGCAATAAATTTGAAAATTTAAATGTAAACACATTTCAGAAGATCTCACGTAATTTTCATTTTCCATTTTCAATACGCCCACTCCGATTCCGAATCCGGATCCGGCGATGAGCTATATATTTTTGTGCGCTGCACGATATTTTTTGGGTTAAAAATAAACTTTATATGCTTTTGCATGTGAAAAATATCCAGTCCACTCACACACACAAACACAAACTCACAAGAAGAAATGCTTTTTTGGACATTGTGTGCTAAATGTAATTCTAGAGTTTCCCCCTATTATTTCGAAATACACTAAAAACGCAAATAGATGTGTGTTGAGAGATTGCAATTTGAAAAGATTTCAATTCTTTGGGGTCATTTAGTGCGTGGGTGTGGGTGTGGGTGTATCTGATGAGATGGTGATTGTATCTGTATCTGTGTATCTATGGGGCTTCCACCAGAAGTGGGACAAAGTCATTTATGTTGTAGTTGCTGCTCTTTTGGAGGTCTTTCGATACTTTTGTTGTTTTTTTTTTTTGGTTCCCGAAATACTATATCAAAGAGGATCAGTTTTTTTTTTAGAAGGAAGGGGTTTGGAAGATATAAAATTTAATTTTAAACAAAAGTCAAGGAAAAGTTAATCCATAAATCTTGGAAAATATTTAGTAGTTCATACAATAAATATTCATTTTATATCTTTTATTTTAATTATTAAAAGAATAAAAAGCTTTTACCTAATATCTATTTTTTCATAAGCTTTTATACATATATTATGTTATACTATTTTCAAAATGTATAAGTAACATAATAATTTGGCCTTCGAAATCATTCATAAATGGCAAGAAAATATTAGTTCTGTTTTTGAATTTCTGTGGGTGGCAAGACAAATATATATCTATACATCTTTGTATCTATATCTTTTCTTCTATATGTATATCTATGTTTTCCCAAGCAGCTATCTTATTTTCCAAAATATATAGCTTTTCCGCCCGCCCCTTCTCTAGCTCGTAAAAACAATCTCAAGGATAAATTCCCATATCTTCAATTGCCTTCGACTGTTTGTTCACTTTATGAGATCACAGAAAGCTAGACGGAAAAGCTTTTTCGTCTAAATTTCAAGTAGAGTTAAAAATAAACTGATCTGAATGTGTGTGTTATTTTTTCATAGAGCGAGTAGGCAGGTGTCTGTCTGCAGTTAATTTTAAAGAATTTTCTTCGAGGAGAACACTTTTTTAAGTGTAGGGGTGTGTGTGTGAAAATTGTGCGTAGCAGAATAGGTGTGTAAGGTGTGTGTGCATATGTATATGTATCCCATTTTCTGGTGGAGCTTTCTTGTGAGTGTGTGCAATATATTCTCACACACGCAGGGATATTTGATGGTATTGGTGCCGTCAGATTTAGTTACAAAATTCCTTATAAGCGAATTTTTTGAAGCATCCGAAACAATTTTCATAAATTTTCATTCGAAAATTTTTTAAAGCCAAAAATACTATTTTTTGAAGTTTTCACTTTATATTATAAACTTTTTAGTTATTGCACTTGTCAATTTTTTATATTAAGAACTTAATTAAAATTCTTAGCTCTCTTGACACATATACATATGCACATTATTTATCGTGAAATAATAGAGTTGATCCCATTTTTTAATAAATTTCGAAGTTTTATGCTTCAAAATGCACTTATCACTTTTTTTTCGAAAACTGGTATATTTTATCCATTTTTAAATACCAATTTGTCAAAGACGAGAGTTAAATTATATTATATAGAATTTTTTTTTTGATAATTTTTTGGGTAAAAATCCTGGTGGACCAACCTTAGCGTTTCAAACACACTATACGCTGTCGAAACCCCGAGAACACTGATGCTGACCAAGTTGCTTAGCCAAGAAAGCGACCCCAAGATCCGACGCAAGGCAACACACGCATACACACTGATAGACACACACTTGGGGAAAATTCACACACACACTTGATCCTCACACCAACGCGGTATTGAATAATTTTTCTCGCCTCAAAATTTCCCACTAAAATATAAGCGGAAAAGCGCTTTCGCAACTTTCCGCCTCAAGATCGAAAATTTCCCTCAAAATTTCCCCCAACTTTTCTCTCTCATTTCTCAGCCTGCATTCTCGTCATTTGAACGGCGTGAAAATTATGCGTTTTTTTTTTTTGTGTTGTTTCTCCTTCTTAAAATTAAATTGAATTTATTTTTTACTCACAAAACACTCTCACAGTTGTGTATAGTATGTGTGTGCCTGTATCCGTCAGATACGTGGCTAAAAATAGCGCATAAATGTTAGATGACTGCCAGAGAAAAGAAGCAAGAGCAAGCCTAACAAGATGAACATCTATTTTGGCCTGGCTGAAAAAAAAAAACACAAAAAATATTGAGAAATATTTGGAATTTTGATCGGAACCATGCCAGAAGGCGAAACAACAGTTCATTTGCTATTTTTTGGGGCTATTAATTAGTCTAGTTTTCTAGTTGTCTAGTTTTTCACAAAGAGTTAAAGAAAGGATAAATGGATATATTCAAAATAAATGGATCTTAATAGGATAACACCTAATAAAACCTAATAAAAATTTAATTCAATTAAAAAAAAAAACCGAATGAATTAATTGAATTCATAATTTAGCTACATGAACAGCTTTTTCTTTACATATTTTGTATTTTTATTTAATAATCAGCCCTATGAAACTCATAAATACTTAATGCCATTTAATGACAAAATTGTAATTGTTTGTTTTGATTGTATTATCGAATTTATAGGGAAATTTTTAGCAAAACCAATATCAACAAAAAGTCCCTAAAGTTTTTGTACATCACCCATTATTAAATTATATATTCCAATCATATATATTACTTTTGCAAGTTGAAAATCCCATTTCTTATACATTTTAAACAAATTCTCAAAACCCATAAAGAAAAATTTAAAAATAGACCGTATTTTTGTAATATTGCGCTTTTATTGTATTTTCTGTACATATTTATGTATAAATGGATATACATTGTTTATTAATTTATTACCAACCCAGTGGTCTCTCCAATGTATTGAAGGAATGAGGTGAGACGAACATAGCCAGAAGGATACCCAGCAGTGCACTGATCTTCGGCCACGAAAGAGTTGATACCAATTTGCTGCCACTGCCCGGAACTCGAGTTGTAGAGGATTAGGGGACCACCGGAATCTCCACTGCAGATAGACATATTGGTGCCATCGGCTCCCTGGGCGCACAGAGTGGAGTCTAACACCACAGAGGAGCCGTAAATGGGAGCACAGTTCTCATTGCCGATGACCGTGACTTGGGCGTACTGCAGAGTCTCGGAGTACTCCAGGTACTCGTCGTCCATAAGTCCATATCCGGCTACGGTGGCCACACTGCCCACAAAGTTGTTCCAGTCCTGGGAGGTGGATACCAGACTGATAGGGCTGATCGTGTTGGAAAAGGTCAGAGCTTGGGGGAGCTGGATAAGCGCCACATCGTTATTCATTTTGTCGTTGTAGTTGGGATGGACGAATATGCTCGAAGAGGTCATATTCAGAGCATTCTCGTTGTTCAGCTCCACAGTGCCGAAGATCAGGAACAACGAATCGAAGCCATAGCCGCAATGAGCCGCGGTCAGGACCCAAGAGTCCGAAATAATGGATCCACCGCAGAGTAAATCGTCCCATTCGTCCCTTTTTAGAATCACCTGCCACGGAAACTGCCCAGTTGTCGCCTGTTTACCAGATATAATACGTCCGTGCTGGTTTTTACAAAAAAAGAACCTATGATAAGTCTTTATCACTTGACAAGTAATCAAAATACTCACAATACCAGGTAATGCTAGTCCGTTCGATGACGAAATTTCCTGGCCATTAGTGGCTAAGAACGCTAATAAAATTAGCCATAACGATCCAACAAAATTTACGGCCGTCCGCTTCATGGTTATCCGTTTTCGGTCGGAAGCTATATGATTTAATGTTCGATTCTGTCAATTTTAATCTTCACCCTTAACTATTCTTCCCCTTTGTTTTGTTATCACTGGTCGGAATTTTGCACATTTTGTTTTAACATGGTGAGTTTTAATGAACTTGATAAGATTAAATAAGTATTTACCCAACTCGCTAAGTGTGTTAACCAATTAAAAGAAGCTAAAAGAGACGGAAGCCTGTTACAGTGCTCTATATATAAACTAAATAAGATATGACGCTGTTTTCAGTTTCATTTCATTGCCAATATAAGGAAAAAAGCTTCTCTTTTTCAGTGACTATTCCTCTTCTTTGCATTGGTTTCTGAAATATAAAAACTAACTTATCCTATTTAATTCTCAATAAACCTAAATCCTGAAGAGGCTATATGTTTTTAAAAAAATGGTTTCTGAACATAATGTAAAATCTATAGCATACAAGTAGGAGCACTCCAACCACATCATTTATAAACCTCCCATTAAAAACACCTTCAAACATTTTTATATGCAAAAGATTTGTTTCTGTTTATTGATCATAAAAATATTGAGTGTTAAATAAAAATACATACATTGTTTTATTTGGTTTGCATGTTTCATAGAATTATACAAAAGCTATGTCAAAATTGTAAATTTTATTTATACGTCTCCCTTTAATATTCTAAATTATTACTTTTATTTTTATAAATTAGTATCTTATGAATACTAATTCTCATACAAAGGCCATAGACAATTTTAGATACAATTCGCATACTGCCAAGAAAACAAAGTCAAGCAAATTCAAATGATACAAAAATTGACTCTGGCTGAAGCTTTCTTGAGAGATCTATGAGTATTATATGATCAAGGGTGTACGATTCTGACTGGTGGGTTTTTGGGGATCTCTTATTTAATTATTAAATGATTGCTATGATTCTTTCAAGTTACAAATTGCAAATATCAAGGAAAATGGCAGCATTTTTCTGAAATTTCTTAGGTAATTTCTAAAAATTTGATTTTTTTTAACTTTTTTTTGGAATGTTTAGGCTGAGAAGTGTATTTTAGTGTGTAATGTTAAAAATAATTTGTAAATTGGACGTCGAAATGCATTCAGACTCCATTTTGTTTTTCTTTGTAGATCGCAGGCTGCATTTGTTGTAGTTGTTGTTGCTGTAATTTTCCCATTTTCCGGATGTATCGACTTCGGGCTTTAGTAATTGTTCAGTTCGGCGTACTCCAGTTCCTGGGCAATAGTTTTGTACTTTTCCTTACCTTTGCTAACCTCTTCTACAAAGTGAGCAGCAAGAAGTGAAATAAATATTTTATATCAGTGATTATATTTTCAAGTTGATTGCTTTATTTCTTAGTTTGGATACAAATAATAAATAAAAATTGAGTTAAACAAATACACAATAGTTTCGTTGCGTCCTCTTATTTCTCTGCAGGCAAAAATCAATCTACAACAATATCTATTCAAATTCAAGCACACAAATCAAAGGTAACGAAGGCAACTACGATTACAATAAGTACGGTGCGCCTACAGGTATGCTACGGTACAGTGAATACAATCGAAAGGTGTGCCACGAGAATAAAATAGAGTGTTGATCGTTTTGAGGCCGAGTGGGAGCAGTGCTTGGATCGATCCGCTTATTCCTTGAGGATGAGCTCGACGAAGGCGGTGTCGAGATCGTCTCCGATATCCTTGTAGCGCTCCTTCTCCAGGACCAGGTCGTCTGTTCATCATCGTGTTCAAGAAATCATAAAAGAACGCAAGAGTAAGGAACCAAAATTAATAAAATTTATAAAAAGAAAATATTAAAATTACACAAAACCTGACAAAAACTAACATCTTTTCACACAAAAAAATAATTACCTCTTTTATTGGATAAAATTGAAATAAAAATGCAGTCGGCGGGGTTGAACTTTGGCTTGGCAAGTCAGAACTAGCTGTTAATGTTAAAAATAAAAAATAGCAGCACAAATATAAGGCAGCATTTGGTTTTTGCAATGCTTCGTTTAACTAAACTGTTTAATTCCATTTAGTTATCGTTTATAAAAAAAAAGGTAAATGATTCCAAAAACGTGCTCTTAATTTAAAGTTTCTTAAAAGCAGGGCAGTATTTGGTAGCGGTAGCAGTTGTGTTCCTTCTCTCCAGGGGGGCAGCATCTGGTCAGCTTAAGCTGGTGTTGCCTCGCCCTCGGCAGCTGGGGCAGCTTCGGCAGGGGCTGCCTCGGCAGCGAGAGCAGCCTCCGCGGCCTCTGGAGCAGGTGCCTCGCCCTCGGCAGCCGGGGCAGCCTCTGCGGGCGCAGCAGCTTCTCCCTCAGCTGGTGGAGCGGCACCTTCAGCAGCCGGAGCAGCTCCCTCGGCCGGGGCTGCGGGGGCAGCACCTTCGGCTGGGGCAGCTCCCTCAGCAGGTGCTCCTTCGGCCGGAGCAGCTCCTTCAGCTGGTGGAGCAGCCTCGCCCTCAGCAGCTGGCGCGGGCTCTGGCTCGGATCCGGGTGGTGGTGGCTCGTAGTTCTTGACGTACGGCACCTCGGCGCCCTCTGGGGGCAGATCGATCGAGTATTCGAATGGCGGTGGTGGTGGTGGTGGAGGAGTGGGCTCCTTTGGCGGCGGGGTCGCCTCCTTGACCGGTGCTCCCGGCTCACCGGGTGCTGCGCCCTCGCCCTCGGCCCCGGCTTCGCCAGCGGCAGCCGCAGCAGCCTCCGCCTCGGCAGCGGCGGCAGCTTCCGCTTCCGCCCGGGCCGCCTCCATGGCGGCCAGCTCCTCGGGCGTGGGTGTGGGCAGCTTGGGCGTGGGCGGCTTCGGGTTGCGGACCGTCCAGAAGGGCTCCAGACCCACGATCAGGTCGACGAAGGCCTCGTCCAGGCTGTCGCCGATGAGGCAGTAGCGTTCTTTTTCAACAATAAGGTCGTCTGCGGATGCGGAATGCCATGCGGTGGGTGATGTTTGTGAGACAAGCAAGAAAAGCGAAGGACGATTTTCGGGGGGTAGAGAGTATAGAGAGAAAATAAAGCGTGAAATGGTGGCAAAAGTATAAGAAACTAAAAGAAGCGTAAAGTAATATAGTTTGGAATACAGAGGGAGTTGGGGGATGTGGCATGGTTAGTGAGAGGAAAACACTCTGGCCAGTTCTGTAACGACGAGATCCTTTTAGAGATCCTTGATCTATTTGGCAACAAAAACGTCATTATTTTCCATTTCAATGTTCAGCTTTTAGGCTGGTGGAGCTTCTTCGGCTGGTGGTGGAGCGGGGGCTTCAGCCTCGACGGGAGCTGCGGCATCTGGCGGCGGTGCTGGTGCAGCCTCTCCCTCTGCAGCAGGTGGTGGAGGAGCATCGCCTTCAGCAGCAGGTGCAGCTGGTGGAGCTTCTCCCTCGGCTGGTGGAGCTCCATCTGTAGGAGCTCCCTCGGCAGGAGCTCCCTCTGCAGATGCTCCCTCGGCAGGGGCACCCTCGGCTGGGGCTCCCTCGGCAGGAGCACCCTCGGCCGGAACCGGCAAGATATCACCCGGCTCGGCGTTCTTCACATACGGCACTTCGGCACCCTCTGGTGGCAGATCCTTGGCATACTCGAATGGTGGTGGTGGCGGTGGTGTGGGAATCCTCTCTGGTTCGGCCGGTGCAGCTGGCTCTGCGCCACCTTCGCCCGCAGCTCCGCCCTCGGCTGGAGCAGCACCCGCCGCCTCACCGCCTTCGCCCGCAGCTCCAGCCTCTTCACCCAGAGCGGCCAGTTCCTCGGCCCGGGCCTTGGCCTCGGCCTCTGCGGCGGCGGCGGCTTCCAGGGCGGCTATCTCCTCCTCGGTGAGCTCCGGCGTGGGCGGCTTGGGGTAGCGCTCGTTGTAGAAGGGCGGCATGCCCATCAGCTCCACGAAGGTGAAGTCCAGGCTGTCGCCGATGAGGGCGTAGTGCTCGATCTCCTTGATCAGCTCGTCTGCCGTTTCCGATTCGGTTTCGGGTTCGGTTTAGAGGTGAGGTTCGGGGGTTAGGGGGTCAGAGCGGCACAAGGCGAAAAGCATAAATTCGGATTAGAGCAGATACAAGAGAGCGCGAGGCGATCAATAGAACCTCCAGTGGTGGCCACATCGGGATTATACACTGGACGCAGGACGAGGGGCTGGCAGGCAGGTCAGACAGGAGACACGTTTTCGAAAAAATACTTTATTTGTGCAATTGCAGCAGCATGGTATGTATTGTATAGTATATGTATGTATAGGTATATATTAAAGTATAAATAATTAATTTATGTAAATCGTAAATAGATCGAATTAAAATTTTTAATGCCATTTCTTGTTGCAGCATTCTCCTCGTTGCGGAATCAGAATCAGAACAGTGACAAAGGGTTGCTGGTGTTTTGTTTTTTTTTGTGGGAAGTGGTTTTCGTTTTATTTTTCAAATAAAAGATGCCCGAACTCGAGAATCGGGCATTTGGAATGATGTGCTTATATATTTTTTAAAATTTTAATCATTGCCGAAATATCGAAATCGAATGGTGGTTTCTACTAGTAGTGTTTTATGCTGGTGTGGGCGGGGCGGCAACTTAAAAGTAGGCAAATATTACACAACGTTTTGCAAACACGACGAATTTGTTTAAATATGTATGTATAAACAAGGTATAAACATTAGCGTATTATTAATACAGTTAAGCTGGCGACAAATACAAAGTTTTAGCATAGAATTTACTCTTTAAATATAAATAACAGCGATTTGTTTGTCTCTCTATATATTTAATACACGTAGTCTAAGAAGAAGGCGGCAATGCGTGTTGTCTTTTTTGTCCAAAAATTGTCATCATCAAAATACGAATACAAATACAGGTATGATTTAAATTTTAAAAACAAAACAAGGTAAATTGTAGAGTAGCAAAAGCAAGAGTACAAAAAAGTACACAAATAATTGAATTAATTAAAATTTAGATTCTACAAAAGTATTGCAATATATGTAGTCTTTATAAAGCTGCTCATTGGAATTTTCATTTTGTTGCCGAATAGTAGTGGAATGCACTTTGCTACGAGAATGTCTTGTTTCAGTTTTAGTTTCATGATCTGCTTTCCATTTTTTTGAGTTTTTATATGTTTTATGTTTAGAGTGTCTACTAACGCTACTTTTGATTAACTCTTCCGTTGCTTGGCGTTCGAAGATGGCGTCGCTCCGCTTGGAAGACACTTGGCGCGTCCTTGCAATTTGTGTGGGTGGGTTGGTGGTTGGTGTGTTTGAAGTGTGTGTGTTTGGGATGCGATCTCTCTCTAGTATTTAAATATGGAAAGCGCCAGTTTTGTGTGTGTCCGTGTGTGTCTTTTTTGTTGGTTTTGTTTTTGTTTTGATTGACGTCAAAGCAGGCAGTTTAGTTAATTTACAATTAGCAAATTAAAGGTTTACATGTTCTGTATGTCATGTAAGGTGGCCTCCATTTCCTCCTGCAGCAGTTTGTTCTTGGCCCGCTCATTCAGCAAGTCATCTATTTATTTGTTTTTTATTTTTTTTCAGTGTATTAAAGGCGGGGCATGCAACATTTTTGTTTTTAGCGAGCAGGATACAAGCAGCGTTGTTAAGCACAACAACAACAAAATTATATATGAAAAGTAAACAATAAAAGAAACAAATTAAAAATGTTGAAACAAAAAATATCGAGGTACATAAAAGTTCACTAAATAACATTTCTGGATTCTATATAAGAGGATATGTGATTCTACTTATAAGATAAGTTTATATTCAAAAATAAATACAAATTACTCAATTAATGGTCTTTTCTTTACTTTAAATACTGAGGTACAAATTAAAAAAGAGTTCTAGGTTCTCAGTATAATTCGAATAAAATCTTTGACGGACATACCTTCGAGCCTGTCGACTTCCTTCTGCAATTTCTGAACGGAACGTTCAGCGAACTCAGCGCGAGCCTCAGCCTTTAATTTTTAGTTGGGGAAAAAAGTTAAAAAATATTTAATTAGTAAAATAGATATAAATATTTTATAGTAGATAAGCAACAAAAAGTGGCGGCCACAGTGAGCAGGACATGTCTTAAAAAACACTATCCTTGCCACACCAAAAAAATGCAAATTCCAAGGCATAGTTTTCTGAAATATAGTTAAAAATATAGTATAGGTTTTAAACTATATATTTTTGAAGCCTTACAGAATTTGCATTTTTTTAAATTATTTTTTTTAAGCCAAGAAGCTTCCCAAATGTTCTACCAAAACCAGCAAAACTTATTAAATAATATGAGTGTGTTTGAAAACAAAAGTTAAGAACAATGTTTGATGAAAATATAGTTAATAAAAATATTAAAAATAACCATTCAAACATAAAAATTATTCATAAGTACTAGAATGCTTACAAACTGCCGACGCTTGTGTATTTAGGGTTTTTAGACAAAACCTAAATCAGACAAATTAAATATCATATAGGGGGATTGATAATAACAATTATTAACTGGTGGAGGCTACGCAGTCACTGCAGTAATAAACTGAAAATGCTGTTAAGATTGTAATTCCTTATAGAGATAGAGAAACAGAATCTATAAATCTCTACACGGCCATCCATTGGCGTCGACTTACAGCTTCTACACTTAATTTGAACTGTATGAGCTCCTTTTCGTAATATTTGTGATTAACGCGTGCCTAGACGTCGGGGGAAATACAACAGATTATATGGATCAAATTTATGTGTCAATAGATCGATTTGTTTGTGTGTGTGTTTGTTATAGAAAAGAAAAGTATATATTATATAAAATATCTACCGAAATTAGATATCTCATTGAATACTAATAGCTTTAGGAAGCTTCAGGATTTGGCATTTGGAACTATGGAACTATGGAGGTCAGTTATACCAGTACCATGTTGCCATGGATGATAACTCTCTCTTTCTTCATCAATCTTGACTGGCAATCAATGCACAAAAAGTTGTTTTCAATTTTGAACAAAATGTACACACACACGATCGAAATGATTGAGATTGAACAATACTTGCCCATACTTGATGTATCTGTATCTATTTTTCATCATAAATTTCATCCACATTTTTGCTGTATTTTCCCAAAAGCATTTTTGTTTCACATAAAAAAGAAAATATTAAATGTCGAATTGACGAATATGTACAAGAAATTTAAAATTGAGAATAACGATTTGTGCAATTCAATATTTTCTTTTTTTGTTTTTTTTGATTAGTAGTCTTTAGTTCTTAGTCTATATAGGTTAAGAAGCATTATCGACCAACACCAGAGATATACCAAATATTACCACCACCAATAATGGGGAATCAGTGCATCATAATACCTCTTTCAGAGAATGGTCCAAGACCTTGATTTGCGTCTCAAAGGTTTCCTCTTTTTGTGTGGCCTAAGCAGCGGTTGTTTTATAAGCATTATTCAACATAAAATAGAATAAATATATATATATATTCATGCAAAAGAAATCAGGTCCAGCAGGTGCGCAGATTAGGATTGGATTGGGGCGTTTAAAGCGGCAACATTTAAACAAATAAAATATGAAAATAAATAAATAAAGAGTAATTAGTGTTTATGTTTATCGGTTGACACTTTATAAAGAATTATAAGATGAGATTAGTTCATTTAGAAGTATTTCTCCAAAGCACTTTCTGGCGGGGGACTCGGTCTCTTGACTTGGTTCTCCGACCCGCCCACTTTGGATATTTTTGGTTTAAAAAACAAACAAAACGAGAAACAACAACAAAAGATCAGTAATAAATCGCTGGATTTGGACACTCTCGACTTTCGATATGGGAAGCCCTCTTGGGCCGGCCACTCTTTGCTTTTTGGCTTCAAATTCTTGGCTCTTTTTTTTGTATCTGTATCTACCTCCTTTAGACGAGTGTTCAGGGTCTTGATCTGGTTCTTGTACTCTTCCTCACGTTGGTTGGCCTAAATCAGTCGTTGTTGTTGTTTGCACATTTTGGGATAATTGGGTTCGGAATTCGATAATAGTTCAAGTTAATTTCATAATTTCACAATTTTCTCATGGAAGCTAAAAAAGATTAAGACCTATCTATAAGATACTGACCTTCTCCTCAGAGACTTCCAGGGACTTCAGGTTGTTGCCAACCACACGCAGCTCCTCCTCAAGCTCCACAATTTTGCTGTTGTAACGCAAAGAGAATAACATAATTAAATAATTGTCTCAACAATAGTGTGGTATATAACTCATGCAGTTGTTAAACATAATGGTTTTCATTCAAGCGCAATTTTTGCCCGGCAATGCCAAAAACGGTTGAAAAACTCCACAAGTGACAACACTTTACTTTCGAAAGTGATCTTGTGGATGGTTGGTTGGGTAGCCACAGATGGCCAAGATGAGTTGGCCAAGAGACGTGAAACCGTCAAATCATGATCCGAAGGTCTGCCAAATATTTTTCTGTTTGTATTAATAACAATTGTTTTTGGACCGGTGGTGCCGGCAACTCCAAAGATTTCACTTTTTATGGCCGAGGCCTTAGGCACTTCTATGAGCTTTTTTTATAAACTATGCAAATTATAAATAAATATTTATCCATCACGGGCTAAAAATTGCGCTAAAAAAAGTATAAAAAACATGTATATTTAACAAAAATGCAGTTAGTTGACAAAAAACATAGAGGCGGGGCGCGGCTGGGCGTATGGGCGTGGCTGTGGACAACAAACCTTTCGCTGAGCTCGACCTTCTCCTCGGAACGCTCCAGATCCTGTTCCATGAGCACGAGTTTTCTGGCAACCTTTTTGGGGGCGGCAAGCAGGGCATGGCATAGGGCGTGGCATATGGCGTAGTGGCAACACGAGTGGGCGTGGCAAGGTGTTAGTACAAACACACATAACGGTTGTGTTTTGGCACAAGGTTAGAGATGGCAGAGAAAAAAGTTTTGTACGATTAGTTTTCGTGTCTGACTGTGGCGGCTGCAGGTTGGCAAAAAATGTGAATACTGTGCATGTTCATTCATGATTTATGTCAGTGGAGTTTTTTCAGTCAAGAAGGTGACGAAGAAAACCTTCTGTGCTTTTGATTTAAAATGTTCTTTCTAAACTATTAGACATGCTTTTATTTTACAATATTATATATTTCTCTGGTATATTCACATTTTTAACCAAACAATACAAAAAAAAATAGGCAAAAGCTAGCTAGCTATAAGAAATTAAGAACAAAATCAAAAATATAACTCGGGGAGAATGCAAAACGATCTTATAGATGAGGTTAGGTTGGCGGCAGTTTCAACATTGTTTTATTTTTAGGCACAATTAACACAATAACTCGAAACTTGATATAGTCTGGACTTGCAACGTACTTTTCACCCTGCTCGGCACGTTCTTCGGCACGCTCCAAATCAGCTTCAACCATGGCCAATTTACGGGCAACCTTTTCTCATACACATTTCATATACAAATCGATTCATTGAGTGGATGTTGTTGATTCATTCATATAATACAGGGAAATAGTATGGCACATCGGGTACACAGAAGAACATGTAGAAAATGTATTAAATTTCATGTTTTTTTTTTCGTATTTATTTTACATAGATTTTGTTATGCGAACACAAAGCATTAGATGTGTATTTTACTTAGTTTTTAATGTTTTTTTTAGTGTTTTTTTTTTTTGACTGTAATGTGTGATGTTTTTGCATATTTTAGTAAAAACAAAAAAGATATTTGAAATTTTTGTTATTTTGTTGAGTATTTTGTTGAGATTTTTTTATCCCATAAAACTTGTGCTTAATGTGTGTGTCTTTAGAAATAATGGTGAACCATACTCCATACCATAAGCTATAAATATCGCAACTAAGTATTCTTGGCGGGGGTTTTGAATGTTTTCTAGCCTCCAGAGGTTGTTGTACATTTTGTTTATTATTTTAGGCCTAAATTAGCGGAAATTTGAATACTCTTTCATTATCTCAAACTTGATTAAAGGAAATTAGCTAAAAAGATATTGTATCTCTTGAACTTTATTTGGAAATCCGTTAAGATGCTGTCCAAAAATTCGATGTTTATCGAGGAAATTGCTTTGGACCATTTAGGGCAGCACGCTTATTGATATTAATTGGCCACTTGACCAAAAACAGTCTCCATTTCCTGGCTTTAGTATGCAAATATCTTTCAGTGGAAGCCCCCACCTGGATGGATGACACTCTACTACTGAGTGTCAGATCTTTTCGCAGGAAAAGATAACGTAGCATATGCAGTGCGGATGGATGGAATCACTCCACGCACATTTCAAGCCACTGACTCACGTCACGCCCCCCTTTTCGATCGGCCTACGACTGAGGGTCAAGTGAGCGAGTGCCTCCTCTCCCGGCTGATTCATCCGCTCGCCGGTTTTTAGGCGCTTATGTCATGGCCAGATATCTGAGGTGAAGGAGTGCGAAATCCACACGAATCGATCGGACTGGGGAGCGGCCTTTCTTCGCTTATCGGAGCTAGTGCTCCCCGCCTTCTTGGTTTCTGGGCGGAGATAAGGTGCAAAATGGCAGAAAATAAAAGGGTAAAATATAGGTGGCTTATCAGGCAATGCAGTTTATCAGTTGGTGTTTGTTTTCGATCCATTTTTGTGCAAAACACGTAAGCATTCGGGCCCAGACTGGGGCAAGCTTTCCTTGAAATGGTTAAATGGCTTTTCTTTCAAAAAATCATAGAAATTCTCATAACCCCCTCTACAAAAAACAGAAAGTACAACAACTCCTAGGGCCTTGGAAACATCTGCTTTCAATAATTTCAAACTATAGGTTGTTATGCTGCATTTATATATTTGTATTTATATATAATTTCTGTATATAATAGTGTGATATAAACTTTGCCAAAAATATATATATATATTTAATCAAAATTAGACATTTTCTTGGGTTATATTTTGTTATTCTTAAGGTGTGTTTTTTTAAGGCAAAACGTGAGTTTAAATTACATTTTCAAAATAGTATTCCGATTAGACAATCATTTCGTTTGCGATATGCTTTTCAAGCTTTCTCTCGTGGAAGAGCATTATGAGATACTATATAAGTATCTCTCAGACATCGTATGGACCACCAATCTTAACATTTACTTTACATAGTTCTCTATGGATAACTTTACAAATTAAAAGACACACACATGGAGTAGCTACGGATTTGTTCACGCGTTACAATCAAAATTTCATTGCATTTGATTTACATTGTATGTACATCGGCTAATACATCATCATCATCATTAACTATATATTGCATATTGCATAAGGCGGCGGGCGGTGCATGCCTCTACACTACTATATAAACTATAGCTGCCCTCAAGCATCATCATCGTTCGTTATTCATCGTCGTAAGCACAAGTTTTACATCACATCGACACATCCTGTCTGGGATGATTCCTGTGCCAAGTTCATAGGTACAAGTCCTATTTCATCATTCAAATGTTTCGTAGAATTGACAAAGAAACCAAACAGATCAGGTGTCGTTGGTGGGATTGTTGTTATGTTCGTGACTTGTGGAGGACAATGTAGAAGTCGCTTCACCAACAGCATCAGAGGCAATAGTTCGGGATGCGTTATTGTTGTTGGCGGTTGCGGTGACGATGCCACCAATATCGGACTCGGATTTGGGACTAATATTGTTACTGTTACTGTTGTTGTTGTTACTGATATTATTATTATTGCTTAGAATAGTAGAAGACAGATTGGTTTTTAGCTGCACCTCATCGTATTTCTTGTCAGCCTCCTCAGCAAGGAAACGCGCTTCCTTCAGCTGATTCTCAAGAGCGTCCATGCGTTCTTCATCGGCAAGGGCGCGGTTCTCAAGAATCTTGCGAGCACTATAGGGTTGAAGACGATGTCCATGCCCATAGAAGACAGTGACCAAGTGGTTAGCGATGATTATGCCGTTCCCCCATCGGGATTGCAGTTTGGTACAGCCGAAAAAGTGGTAGTAATTGTGTGAATCGTTCGACGTCATCATCCACATCGTTGCGTGTATGGTGTAGTTGTTGTTGTTGTTGTTGCAGTTGTTATGACAAACAGATGGTTTTACAGATACATTCACAGATAGAGATAGATTTTTTTTTGGTATTGTGGTTGTCGTGGAATTGTTGTTGTAAAAAGAGACAAGAATTTGTTGCCAGTTGAGTTAACTATTCGGATGTTGCTACAAATAATTTACAGGGAGGGGAAAGACTAAGGAGAGACAGGCCTGAAGCCTAAACAGTGTATTAAATTTATTTTTAAAAGCGATTAGGCTAAGGGGTCTAGAGGTCTAGACACTATAATTATCTAGATTCTAGAAACATTCCATCACTGTTTAAACTTCATCACATTACAAACATTGGGGACACAGCCATTTGACTAATAGACTACCATAAGCTTATGTAGGACATGCTTACGACTAAGATTCCTAAAGAAACATAATTTTACAATATTTTTACAAAAATGTAGAGCATCCATGGAGTTCCAGTTCCAGCGGCGAGTCGTCATCTTGAAGCTGTTTACAGAAATTCTTAAGAACTAACTTAGATGCAAGATCATTAAAATGACCATTATTACAAGTGTTGGTTAAGAGAGAGCGCAGATATTAAGACCCAAAACCTAATTAGTAACGCAAATGTTGACCAAACTGAGACCTAACCTCAAGAGAAACGAGCCTATTAACCCTAGAACCCTACCCTAGAAGAACGGAGACCAATGGGTTACCAGAACTATACCTCTTCGTATTTCTTATCAGCTTCTTCTGCAATTAATTTCGCTTGTGCTAATTGGTTCTCCAACAGAGCTACTTTGTCATCTTCCATATTTGTGCGATTCTCAAGCGCTTTTCGTATCCTGAATTTCGATAGTCAGTTAAAGATATAATATATAGAATTGTAACTCGAACTTAGATTTGCTGTAAAGCTTATAAAATATTTTACACATCATGGGGGGATATAGTTGATAAGGGGGGGATAGTTTTAGGATTAAAAATGGGTGTACTAACCGTTCGCTCTCATCAGCGGCCTGAGAGGCTTCCGACAGCTTGGCTGTGGCGGAGCCCAGACGCTCCTCAGAGCGCTCCAAGTCTTCTTCGAGCAACTGGATGCGACGGTTCAGAGCAGCAACCTCAGATTCGGCCTACAAAACAAACGTTCGATGGTCGAACGAACCAAATATAACCAAGCCGTCCAGTAATTCTTAAACTTAAAATACTAATTTTAATTATAACTTAGGAGCTAACTTAGTTTTCATTTTTTTTAGGCAAGAAATACACATAATTTTGCTACTATTTTGGTATGGAAGTTTCCTACTTTTGCGCTCTCTTTTCCCCCTGAGACCCCTTCTATTTCTAAACTTAAATGCCGGCAGTGGGTCCTTTGAGCTTTTCTGGCTTCCACCTGTAAAGAAAACTTCCTTTTTTGTCTTCCGGCGTGGTTGTTGTTGTTGTCAGATTACGAGGCAAGGTCAAACAAAGCCGCAACGCCCTAAAGTCGGCAAGAAAACGAACTATGCAATCGATACACACGCCATCAAAGTGGGAATACAGTTCATTAATACTGAAAACGATATGGCCAAAACGAAGCCAATTTAAGGTTTAGGCCATGACGTCATCTAAGACTAACGAGGAGATTTCCCACCCGAATCAACGAAACCAGAATAATACCGATGTTCGGTTGCCTTTTAAAGCATTAGCGCTAAACGATGAAAAGCGAATCGACCAGCACACGCCCAAAAATGGTGAAAAAAAGTATAAAAAAATAAATAAAAACAAAGTTTAAATCGAAAACGGCAGAAAAGCAATTGGACAAGGCAGTCCGGTGGCAGTGCCAGTTTCAGTTCCATGTCCATGTCCAAAACCATGTCCAATGACTGATATGGTGTGCCGGGCATAGATATACATAGATACAGATACAATATCTGGACATAGTACTACTACGTACGTACTGACGGATTGACGGAATGACTAACCCGCCTAGAACCGAAATCGTGTGCCTGGGCCTCAGAGTCGTAAAAGTATCGTGTGATTATGAATTGGAACCAACCGTGTTGTGTTGGCTTACGTCATCGTCCCAAACAGCGGCAGCATACAAAATACACACAGATACTCACACACACACACACCATGTTAAACGATAAAAAGCATTTCGAATTGGGGGAGCAGGCAGCGCAGCTTTAGCTTTCCAAACACGATACACAAACAGTGGATGAAGCCCAAAACGGCACAGAAAGAAACAATTTCAAGATCGCTGGAATATTTTATCTTTTAGATTAAGATACTTTTAAAATAAAATAATTAAGGAAATTAAGAAATAGTATTTATGCTCTTTTCTTTAAGATACATATATCTTAAGAGATTCAGATATTTTTGGATGATCTTGAAGATTTTCTCACTTTTTTGAAGAACGGTGTGTTTGAACTCATTAACAAAACGTATTGAAGATTAAACGCTTTATTAACGACCACACACAGGGGGATGGAAGGGAACGAACAGGCAGGGGGGGGGCAACCGAAATCACTGTGAAAAGAAAAGCGGCGACAGAACACGTTTTAAAGAAAGAAAGATGGAATGGCCGAACACAGATCGTGTGGCCCCCATTGTTGGGGAATTTATGAAAAATGACCGGCAAAATGCAAAAAAAAAATAATATAATAATAATAATAAATACCAAAAAGAAACTCTCAAAAAAAAAAAAGAGATCATGCAAAACCAGCTACATGGCTTGGCCGAGAAATTGTACCAAAAAAATTGTTGACGGCTTAGTCACACACACCTTGAATGTGAATTTCATGCCGTTTGCTTTAGTTTTGGATTTTTGTTTTTTGTTTTATTGCCTTGGAAACGAAAGCAAAAACAAGAGAAAAAGTTATTGGAGCGCTTCGCTAGGTGTGTATTTTCATTGTGATGATGCATTTTTAATTATGAACCGAAAAATAAGCCATGAATATGTAAAAGGTCTGTGTTTAAAAAAGACGATGCTCTCAAGCATGAAATATTTGTCAGATCTTGGGAAGGGGGAGGGGTGTCTGGTGGCCAGCAGAGCCATGGCGTCATGTGTTGTAATCTCTGAGTTACGACACTCGCCGCCTGGCAAAAGGCGCAAAGGCACACAAATCAAAACCAATTTGTCACAATGCTCACTGAAATTATCAGAAACGTTCAATTGCATGATGATGAGGAGGAGAAAGGGGAAAGGGAGGTAGAGAGGAGGTCGCTGGGTGGCCTGGAAATAAAGAGAGGAAAAGGAGGGGCCTACTAAAGAGAGACCGTGAGTGACATTGAAAGCATTGTATAGGCAAATTATGTTTTGTTTTAGTTTGCTCTTATTGTTTGTTTTCAGAGGAAGCTAAACGTCAATCATTGGCTGGAAATCAAACCGAATCGGCTTTTGAATCTTTTCAAATTCAAACTGTCAAGCCTGGAAGTTATTTCAACCCCCTTTGAAATGACGTCAGTGTTTGGGAGCCCTTCTCGCACTCGTGCACTCAATTGTCTAATTAGATTCGAAACAGAAAAGGAATTAAGAGAATTAAACCACTTATAAATGGCCGTGGCGAAAAAATCATAATTAATCGAATTTAGAACACCGCTAGCTCTAAACGATGTGGCTTCTTCGACAGCCGATGACTCTTCTCCCCGCCGTCTTCTTCTTATTCCTATTTCTTTGGCTTGGATTCTATAAGCCGGTTTTTGTCGCTCAGAAGAAAGCAGCGTTAGAAAAAAAAGCCAACCGAATCGCTCAATTTACAAAAGATTTCTTTCTCCTTTTCGCCTTATGTAAATGTAAAGGTGCGTGCGCTTGTGTGTGCCGTGAAGCGCAAGATAACAGGCAATTCGAAAGGTGAATGAATTCGGTCAGCGCGATAAGAACAGTTAACCCAGAACGGAAAGTGACACAACCAAGAGACCGAGTCCGAGTCCGAGCCAGGCCAGGGTGGCTCTCCTCTCCACTCCACCAATTTGCCCAAAATTCGTTCACCACGAACCAAAAGATGAAAAGAACAACAGAAAGACAGGAAAAACCACTGAAAAGTAAAACAACAACACCAGCAAGCCACTGAGAGCGCTTGGCACATGCGTCGTCTCGCTCCGACACACGCATTTCGGCATTTGAAGTAAGAGGCAGGGAATGGGAGAGAGAGAGGCGGAAGAAGAAGAAATGCCCGACTATCTTTTCTCTTTAGGTAGGATTTATGCAAAATTTATAAGACAGGTCACGCAGTAATGGCTTCCCATACCAAAACGGTAGCAAATTCTAGCCCTGATTAAGGTGGAGTACGGAATGGAGCTTACTTCTTCGCGTCGCACCACCTCCAGTTGCAGGCGCTTGTGGAACTCCTCGCACTCATCTTTGTACTTCTCCATCTCCTCTTTGGTCTGGCGCATCTTCTTCTTGAGCACGTCCAGAAGAGTGCCTTGTGGAATGCTGGTCGTCATATTTATGATTTTTTTTTTTGCTTTTCTGGCAAGTAGTGGGTGTTTTTTTGAATCAAGATTGGCTCTTTATACACACTTTAGCACTCTGCCTTTTTTTCCAGAATTTCTCTATGGCAGCAACGAATTTAATTTACAATTTGGAGGAACACACACGAACGAGCGACAATCACACACACACACACATGAATAGGGAACCACCGGTTTTTCTTTTTTTCTCTTCCACGGCTTGTGTATTTTCCTTAGCGGCAGTGTTTTGTGGCAAAATCGAACGGGAACGGGCCTACGAAGCGAATACTTGTGTTTCAAATTAAAAATTTGATACTTGGTGCTTGGAGGAAAAAACACGAGTCAAGAGACACAAGCGACGCGACAAGCGATTGTGGGGAGTTCGAATCTGGAAATGGGTACTGGAACTGCTCGTGATACTGTTTTGGGCCCACTGTTGTCGTGTTTTAACTGGAACTACTCGTCGGTACACCACTTCTCTCTCTCGTTCCAGCTGCTCTATCTCTTTCTCACATGCTCACACCTAACCACCCTGTGAATACTCGATTTGACCTGTCTGATACCAAATGCTCACTTGATTCTCAAAGATACTCTCTCGGTAGCTATCGGGATTGCCCAGAATGGCTCGTAACTGGAAAAAACTTGGTCAAGTTTGGTAATAATTCACTTTTCTCGCCACTCGTTTCACCCGAATCGCCCTGTTGCAAGCGAGACAGCTGCTGTGTGCGGCGTAGCGTGCGTGTGACTTTCCAGGCCGTCTGCCTCGCCTAAACCTGAGCCTGTATGGGGGTTGACTGGTGCTCTTGAGTGTCGGTGTGAGAGAGTGCCGCTGGAAAACCTGTTAAAAGCCGCTAAATTCTGTCGACATGTTTGTTGTTGTTTGGCATTAATTAGCAAAGAAATATTTTGGATTTTTGTCATTTCCAGGCAAATAATATTATGCAAAAGCAGCCCATGTAAAATACAAAAGTAAAGATGAGTAATCGGGAAGGTAAAAAGAGTGCTGCTGTGTGCGTGAGCGCTTTTGCCAGCTCAACGCCAGCTCCCCACTCCCCCCACAGACGGCTAATTGTGGTGGCTAGTAACGTATAACGGAAAACACAATGCCGGTACTCTATCAGGCTTATCAGCGGGCAACGTAAAGGCCGGAAAAAGGAAAGGGAGGAACAGCTTACAGTGGGCTAACATAGCTCTGTTAGTTGTGAATACAAAGTAAACAACAAGTCGGCTTACTATTTCGGATTCCACCTGTAGCTATGTATGCATATTTCCCCCGCCGATGGCGTAATTGTTGATAGTGCCAACAATGAGCTAGTGCCCATTTTTAGACGGTCGACATTGAAAAGAAATTAAAAGTAAGGCCGGCCGCAGAGCATGAGCGTTTAATAATTAATTTGTTCGCCAATTTGGCAAGTCGAGCTATGCTTTGGCCAAATATGGCCGGGTTTTCCTTTTAGTATTTCAAACTGTTGCCTTTTTAAGGCGGGCCAAGAGTACTGAGTATTTATAGAACTGCAGGGGATGGGGCAGGGGGTGACTAATACCATTTAGCGGCCTTACCTTTGGATCCCACCCGCATACACTAGTGAGCCAGAGTGAGATGGATACGAGAAGCGAAAGCGAGAGGTGGCGAAGGGGGGAGGTGGGCGCAACAGGTGGTCGGACAGTACCGCTAGCAATTCCAGCAATTGCGTAACTAATTAAACAATTGCCTGCAATTAAGTCAACATGTTTGCCAAATTGTTGGAATACTTTCATTGCTCCGTAATCTTTCCACAAAATGAAATTCAACAGAAACTCTTCTCTGGCCATCGGACATCCCGCAAAGCTGGCGAAAGGTGAACGAAACAAGCGCAACGCCTCAAGTGGGTCAAGATTTACAAGTGGGCTTTGGAAAATCTTTACGCCAGCAAGGCCGAATCGAGACCGTGGGCCGGCGAAGGGTTAAAGACTAGAAAATCGCGACTCGCGAGTCTAGAAGAGAGCTGAAGAAAAGAAAAGAAGGCGGCGAAGACAGCGATGACGACGTAATCGGTTTGCAATGTGCACAGTACTCAGTACTCATTCCACACACAAAAAATAGCGATGAAGGAGAATAACAATGACTACGGCCACTGCTGACAAATTGGAGCAATCGCAGAACCTAACCAAACTTTTCAGTTTCTCACCAGAAGGCAGCAGCAACAACAACAACACCGATAAGATTGCTTCGCTTGAATGGGGAATATATATAGAAGAGTGATTAGTAAGGTATTTCAGATCTCCGAAACTCATCAGCTAATTACCCGCTTGAGCTGTGTGTTCATAATGTTGTGCAGTTCGTTCCGGATGATGTTGAACTTCATCATGGTGTCCGAACTGAAGATGGAGCGTCCGAAGGCCAGTCCCGGATAGTCTGCACAGCGGCCCTTGTTCCTTCGGGCCTCCCTCTCGGCCACAACCTCTGCAGACTCACTGGTACACCGCAGTTTCGACCACTCGGCCACCTGGTTGTCGTCGTCGTCCGCCAAGGCGATGCCTTCGTCTATGGCCCCGGCACTCAGATCCGTGGCCAAGCTGTCGCTGCTGAGCTCCATGGGGTTGGCGGATGATCGCTTGCTGCGCTCCCTTTTGCCCGATGAGGAGGAGGACTTCTTTTTGCGGTCAGACTTCTCCGACTTTTCGCTTTTCTCTCCCTTCTCTCGCTTCTTTTTCTTGCTCTTTGAAGTGGACGGAGCTGGTGGAGGAACTCCCTCAGCAGCTGTAGGCGTGTTAATTGCACTTTCATCTTGCACACTGCTCTCGTCAGTGGGCGTTGGACTGTTGCTGCCCAGGGAATTGGTAACAGACTCGCTTAGTGGAAGGCTTAGGGTGCTTCGGCTGGACTTCTGATCCTCTTGCGGCTTCTGATCCACCTCCTTCTGCTCCTCGGGCGGCGTCTCACCTCGCAGATTGGAGAGGGCGCTCTTGGAGTCGCCTCGATAGAGAGCCGCTAGGATTTCCTGGACGTTGGGAACATTGGGCCGGCGAGTGCCCGAGAATCGTGGATGGTGTTGGTGGCCACGTCGCTTAAGGGAGGAAGGCACCAAGCTGTGGCCAGTGCTGTGGCTGCCAGTGCCACTGGTACTGGAGTCGTCGTCGTGCTGCGACATATTCTCGGAATCTGTGTCGCTCCAGAAGTCGCTTCCGGGAGAACAGCTTCTGGTTCTGCAGCTGCTGTCGATGCTATTGCGCCTGAGTTGCTCCTGGTACTTTTCGTAGAGCTGGGCTAAGTACTGTTCCGCCTCCTCATCGCAGTAGTAGAGCAGATCGTCCAGCACGTTCAGCTGCTCTTCGATGGAACACCAACGCGACGACAGGCCCGATTGTGCCCCGTCACTGTGGCACCTCGATTGGCGTGTGTTCCTATGGGCCGGGCTGGATTTGGTGGACGCCGTGCCACGCTTCTGGTGCTGTTTTTGTTTATCACTTCCCAACAATTGTTTCTTGCGCGGCTGTTTCTGTTGTTTCTGTTTGCCAGCTGGTTGTGTAGTCGTTATCGATGGACAGCAAATGGGTTAGAGAGTATCGGATATCGGGGAATGGAAAGAAAGAAGCACAGACGTGCCCGAGAAACCGATTAGGTGAAAGCAACAACTCAACAATTAACAAATTGTTTAAATATAGTTAATTGTTGAGTTGTTTTTTTTTCAAAGAATTAAAATTTGTGGCTATCGATAACTCTAGAGTTGCCAGCTACACGCGCTCCATAAGTAGGCAATGTAAAGTACAGATGTAAAGTAAATTTTATTCGATTATTTTAAATGATCGAGCGCGTGTAGCCAGCAATCTGAATTAAAAAGATTAAATTTGTATTGTTTACTCTTTTGCGGTTTATCTTGGCCGCCGCTGGTCAATAAATGCCGATGCGCCCGCTTTATTTGATGGGCCAACGTTTGTCGGCGGGCCGCGCTGCCAACGAATTTTATTTGTTGGCTTTGATTTGGATTTGGTTTTTGCGGTTTAACGGCTACAGATTTGAGCAACGGTAACGTGGGTGCCGTAGTTGTTGTTGGCGGAGCTTTTGTTGCATTTTTTGCACTGATCTTGATTGTTTTTGGCGCGTGTGGTTGTTGTTGTTTGAGTTTTGCGACGGTCTGGTTGTTTTTGCTATTGTAACTCACTTTTTGCCATTCATATGCATTATTAACTTTAGCAGTTCCTATGGTTAATGTTTTTTCGTACATATTAATTATGAGCGGCGTTTGCTTTTGCTATTGTTTTACTTTGTCTTGTATTTTTTTCTTTTAATTGTGTGATTTGGTGCGTGTTGCCTTTTCCTTGGCTGAAGTTATGTTTTGTTTCGTTCAAACAGCTGTGCTCATGGTACCGCTAGTTGAGTCCGATCTTGCTATTTTTATTGATGATTTAATACAGATATTTCGCTCTTTTTCAGTTTTTCATTAGCGCGTGAAAAATGCAGAGAAATTTCCGCTAAACTTTTTTTTTTGTCGGTTTTGTGGTTTTTTGGCAGACGTGGTAGTTGTAACCGTTGTCAGCTGTTGAATTTTATGTAATTGGAAGTCACTAGAATTTCGTTTAAGGCGAGTTAAATGAAAGTAGTGATCTTTCTTTTTTTAATGAATTATACTGCAAATTATTTATTTAATTTATGCTTTTGATTTGATTAATTAATTTGGTGGATTTATGAGCGGGCGGCTGCTGGCTCCTGGCCCCTCGATGTTGTCTTCCGTTGTGTTTTAAAGTGTGTGCGGCCCCCTACCAAGCGAGGGCGTGCGCATTTGGATCGAGAGTAGAAAGTGGAAGAGAGCCACAGCCCGCATTTCCACTCAAAAAAACTCTCGCCTCTCTCTTCTTTTCCGAGTGAGTTTTCTTTTCTACAATTTTGATTCATTTAATTGCTTATCTTCTTTGTTTTGTTGCCCATTACTCAGTCTTTCATACTCATAGTCATATTTATTTTGAAGTAGGTATAGAAGCCCGGGCAGGGCCAGACAAACATGCGACAACAAGACCGCCCTGATTATCTATTTGCCTGATAAGTTTTATTTATTTTTTTTATATTGTTTTAATTTTTCAGCGATAAGTTTTCCCGGCTTTACCTGCTCGCACACTTTTTGAATAGCTGCCAAATTGTCAGCGGCATGCGAAATGTCCTTGAAATACTTTCCCAAAATGCCCAAAATGAAAAGATTGCGATTCAAATTCCTTTTGGAAACACTGCGGCCCACACCAAAAAATGTTCTAGATTCTACGCCAATTCAAATGAATAGAGAAAATTTCAACACAGCGTACTTTTTTCTTTTTTTGCGAGAAAATTTTTTGGCAAGCAAACACAAATTTCAGTTGGCTCTGTCTTTGCGTTATTTGATATTGCCCAGCAACCTCTCTTTCACGCGAAAGACTATTTTCAATAGATTTAAAAATAGCGCCTCTGCAAGGCGTTGCCAACAGCAATTACAAACGCATGCATAGCGGGAGAGCGAGAGTGGAAAAGCTCGATCGTTTTCTTTCAACTTTTCATTCAAAATGTATGAATACATATTTTTTCCAACTTCCCCTTTGGAATTTTTTTAAAAAACAAAGTGAATGTTTCCCCACAAACATTTTCTCCGATTTCAGGTACCATGAAATTGGCGTATAGTTGCCTCAGTATATGACACCGTTTCCCAGATGCCCCATTTCTTATTTTCTAGACACTTTCCCCCCGAAACTTTGGTGACCGCCGGCTGTCACCAAGTCGAATCAAAATTGCTTGTTATAAATTATGTGTATTTCTTGCCTTGAGATGCATTTCGAAATATTCATCAGAAACATAAAAAGTATACGTAAACTTAATATATATCTTAGGGTAGAAAATGGCTTATCGTAAACTTTTCAAGAAAATGCTCCACAATTTCTAGACACTTTCGAAACTGACAAGGCGGGCCAAATTTCAAATGATTAATGGAATGTTTTCTTTTATGTTTTTCTTGAAAAGATTTCTTAAGTGATTTAACTAATTATCAAATTTGGGGGTGTCTTGTACACATTTCAATATTTGTCAAGCTTAATTTAAAACTGTCTAAATAATATGACATATTTTGAATTCGCTTTCAAGAGATGGGTGTTTGGTATTTTTTTATACATCATTTTAAACTCGATAGTAATCGTTTGAAAATATCGATAAATACGTTAAAGCTATCCATTTGAAAATTTTTAAACTTTAAAGGATAAAACGAATGTGGAGTCTCTGCTGATGGCTATCTTAACCTTTAGCCTATTTTGTAAAGAACAATAAAGTCATGGACTTACGTTCTGCAGAGCCTTGTTCTTCTCCTCCAGCTTGCCAGTGACCAGGGTCAGAGCCTCCTGGGTCTGATCCAGCTCGTTCTCAACGGTCTGGATCTTCTTCTGCAGCTGGCGAGCCTCCTCCTCGGCCTATGGGGGTTTTCGAGAAAACATAATGAACCATTACTAATCAAAATACTACATGGGAATTGCATGTGTTAACAAGATTTATTTATACGCAAGCCATTAATTATGTTTTTTGTAATATTAAATGTTTTTTGGTGCGTTGTTTTGGTTTAGGGGGGTTTTTTTAAAGGGGATTAATTATGGGGGACTTGTGGGGGTGTTAGGGGGGTTTTCTGGCTTACCTTTTCGGCGCGGGTGTTGGCATCGCGTGCCTCCTGTTCGCAGACGAGAGCGCGCTCCAAAGCTCCGTCCTTGTCGACTTTCATCGCTTGCATCTTCTTCTTGATGGCATCCATGGTGTTGGTTTTGTTTTTGCACTACTTTACTCGAAAGAAACTGAAATTGAAATGGAAATCCAAAGATATGAAAATGGAAGTGCCTCAGACTGAAATCGAAACTGTTGTTATGTGCAGCCAATAAAGCAATTAGCAAATTTATGCGATAATCATCAATTGTTGTGTTGCGAATAGGAAAATCAAAAGTCATAACAATTCCATGTTTGTGCGAAAGTGAAACTCTCTGAGGAGAGTTCATTTGCATTTTATAATCCATATATGGGTTTAGTTTTTCAAGATCAAAGATAAAAATCTAGGTTATCTATAGTTGTATGTACATATGTTGAAACTTCTATAAGATTCTTGTTTTGATCTTAAAAATTAGATTTTATCTATTTAGTATTTTACTTTTTACTTTCACAAGCTCAAAATTTAAATCTTGTTTAAGAAATCTTAAACAATCGTTCTCCTATTTTGGCAGGAAGGCTATTAAAAGTAATAAATTATTCTCCCTGGCCAAAAAGCAACTCCACTCAAGGCCCACCCCAAGCTGGAGGCTTTGTTCAAGCTCACCCAACTGAGAAATTGAGAATTTAATATTTCGCTGGCGTTTCTTCACGATTCTCGTTCTTCCCCATTGATCTTCTGCTTGTGCATTTGTTTTTCGAGAGTGTTTTCTCATCTCACAGTAAATCATTTAAATGGGAGAATACCTGACCAGGTAATGCACGTTTTTTCTCAATACATCGGGAAAGAGGCTATGAACTCAGAACCCAAAAAGTGTGCTTAGTTATGCAGATCACATAGGATCGGATGGTGTGACTTCCATGCGAAGCTGGGAAAAGTAACTTTTTGGGAATTCTTGAGGCAGAAGAATTGTGTCAGTAGATTTCTAAGGTTCTATAAGAAGAGCTTTCCCCCTAATATAAGTAATGGCGTTCTACTGAAACTTTTTCTCTACAAAACTTTATTTTCTGCTTGTTTCTTAATTAAATATACCATTTATGAATCATCTCAGCTGCTGTGGACAATTTTCAGACCTTCTGAGTCAGTGTGGACGCAGCTGGAGGGTTCTGGGCCCCGCCTTTACTTCCACTCCCTACCAACCTTTCTTCAACCAACCCGAAACCCACTTGACCAACATTTGTCATGGCTTAAACCGCGATCCAGTGCAACAGCCGGCTAATTGACTCAAGTTTCGCACCGTGAAATTTAAATTTTTTATTGCATCTCATCGGTGTCATTTGTTGTTCTTTTGAGAAATACTTTTTAAACATGAATTTTTATTTTTAAAACCTCTGTTTACATTCCTGAGCCCGATCCGGCCAGGTACGACGACCAGGCAAAGAAAAACTCCCAAAAAAAATTGAATTTTAATTAAATTGCTTTGAAGGCAAATTTTTTGTGCATTCGTTGGAACATATAGAATCGTCTGTATACGTATTGGATATATGTCAATTGAGGTGACACTTTAAGTTATGTTTGCGTTGATTCAGCGCAAAAATTCGCATGCCATTGTATAACCCTCGACAATGACATATATCTTTAATTAATGGGCTTAGTAAAAAAATAAGTAAGTCAAGCAACAAATAAATGTAAATAATTAAATATTCATTCAGAAATTTTCGAGCCTTTTACTATAGTAACCCCTATTTCCTTGCCCAACACACCTATTTTCTTCAAAAAGATTCCAGTTTCATGAACCATTTTTTTGAAAATTTTCCAAATTATCCAACGGAGAATTTAAAATTTCATCATACGAAACACAGAATACAGAAAATTCTATTAATAAATATCCTATACCTATACGTAGTCCTACACATACAGATCTAACGCATATATATTCCTTAACTTGAAGCTTTCTCTATTCCACTCTCTGAATCTGTGTTTTATCTCTTTGGCACATACAGAAATTATCTAAAAATAGTCCGACGAAGGCATCTGTTGAATATCCCGCCTACCCGAAGGCCCCCAATCGGATATTACTTAATACTAAATTAAGCAACCCAGAGAGAAAAGAGCTTTCTGGGAAATTCTTGGTGGATTTCGCCTACGTTTGCTTCAAATCCATTTGGCATCTGTGGGCAGCGGTCGTGTATCGGATTTCACAGATACAAAATTATAAATTGGAACTATGACATCTTTTATTATTCCATTATATTTATAAGGAGTTATATTTATGAAGAACATAATGTTGAAATTAAAAAGGTGCCCCAACAAAGTTTTAAAAAGAATTTTAACTCTGAATCCATTGTATTCTTCAGTTTGTGGTCTTCGGGATCCTTCTAAAAAAAGGGCTGTTGTTACTTCCTTAAGTAACTAAAAAATCTTGGATTTTTTCTCCTTGTACGTGATAAATTTTAAATAAAACCCCTAGCTGACTATGATTATACAAACAAATCTTTAATGGTAACTTTATATGGCGACTTGCGGTTAGCAGAAAAACTTAACAAACCCCAGATAGACTTATTCTTATTTTTCTGCTAAATCTCAGAGGTGTTTAACCTCTATTTAGGTTTCTAATTTTCTGACAGAAAATTTTCAAATTATATTCCTTGTTATACTTGCGGTTTCTATTCGATTTTCACAACACTTTGCTTGATTTAATGTTATTTTGGCAGCAATACTTTTATTATGTAAGTATTTTTGATGGGATTGAATCCTTTTTTTGATTTTCAACCAATTTAAATCACAATTACAACTTTTTATTGGACACTCGGCAGGTTTTTAGGCAATTTTTGTTTAGCGAATACTTATGTTATATCTTTTTTTTAACATTAACGTATTCCTTTTACTTACAAAACTTTTATTCGGAGTTATCCGCGACTTGAACGGATTGTGATGTTCAACTGAAAATATTTATTCAATATGTTGACGTTCGATGCTCGCCGTTTGGTCGAATCCGAACGATCGCCTCGGTGTGTGCGTGCGGGTGCGAGTATCTGTGTGAGTGCGAGTATCTGTGTGAAAGAGCGCGTACTTTTTGGCTAAAAGCAGCGTGAAGCCCATAGCTGATGCTTGCCACAGCCATCGGCCACCGCAGTTCTTGTTGTTGCTTATGATTATTTTGGAACTGCATTCAGCTCTCAATTTACGCGAAGAGAACCACCCATTTGTGCTAGTGTAGGGTACACTGAGAGGAAAATTTTACCAAAATATATCAAAAGAATAGCTAAAGGTGAAGAAAACAGAAACATTTTATTTTCGTGGTTTCCGTGTGTAACATTTTTTCTTATTTCTGTCATGGTTTTATGACAATATTTTTCGGTTAGTATTATAAAATATTTGTTGATTAGTCTATGTATTCCAAGAACTAGTAACTTTTACTTATATCCTAATGCAAAATGTTCTTAAAATTCAAATAAATGTTTTTAGTTTATAAAAAAGTATACAACGTATCGAAACCTATTTGAAATATTTCATAATTTCATCAAAAATGTTCGTACATTATGGAATGATTTCAAAAATGTTATAAAATAAATATAATTTATAAATATATTATATTACAAAAAACTTGTCAATTTAAGCAATTTAAACAACAAGGTAGGGAAAGATTCAACATTTTCTTTAATACTAAGACTATTTATAACACGAATAACCCCTAATATCTCGCAGTGCACACAAAATCCAAACAGAAGAATATGCATATATTTGTACAGCGCCGGCTCTCTACCATTGACTTCGGCGGGCTTTCGGGCCGTGTGTGTGAAGAAAACGAAGATCTTCGTCCGGCTGATTTACGATCATTTCGCACACAAGAGTATCCGGCGCCTGCGCCCTTTCTTCTTTTCTCCCAAAATCACCTGTTCAAAGGTGTATGGGTATCGAAAAATTGGAATCAAACAATATACGTAGAGCCTATTTTTGAATATTTCCCTGTATTTTGAAGAGCTTTGCTAGCCCAGTATTTCGCACCATTGCAAAATTTCTCCAACACAAAGACAAGAATTTCTCTGATCCAAATATAATGGTGTGTGTGATTTGTGGATCGTTTTGTTTTGTTTTTTCCTCGGTTTCTATTTTTAATTTTCAGTTATTGATATGCCAAAAAATCTTGTTTCACTTACGTATATACACCATAGGTCTACAGATTATTATTTTTTCTGTTCCATATATTTTAAGAGATTTCTATAGATTTCTCAACGTCATGTCTGTAAACGGAAAACATATTTCTGGCAATCAAAAAAGTCACATCCGAAAGTCGACTTTTTTGTAACTGCATCTGAAGAAAACGTATCCATGAATCACATCATGTTAAATGCAAAACGTGAAAATCGTTTAAATGCTGTTTCCTCATGGTACCAGTCGAGATCGAGTCGATACTGGGAGATGAAAATAGATATAAATTCGATACTAACAAAGCCCATTAATCACGATTATTTCATTTAAAGGGATAATTGTAGTCTCTGTTTTTGAAACCTTTTTTTTTAAAGGAAACTTACAAAGGAAATAAAGTTTAAAATATGAAGAGTATTGAATAATTGTTATGGAAGTTATCACTCTTTAAAAGCTAAAAGAAAAACTATATAGAAACATAAAAATTAGATATTTGAAGTAACATTAACGTTATTTTCTCCGAATTGAACCTGAAACTAAATAATATTATATATAAAAGTCAAGATTGCATCCAGTAGGTAAAAATATAGATAGATATATAGATATATTTGATATCATATCTGTTCCTGTTTTTTTCTTTGTTTTTTTAAACATTGTGAAGAGTTTATTTTTTTCGGAAAGAGTTATATTTAAATCTATCAACACCCACTGAATGACGTAATTGTTTTCATTCAAAACAAAAAGCCCTGAAACAGAAAATTAGATCAATATATATTTATATTTAAAAAAAAAATCCAGTTTAAAAACATAAAGAGACAAAAAATGTATCGAATCTATACTATGTATCTACATTACGCATGAGAAAGACCCTTGAGAAAACATTGTAAAAACACAACAGTCTGAGCAACTTGCTAAATACGAAAACAAAATCATGGCCGCCAAAGCTGTTGACATGTGTTTGTTATGGAAAACCAAAGTTTTCATAATTCCAAAATATACGCCAATAAGATCAGTACATGTATATGATTATATTTATATGTGCGAATACGGCACTCGGCATGGCTTTAACAAGTGAACAATCTTGTTAGAAAAATCACTACCATATTTGGAAAAAAACGTATACTTTTTCAAACGACTCAGAAGCATCAACGACTAGGCCGTTTTTAAACATTTGTTCTGGAAAAATTATAAAAATTAGACTAGATATATCGCATGATAAGAATTCTGTCTTAAAATTATTTTTTGGGAGTTTCAAGGTTTGAATGGATCTGGAAACAAACTGAGGACTTTGTGGCTAAAGCCAACCCAATATCATCAATAGGGGGGCTTTTGATGACTCAATTGGCGCCAATCGGTATTGCGCCGGCTCCTGTGAATGAAGCTAACTCGAACTGGTTGCAGCTTGTGGTACTAAAAGGAAATCTTTGCTGCAAGCTACTTGCCTTGCCAAAGTTTCCAGCCGGCCAAGGTGAGCCGGCGCACCGTTCGGCGTCCCATATCGGATGTCGTGTGCATGTGAGCGGTGTTTTGGCGCTCTTCGGCATTGTCAGTGTCAATTATTTAAGATGTAGACACGGGTACTGTTGCCTTGAACTTATCGCCAAACCTTTTGTAAATAATGGGCATGCATTAGGCGTGCGCCGGAAAGCAATTGTTCCTTATAAACTGCTCGCATTTGGCAGGCTGCAGCAGTGAAGCATTTTAATTTGTGTTCGCATTTGCTTCAAGGGCAACTATTTTTGATTCTTGGGAACAGCTGCTTAATGTGATTGGCCCACACAAAGTTGAAGACAAAGAATTCAATGAGTGTGCCAAATTTAATTTAAAGGGTTGCCCAAAAGCTCACCCAAATAGAGAAATTCAAAATGCCGTTAAGCAGCTGATTGCTGTTATCGATATACAATTGGTACAAGAATTACTTCAGCCCTGCCTGTCAGTTGTAGAGCTGCCTACACTAACCGGTGGAAATTTCATAACAATGTCGTTTATTGACAAGTTAAACTACTACAGCAAACGAAAATCCTTCAAGTATGGAATTCCCTTTCTGCTTATGATGGTAGCCGGATCCTTTGGACTGCAACAGTTCTCCAATCTTAGGTTATATCATTCAAAAATCTTCTCAAAGGCTCTATTAACCGATGCGTTTATTTACACCTCTGTAGGTATCAGTACGCCAAAAAGCAACCTGTAACGCCGGAAGAAATGAAGAAGTACGGCGTGAGCATGAAAAAGCGTCAGGAAGTAACTCTGGAGACGGAATACGACAAAATTCAGTCAGTGGACATCGAAAACTGGGAAAACAAACGCGGACCACGTCCATGGGAAGAAGAAGGGTTGTCGACTCCGGCAAAGCATTAGATAAAATGTACTTTAGGAAAAAACACTTGTTATAGAAAGGGGCAGACAAATTGTTGTACATAATTAATAAATTTTAACATTTTTATAAACGTCAACAAAAAATCGTTAAAGTCACGAAGGCCAATTGTTCTTTTCATTAGAATTTAGTATTTTTCAGTATATTTGAATAAGGGTATGCTTGCAGCCCTAGAAATACGTCCACACTGATCTCTAATATTTTGTATTTTGCAATAAAATGGGAGAAGTTAAACCCGCTAAAGTGGAAAACTGGAGTACGGGGACAGATGCAAACACTCTGTTTACGGACGGTAAGCCCCCGGCTCTCGGATCCGAAATAATTTAATTTACAGTTTTCCCGCCTTTTAGGAGAACGAGTGCTATGCTTCCATGGCCCTCTCATTTACGAGGCAAAGGTGCTGAAATCAAAACCCGATGCGACGCCGGTTGAATACTACATCCACTATGCTGGCTGGAGTAAAAAGTATGCATTTTTCAAGCAAAGAAACCGATCTGCAAGAATCCACTTCTAATTTTAGCTGGGACGAATGGGTACCCGAGAGCCGAGTTCTGAAGTACAATGAGGACAATGTTAAACGCCGTCAGGAGCTCGCCCGCCAATGCGGCGAACGGTCAAAGAAGGACAATAAGAAGGGTGCGTACATTGGAAAATACTTCTTTTGTAAATGGCTAATCCATTTTCCCCATCCCAGGAAGCGCCAAAGCGAAGAAAATGGAGCAGATACGCATCGAATCTCGAGCATCAACTCCTTCAAAGGACAGCACAACGTCGCAATCGACCGCCAGCAGCACGCCGACGGCCAGCACGGGTCCCGCTACTAAGACGGATGCTGCTAATACTAGTAGCACGGCCCCCAACAGTGCAACTCCCACAGCAACCAGCAGGGCCAATCGAAAATCAACACAATCTGCCTCAGCATCTGTTCGCCCCGGAACACCTAGTGACAAAAAAGACGAATCGACAGCCGCCGACACAACAGAGGATGAGGCAGCCACCCCGGTGGCCCCTAAGAAGAAACGAATGAGCGAACAACGGCCATCCCTCACAGGAAGCGATGTGGCGACGACAGAAAAGCTGCCGCCAACGACACCTTCGGCCGAACCAGCACCGTGTGTGGAAAGCGAGGAGTCGTATGCCGCCAAGCTAGAGGTTAAGATAAAGATACCGGACGAACTGAAACACTACCTAACTGATGATTGGTACGCCGTGGTGCGGGAGCACAAGCTTCTGGAGCTGCCCGCTAAAGTTACCGTTCAACAGATTGCCGAACAGTATTTGGCGCACAAAAAGTCTGTTAAGTCGACCAGTGCCAGCAAGGAGGTGGCCATCAACGACGTGCTCGATGGAATTGTTGAATACTTCAACGTCATGCTGGGCTCCCAGCTACTGTACAAGTTTGAGCGCACTCAGTACGCGGATGTAATGCAAAAGCATCCGGATACACCTCTCTCAGAGCTTTACGGTTCTTTCCACTTACTACGCCTGTTTGTCCGTCTGGGCTCCATGCTCAGCTATTCCGCCCTGGACCAGCAGTCCATGCAAAATCTGCTCGTACATCTGCAGGATTTTCTGAAGTTTCTAGTGAAGAACAGTGCCATGTATTTTAACATGAGCAACTTTATCAATGTGGACCCCGAATATGTGCGAAATGCTCAATAAGCAGTACAAACTCATCTATTTCTTTTTGACTTGATGAAACAATTCGAAGTGCTTTTTCATCCAAACAATTTGCAATAGCTCGATAGTAGCTCTTCACAGCTGGTTTGTATATTAAAACACGCGTAACAAGATTAAAAGTAAGCTAATTGTAATGCTAATAAAATGTCAGCACATTGTAAAGATTAATTATTCGGCTTAGTTTTGGCCTCATCTTCGCTTTCTTCTTCGCTACTACTACTATCACTGCTGCTGGTGGGATAAAAGTCGCGCAAGTCCCGCGGTTTGTTCCGCTCCTTTTGCTCCTGTTCCAGATATTCGTTTTGGACCTTGAGAATGTCATCGCTGCTCTTGCAGGATGCGTATGCATTAAGAAGCTTGTCGTTCAGCTCCAGGAAGGCATGACCCCAAGAAAACTTTCCCAAGTACCAGCGAGCCTCCTCTGTGAAGCCGCATATGAACAGGGTGGCTGCAATGGCCTCCACGCAGCTGAGCTTGCAGGGTTTCCCATAATTAATTGGGTTGGCGGCCACCAGGAAGGGAAGCAGCCGCGGATGTGGGCTTCGCATCCTGCCAAAGGGAGTCTCGTCCAGCTTGGCCCATGAACAATCGATTACCGCTACTCCAGATGCAGCAACTATCTCTTTGTCCAGAGGACTAACGCAAAGTTGACCAACAGGAGACAGAACGAGGCCTGGGAATTTCTGTCCTAGGCGCAGATTTGCAATCAATCCTAAACGAGCCAGTTTTCTGCCGGAACACTTCTTTGGGTCGCAATGATTCAGGTCCCACATGGCCACCGCAAACTCTGGCGGCTGTCCAAGATCACTCTTGGAGGCTCCTTCCTCCGAGGATTCAGAATCAGAGCTTGAATTACTAGCCAGCTCATTTTCCTGCTGGGCGAAACTGCGGGCACAGTTATGATTAGATTTAACGTTCCGGTAGGGACCGCCGCCCCTCTTGCCTTTTCCCTTATGTCGTCCACTCATTATGACGAATTAATTATAGGAATTTCAAAAAAAAAACAGCCTCCTTTCGGAAATCTCGTGGTTGATAACCCCTTTGTTTTGGTTGTAAGAAGGTGGCGAATTTTAATTTGACAAAGGTAATAGTGTCGTCAGCGATTCAAGTGACGAAGGTTTGTTTTTTATATATTTTATAACTAGTCGCTTTAGATAAGAAGAGACTTTACTTATATTATTCTAAATGCATAATTATATTATTATTAATATTAAAAACCCAGCATTACCCAATTTGCGACACCTTCTGACGATATCCTGTCTAATCGATATTCTATCGATAGCCCGCAGACGCAACCTTGTCACGCTAATAGAATAGAAAACGGGCAGCCATATTTTTTTGAAGAAGAAGATATTCGGAGAGCAAACTGAAAACTAGTCCGGCAAAATAGTGAGAATTAGGGAGAAATGTAGGTATTCAGAGTATAAGTGCCCGTTGGGAGGAGAATTAGTTTATTCCTCGCACGATCGAACCAATGGCTGGTCCTGCAAAAGCCGATGTGAAATAGAGTGTACCGAAAACGCAGAGCCTGTGTGATGTAGGGGAGGCGCCAAAACAACGTGAACAATTGCTATCTCTAAAAGGATGATTTAGTGAAAATGGAGTGAACTATGAATGGTTTATTGACATTTAAGAAGATCAAATGAATAATAACCGAAAACCTGACGACGCGCATAACATACACACCTACACGCTGTTGCGAGCACAAACACTCACACCCGTACATATATCGTATATCGATATATGCGAGTGCATTTCGCGCCGTGGCGGCAGAGCAAAAATAACCGAAATCAGTTGAAAATCAATTGACGCCCGCCCAAGCACCAAACCCATTCAAACCCCAACGGCGGCCGTTTCTCATAACCAACTAATTGTTTTTGTGTTGCTTCTTTTTTTGGATTTTCCATTCGGCGTGTCCTAATTCGCCTTTTCCGTCTCCGGAGTACAGTTGCGCCCACAAGCTAGAGCAGCCGAAAAACAACGGGGAGGGAAATAGAAACACCAGTACTTGCCAAGGACACATCTCTCACAGGACATCGGATACAAGATGGGAGAAGTCAAGTCGGTGAAGGTGGACAACTGGGGCGTCTTTTTTCTCCAGAAGCTCCAGAACTTCTTTAACAAAACGGATTACTGCGACCTGACGCTCCAGTTTCGGGATAACTCACAGCTCAAGGTGCATCGGCTTGTGCTCAGCGCCTGCACGGATTACTTTAATGTCCTAGAGCAAACGTGCGACATTGTGGACGATGCCCTGATCATGCCGAACGAGTTCCAGGCGGATGTGGTGGTGCCCATCGTGAACTTCATGTACACGGGCACCCTCGAGTTTGAGTTGAAGATGTACGGCAAACTGTTGCGCACAGCAAAAGAGATGAACATGACGGTTCTGCTAAAACTTCTGGAGGCACATAGGAGGACTATGGAGAATGTGAACCGCCAGCAAAGGGTAAGTACACTTATTTCCTTTGAAGATTAAGGGAATAATAACATCATTTTAGCCACCGAGTCCCAAGGGCATTCGACGTCGCACTATACCTGTCAACTCCGGCCCTCCCCAGCAGCGTGTTTTAGGTCCCTCGCCAAATCGGGGAGTTACTACGGTGGGAAACACATCAACAACCCTGCGAGCAAACACCCAGCGTGGGCCCACTGGCAACACCATTATCCGCACTTCTGGCGCCACCAACAATCGCACTCAGTACGCCGAGACAACTATCATCAAGCAGGAACCCACATCGCCATTCGAACAGCTGCGTAAAGGATACAACAACAATAAGCGGCCAGCTCAGACCAGTCTGCTGTCACCGCCCTCAAAGAAGCCCAGCCTCGAGGAGGTCAAGGAATTCGCCGAGCAGCAACGAATGCGTAAACAAATAGCTGCAGAATACGGTGATCACGATACGGATTACGACGGCGGTATGATCTTCGATGATGTGCATGCTGACGACGACGATGACGATGTGCCTCCACAGCCTTCTACGTCCAAACAACAATCAACATCACTGGTATTACCACAAGGCACACAAACACAACTAGAACATGGCACAACTACCATTATTCTAAAGCAGGACTCGCCCAGTCAAACACCCACAATAATTGTAAAGGATTCCTCCAACGCAAAGTTGAACCACACCAAGATCATTGCCGAAGTTCTGCGACAGTACCCACACATTGTCAAGGGCCACAAGAACATAAAGCTGAAAATAATGCCCAACACTGCGCCAACTCCATCAGCCGAAAAGTCTACTCCGACATCCGTGAAACGTGCGTCCCCTGTTCCGTCAGGGACGGCTGCAACATCGACTTCGCCACACAAAAAGCTACACGTATCCTTCAAGTCGGATAAGAACACCCCTCTGATAACATCCCAACAAAAAGCGTCCGTTACACAGCAGAAATCGCCTGTGGCTTCGACACAGACGAATATTTCTCAGGCGAATTCTGGCGCAAACGTTGCTGGCGGGCAGAAGCGTCGAATCGATAGCAAAACCATGCATGCATTGATCGCCCAGGGAGCTGAGAACACCACTGGTGAGTAAAATTTGTAGAATTCGGCATAATCTCAGCTAGAATTGAATAATAAAAATTGTTTAAATTAGGTCCCTGGCTGTGCCTCAGGTGCGGGGTTAATGGACGTCCGATAAGCATTCCGTCGTATCGGGGCTTCCGCCGCCATTTGATCAACACGCACAAAGAAACCATCGATTCAGCGCTGTGCGAACATTGCGGTTGGCGGTCAAGCAACAACAGGGAGCTGCACTTCCATATGTACACGGAGCACCAGGTCAAGTCGCAGCTGTACACCTTCCCCGAATGCGCTTTGTGCAACCAGTCGTACTCCACCAAGCCTGAGCTGGAGGCGCACATCAACGAGGCGCATACAGACGACAACAAGCAGCAGTGCATCTACTGCAACAAAGTGTTCGAGCAGGAGTTGCAACTGTACCGGCATATGAAGAGTTACCACAAGACGCAGGCCTTAGAAGATGGAATTATTGATGAAACGGACGAGGAGTTCCTCGGCTCGCAAGGAGAGGAGGACGAGGATGGTGAGGCACCCGAAACGGAAGAGGAGCCAGAACAGTCGGGCAAGGTTCGCATTCTATCGGACATCAGTCTGCCGGCCACAAGTGCCATTACAGTGCATCAAGAGGTGGAGCAGGTGCAGCAGGAGGTTAAATTCGTTGGAGCTGACGGCAACGAAGTGGAGCTAACGGAAGAGCAAAGGAAAGAGATTCTATCTCAGCTCAACCAACAACAGGCGGGTGCGGCCGCGGGCGGCGTGGTAATGGTCCTTAGCGAGCCAGAAGCTGAGCAGGTGAAGCCGGAGACAGATGAAAAGTCACTTGCTGGCACAGAGGAAGAGTACGACGACAGCCAGATATACAGCGAGCTAGCGGCCGCGGACTCTGTGGAAAGCGGAAAGAAAAGCACTGCTGACGAGAGCAAGGAGTCAATTGATAACCTGGAGTGGGCAGAGAACCTGATTGCCGAATCCGAGGAACAGACAACTAAGGAGGTAAAGTTTTTAAATAATATTGCTAACAAAAATCGTTATTTAACCGACATCTTTTTACAGCCCAAATTGGAAAAATCCCGAGATGACATAAGTGAAAAGCTTAAGGAGCTAACGGGCGACTGGACAGAGGATGAGAACGAGGACGATGTAGACGACAAGCCCGCCACTGCAGAGCTTGCTAGCGAATTGGCCACCAAAGAGTCGGAACCAACCGAAAGTCAAACTGCTGATGATGAGGAAGATGACATTGACCTGGCCCTGCAATCTATGCACAAAAGTTCCGAGGAACAAGCGTCGGCGAAACCCAGCGACGAGCCGGTAGAGGAAGAAATTCAATCAACCGCCACTACAAACAGCCAGTCGAATAAAATGGAAGTAGATTCGGATGCGGCGCCCGAAACTAAGTCCACGGAAGTACCGGATGTCCAAATAAAAGAGGAAGATGGTGTTGACACTGAGCAGGAAGAATTTATCAAGGAGGAGGTCCCTATATCTGACCCTAGCCTTCCCGAAGCTGAACCGGAGGCACCTGCAGCTGTTGCAGCCGCTGAAGGGGAGGATGATGTACACCTGGAAGCCGAGAATATTCGAAAGGAGCTTCTGGATGAATTAATAGCAGGCGCGGAAAAAGCCGAGGACGAGCCAGATGCACTTAATGCTCCAGAGGTAGAACCAACGTCGGCCGATGTGTCAACTGAAGCGGCGGAAGAAGATTTGGTGCCTGCTACACAAATGCCAGCCGATCAGCCCATTGCCATGGATGTGGATGAGTCCGAGGCAGAAAAGCCTTCAGAAGACAAGGACGAATCCAAAGCGGAAGAGACAAAGATACCTTTGGAATCTGAAACGGAAATACCAGAAGCTGAGAAACCGGAAGCGACGACAACGGAAAAAGTTGAAACGGAACACGCACCTGCTACTGATAAAGTGAAGAGTCTCATTAGCGAATGGGTCGACGACGAGGAGGATGAGGATGAGAATGGTGTGAGTGCGGCAGCGAAGGAGGAACTATAATTGCTAGATTTATTTATGTTCTAATGTGTGAGTGCGGAGACCAGCGGAGAAAGAATTTTCGGTTTCTATTGTAAATTAAATTGTTAATGAAGATGAAAGATGATAAGATATGCGTATGCACAGGTTTAAGTGTATAAGATCTAATCTGCACGTCTCATATAATTGTAAATTCCCCACCACCCAACCCTTGTTGCGCGGCTATTCAGAAATAACCCGAGAAGGAAGTCGCGGCCACCTTAAATGAGAGATCAGAGACCAAATTATTCGATATTGCGCTAAATTTTCATCCTCACAACTAACACGGCAAGCAACCAACATTTCACTTTTAGATAAACCTCTTATATAAAATAAATATATATAAATACGTATATATATAGCATACTTCGATGCCTATTTACATGCATACATATAGGTATATGTAGTTACATAGATGTTGTTTTAATTGGTTAAAACAAGGCCTGATGCAAGCAAGCGACAGTTAAGTCAATGATTGATTTTTAATGATTGGTTTAATATAGGAATCAAAAGCGCATACAAAAAAGGAGCCCAATTTTTTGATTACCAGCTTAGGGTATAAGATTATTAAATATAAAAAATTAAAAATACTTTGGAGAAAGAAAAATATAAATGTAGAAAAAAAGGATGTTTGTTTTAAAAATGTATTTACTTATTCTCTTATATAAACAGCACCTGCCTAGGGTGGAGGACATTTGGATTAAAACAAGATTCATTGAACATTATTATGAAACATAACACAGCTGCCAAAACATAATAATAACCTAAACAGGATGGAACATAAAGGTGTAAAAAAGGCACACTTGGGTCACATCACAGAAGATCCACACACCAAACTCCAATTATTCATCTAAAAGCAATTAAAGATAATAGGGTTTAGTTTTCCAAAAGGAAAATATGATGTTACCCACCAGAAAGATAAAAGTTTATGATGCACATGGTGGCGAAGCCGGCGAGCACAGTCGCGAACTGCGCAAATCCGGCCCAGCGTCTCGATGGGGTTGTGTGCCAGCGCGCCTTTTCCCGCGGTATCACTTCACAGACAGTGACGTAGAAGAGCGTTCCCCCCGCCAGTGCTTGGATTATGGGCAGTGTTTTAGTGGACCAACCAGACGGCACATCCACGATAAGCATACCCAGTGCAATTCCGCATACCGCTCCGGCCGCAAAAACCGAAATGCCGGCTAGCTGGGCGCGAAAACTCGTCTGTGGGTTGGAGCGGAACTCGAGACCCAGACAAAAGCCCATAACGAACTTGTGGCATGCTACTGCCCCTAATAGAAATAGAACCTAAAACAAGACAAAGCAGATTGGGGTTATCTATTTAGACTAAGCCAGCAACATTTGTTTGCCGTAATATTTGATTAAGATTGCGCGCCTAGTAGCTGACTACTATGCCAAGGCAAAGACCGACCTTTGTGGACGAATTTTGTACGCCGATCGCAAGGCCCTCGATGGCCGAATGCAGGGAGAGGGCAACAAAGAGTCCCAGAGTGCCCGTCATCGACTGGACGCATGGTTCGGTGTGGCTCGTATGGCAAATGCGGGCATTGGCGTCCTCAACGGTGGCGTCATCGCAACCGGATGAGGAGTGCGGGTGATCATGATCATGATGGCTGCTCAAGCAAATCATAAATTAATTACAGATTTTAGGGCGTATCTTCAAAATCAAAGTCATTTACTGTTCATGAGAGTGAGCTGTAGAATCTTGGTCCGTTGATAACAAAGGCGCCCGTTCACCCACTGCTCCATAGCCGTTTCGATTGCTGGGAACAGCCGGTTCAGGATTTGAATGTGAATGGTCGTGATGAATTGCCTCGCCGAAAAAGTAGTGTATGAACTCATCTATAAAATATATAATGAAGAATCCTCCGCACATAGCCACTTCAGCAAAATTCGAGTTCATTTGCTCGCGCACCTGTTGCATTATCAGATAAAGCAATAATTGAATTTCAATAGTCAGCATATGAAAGCTAATGCCAAGCTTACCTCTGGAAGAATGTGCACCAAAGCGGTGGCTAGCAGAATGCCGGCACCGAAACACAGGAGAAGCGAGGTAAATAATGGAAATCGCAAACGATTCCGTTCCGAAATAAAGGCGGGTAATATGCCCGAACCAAAACTTCCCAATCCAAGGACAACCATGGCCAAAATCTTTTCCAGGTCACCACGATTCGTGGCATCCATGGGGGTGTTTTCCGTAACCCATGTTGTGTTCTGCAGACTCATTGTTCAGCTGGCTAGCTTAGTCATAAAGAGTGGAGCTGTACAGCACGCCAAAGTTCGTTGCATTTACTATTTTTAAACGAAACAGTTTCAAAAACAGACACTCTCCTGCACCGTGTGACCGTGAAAGCTGTCTGACAATATACCAACTATGCGCGCCTCGCCGTTACGCTTTTAAATACCAAAAGTGAATAAGTTTTTAGTATTAAATAAGGGATCTCGATTCTTGTCTATCGAAGTTGATCGCGAGCGCAGCTCAAAAACTTCAGGGCTGCAGAAAAGTTTTCGATTCAATCTGGCTACTCGTTACTTTTTAGAGTTTCTTTTCATACCCTTCCAGAGGGTATTACACTTTTATCATAAAGGTAAAACGCAGTATTCAAAACGGTCTAGTTCTTTTTGTTAACTTCTAAACTGAAAAGTAATTCTTCAAAATAAAATCATTCCATAAAATGTTTTGGAACATGCACACCAATGAAACTAAATTCAAAATTTGATCGTGAACGTCCCACTATTATTGTTGTCCCCTTGAAAATGCATCGTCGTTGTATAATCTGTGGCCGTGAGCCTAGTGAGCATTTTGTCTACCCGCGCAACCTCTCAGAGGCCCGTCGCTGGCAGAGCCTGGTCAACATGAATTCTTTTAATGTGGAGCCAGAGTCGTTGTGTCGCCACGGCTGCGTTTGCTCCTCCCATTTGGACGTGGAGCATTCGTCCAGTTCGGATCTAGAAAATTGCCAAAAAAGAAGCACCGGTGGCATGCCTCCTCAAGATTCCCGAAATTCTATAGATCGACGACTCAACATCCAATTTTCCCCAGCGACTGAATTATTTGTCTCAAGCAGCAATATTCAGGAAAATGCAAGCCAAGGCAAAAGAAAAGAATGTAGGTGCGATAATTGCAGAGCCCGTAAAGGGATGTCGGACAAAAAAACGCCTCCCATATTGCTTCAGCCCAAGGATACCGACTCCTTGAAAGGATACGGCAAAGGCCAGCCGGATAACTCGGAAGATCGAAGGATGAAATGTCCACCATTAAACCGACCATGTTGCTGTCCGTATCCCACAAACGCAAGGGCAATCGAGGAAATTCAGACCCAAGCTAGAAGCATAATCTGCAAGTGTCCCAATCGCGGTTCCAGCAAGGAGGAGAAACAGTCATCGAAATCGAACAAAGCATTGACACCTAAAGCCTCCGCATCGAAGCGCAGCCGGAAAGAAAACCTATCTGTTAAATCAAACGCATCTCGTACGACTCAAAGGAAATCTACACAGGATCAGTGTTCTTGCGCCTGCGATGAAGAGATACCCGGCAGAGGCAACCAAATGCCCTTCAGGGGACAGCCAACTTCAAGGAATGTTTCACAAAATGTTCCTCCGAGTATAGGCCAGCAAATGCAGAACTTTCACAACTCCCAAAGGCAAAACCAACAGCCATTCGGTCCTCCCAATTCCCAAGATCCTCACAGAACAAAAAGTTGTCAAGTTTGCGTAATCATCCAGCCAAAGAACAAAGATAAAACTGACAAAGAAATTCAGGTCCCGTTCTGCATGCAAAATCCAAAAGTTGCAGCCAAAAACGAATGCAGCAGCCAGACGACTGCGACTAATTGCTATTGCGAGCCATGTGGACATGCTCCAGACTCATTGGGCTTTGGGTCCAGTTTTGCGCAGTCCAAGGGGTTTCCCGGTTACGCGGCCAGTAGGCAAAAAAACAATGCCATCAACGTTCTTCTAATGCCTGGTTCCCGGAATGATTATGACTCGTGCTGCTGTCCTAGTACGTTTCGTTCGTCAGCTCCGGCTCCCGAGATCCTTGTGCAGGAGTCGGACTTGACGGATAGCGACGAACGGGCTGTTTTCCCTCCGGTAGACTTGCCAAGCTACCGAGTGTGTCGTGCAGCAACATCGGATCCAAAAGAAAACGCAAATAACGAGAATGAAGCATGTGCCAATGTTTTGGTACTGGAGGATGGAGAAATGGATTGTCAACCAGAAAACAATTGCAGCTGCGAGGCACCGGAATCGACTAGTCAGTTTGTTGAAGGACCACAACCTTCCATTTCGAGCAAAGAAACCCACAAAGGAATTCCTGAAATAGGTTCAAACTGGATGAACGCCGAGGCTACAGCGAACTTCACTAAGGTACTGGAACTGCAGAAAGCCCGCATCAATGAGCTGGACACTCTGCTGCAGCAGCACAACGCGTTGCAGCAGACCATCCAGGCAAAGGTGGCCCAATTGCAGTGCAACGATAATGCACTTTTCAAGGGGTGATAATTACTACATAGTCCATTAAATAAAGTCCATAAGCATTTCGTTATTTTTCTAAGGGAAAGATGTAGTTTATTCGCAATTACCGCTTGAACTCCAATATCAAACTTTTAGTTTGAAATATCCACAAATCAAGAGCTAATCCTATCGTCTAGGCAGCTGACTGAATAACATCTGTGTACAGCTTCACCTTGCTGGCAATGCTCATGTCCACGTACTTGTCGCCAATGGACACGATCAGACCACCAATGATGCTGGGATCCACACGGGAGGTGATCTTCAGGGACTGGTTGCCCTTCAGGAAAGACTGAAAAATAAGTAGATTTAATTCATTGTACGGAAATTATGAAGGAAAGTATATGTGGACAGTTGTTTCAGTTAACATCCTTTTCGCGATAGTTTTACTGTTTTCTCACCTTGAGGGCAGCCTCGAGCTGCTTGTTCTGGGAGGCATCCAATGGCTTGGCGGAGACCACCTCGCAAACGACCTCACCACGGTGGGCAGCCATGATGGTCTTGTAGGCGTTGATCACGGTGTCCAATTTCTTGAGGCGACCGTTGTCGGCCAGGAGACCGAGCAGATTGCCAGTGGCCGGGGCGAAGCTCAGTTTTTCGGAAGCTTGCTTCAAAGCGGTGGCCATGACCTTCTTGTTGATGATGGGGCTGGTCACATACTCGCGCAGCTTCTTGTCACCCTTAATGGTGGTCTGCAAAGCAGTAAGATCCTTTTCCACCTGATCCAGCTGGTTCAGCTTAGAAGCAGCAGAGTACAAGGCGCTGGCATAGCGACCCTCCAATCCGAACACCTGGACTGGCGGCTTCACCGGTGCCGTGGAGGCAGCGGAGCTGAGAGAGCGGCTCTGTGGAAGTAGGTATTTATAAATAAATAATAACAAAAAATAATTGTGTGGGTTAAAGTGGGCAAAAATTACATAACCAAGAAAATGCGTTAGATAATTCCAGACGGCATGTCAAGAAGCCAAAGGAACTTTCTATGGTACCGCATTTGTAAGATACTTGCGCGGCTATGGCTCAACCCAATTTCATTGTATTATTTGCCTTAATCTTACCAAAATTGCCAATCTGTTAACGGAGGCCATCGTTCCAAAAATTTTTCAGCTAGAAATCGCAGCTGTGACCAGGGTTACACCACTCAGAATAAATTTCGATCACACCGATATACCGATAAACAGGGCTGGGTGTACACTATCGATTGATGTAAAAGCGGAAAAATAATCATGAAAAACCCCTTTTAAAATATGTATTATGTCCTTTCGAATAAAACGATAAACGGAGTGTGAGATTCGATTTAAGTCTTTTTTTTTTATTTTTGCTTAAAAATTCTTTCATGGTGGTTCACTTCTTCATTTCGTTGAAAATACGACTTTTTTTCTTAAAGCGAAACCTAAAACTTTCTGCAATGGATGTGAATATGTATAAGCTGCATAACCACCCGGTGAACTATAGTTGCAAGTGGTTGAAACACTTTGGGCATTCGTTTGGGAGTAAATTGCAGTTATGCGCCTGCTGTTGGTAGTTTACTTGTCATCTAAAAAAGAATTCATTGTTATACAAATATGCGAAACGTAAACCTTAGTTTCTTACCTTCATCCTCATCGTCTTCGTCACCATCGCCGTCTTCTCCGTCCTCGTCTTCAAAAGTTTCCTCTTCATTGTCATCATTGTCCTCTTCGTCCTCGGGCTCCACCTCAATATCAGGTACCAGATAATACTGCAGTGGATTTGGCCAAAGGTCGTCCTTTATCAGTTCTGCGATCTCGTCGTTAACGGGATCCGTATTGTCCGAAAACCAGTCGAAGAAGGTCTTGTACTCGGAATGACGCTTTTTCTTGTTGACATAAGGTTTCGTCAGCAGTTGTTTGAGCAGGTTTTTACCCTCCTTCCAGTTGATAGGTGTGCTTGTAGATGCAGGCCAATCACCGTTTTCAGAAGCCGCTAAACAATTGTATTTTCTTATCAGTAAGAGATTATCAAATATTGCATCTAGAGTACTTACCCGCTGAATTAAGGTGGAACTCTTTGGTGAGGACCTTGTTTTCGAAGTAAGGATTCTCGTCAAAGTGGAAATTGATACGGTAGCCAGATTTAATGTCCTCAAACTCCTCCACCTCCAATTTGTTAAGAGCGTGCAGGCACTCTTCCTCCTCCTCATCCAGAATGCCAGACACTTGCGGGTGGTTGATGAACTGCAAAGGTGGAAGTTAAATTAGCACGATGATGTGGAAAGGCCTAATCGGACGCTCTCTTCTACAGTTTTTGCAACCCTATCGATAGGACTTTCGCTAGTTTTTATGGTTTCCAAAGGTGTCCCACTACATTTATTTTATTTTGGGAGTTTCTTAAGTTAATGCAGTATTAAAAACTTATTTAAGCTTAGTTTGAATTGGCTGTTGTAGCAATTAGTGCGCCCTTTTCCAGGCCGAATATCGATAACTCGCACACGCTTTGCTTGGAAAATGCGAAAAAGGGGGAGAAAAAGCGGCATCGCGGTAGATGAAAAAGGAAAAAACATTTTCGAATAGAGAAAAATTTCCTGTACATGTGTGTTTAGGATAAAATCAATTAAATTTTCCAGCCATGCATAATACTACTATGGGACTGTGCGAAACACATTCGATAAGTCAGCTCTCTAGATTCGGGAAATGCAAATCATGGCCCGAAACCAAGATGGACTACTCACCGAGGTCACCCAGAAGTTGGGGATCCGCTTGACCAGCTCGCTACGCTTTTCGTAGCAAGGCTTCCTCAGTTTGTTGTATTTCTGCTCCACCTTGAGGATCTCCTCGCTGGCCTTTTCGTTGAGCGCGTCGATCTCATTTTGGCAGGCATCGATCTGCTCCAGCGCCTCCGACTCCTCCTCGTTGTTGCCGGCGGCGGCGGATGCTGAGGCCGCTGTGTTTCCATCGGCGGGGGCGCCGTCCAGTTTGGCTCGCTTTGGCACGCTCGACATTCTGCTCTGCTCTTCGGCGCTTTTCCGGTGTACTTAATGAGATATTTACCAAAAAACGGCGGTACAGTTGAGCAGAAGCGGATTTTTAATATCTCACTTGCGTTGCGGTGCTAGAGAAGGAAGTAAGGCGATAAGCACGTTAGGATTCTTACCGATGCGCTAGCTATCGATTGCTGAGTCGACGGCGGCTAGCCAACACTGGCCGCGTATTCGGCCCTTTACAACACGCGCGTACGAGACTTGATGCCGAGCTGCAATAGCTGAAAATTAATTTTATAATTTTATATACGCATCGTTTTTAAAAACATTAAAAACATGGCCACCGCTGAAGCTCAAATCGGTGTTAACAGAAACCTGCAGAAGCAGGATCTCAGCAACTTGGTAAGCACCCGAAAAGATCATCGCCGGACGACGCCTGTTTTTTCTTCCGTGTGTGAAAGTGTACGCGTCGTCACTATAATGCCGCTTCTTAGGAACACAGCGGGGCGCGAAGGGAAGGACGCGCCCAGCAAGCCGGGCAATCTTTTTCTAGTCCAGCAGGCCTCTTTGATTCAAAAGCAGTCCTGATATTACATAGCCTTCGCCAGGGCAAACAACATATTGTTGTCGCCCTAAAACCCCGTGAAAATGCAGCACGTGGCGCAAAATTTTGGCCCTAGGTGGTTTTCCCAGGGGTTCTGCTATGCATATGAGTTGCACATGCATATAGGTAGGCAGTGAGATCTCTCGGGGTGCTCAGTTTCAGCAAATCGGCTCAACAGTTGCCATCTATCTGGCTGATGCAATTCAGCTGGCATTCTAACCTCAAAATCCACGGCTTTCCTATACACACCCGAACGTACATTTGCACAGAGACTCATGCATTTAAGGCGGCATGTTTACGCGGGAGGCGTGGCGTTGGTAAATAAACAGCAATTTTTGAAAGAGTATAATGTTAAATAGTATTAGGATGTTGCAAATACTTCTTTCTCTACTGTCGCCAAACGTTGGGTTGCAATAAAGATGAAAGATACAATATCTAAATGAGTACTTTAATTTTGTACTTGCAGGAGATCGGCAACTTAACGCCTCTCTCGCCGGAGGTGATCTCGCGGCAGGCCACCATCAACATTGGCACCATCGGTCATGTAGCCCACGGTAAATCCACGGTGGTGAAGGCTATCTCGGGCGTACAAACGGTGCGTTTTAAAAATGAGCTGGAGCGGAACATCACAATCAAGCTCGGTAAGTGGGCTTCCATTTATGCATTCATGCTAGTCGTTATTTGTATGTAATTGTAACTCAACTCTAAGTTAGCCGTACGTCGATCTTTCCCAGCATCCTGTATCCCTTAAAGAACCTGTAACCTGTGTATCATTGTCTTCTAATATTTATTTAGTATTTAGCCCATGGCAAGGTACCAGCTCCCGCGACTTCGGACCACCGAAGCTAGTTCTTCCTGTGCTCATGACTTCCCCATTATTCCTCTGCTTAAGAACTGAATCCTGTACTGGCGACGGCACATAGTGGAGCTGTTTCCCACTGCAACTCCATCTAAGAGCTTTCTGTCGCTGCTGGTAATCTGCACAGTCCTGAAAAAGCGTTCTGCGAATGACATTACTCTCGTTCGTTAACTATTGTATCTTTTGTACTTAAATTGCTGGATTAGAATGCGTTGCCTTGTCTTCCAAGGTGTGTCGTCGCCTTAGTAGAATAAAAAATAAATAAAAAACAACTAAAAGTCTTGTATTAAGATCTCCTCTTTCTGTATTCTTAGTCTTGAAATCGTTATTTATTTTGATTGATACAATTGATAATCCAGCAATTTAATTAATTGCACATCTTTTTCTTCTTTTTCCCATTTTCGGCCGGTTTTTTTCGTTTACTTCGTTTGCGACGCGTCCACAAAAACCACACAACCAATCGCCCAAAATCCGCGATCCAAACATAACAAAAAATTGTCATTTGCAGAACGCTTAAGCGAAAAAAAGATTCAAAAACTGTTGCAATCCAAGCACCACCGCCAGCAGTATGAAATCCAGCAGCTATCACGTCTGCGGCACCTGGCCGAGAGACGACGCCACAGCCGCCTGCGCCGTCTCTGTTCCATGCCAGCACCTCAAGCTCACGCCGACAAAAGGACCAATCGCCGAAGCAGCAGTCAAACCTCTCTCAGTCCGAGCCACAGCAGCGGCTATGGCAGTGCCATTGGATGCGAAGACCAAGACATCACACACCCAGCCGACAAGGGATCCTCTACTGGTCTCAAGCGCCGTCGTAGCAGTGGGGTCCACATTTCAACTGCGAGCGCTAAGAGATCGAAAAACAACCAGGGACTGGTGGTGAAGAAGCCGCCAAAGGGCGAATATGTTGTCGAGCGCATTGAAGTCGTCGAGGTGGTTCAATACAAGCCTGTTTTCTTTGTTAAATGGCTAGGCTACGATGCCAGCAACAACACTTGGGAAAGCTTCGAGAACGTGGCTGATTGCGCCCAACTCGAGGAGTTTGTGGATAGGCAGCTCCAGCTCTACGAGAAGTACATAGCTCAGATTACAAGCGAACTGGAGGAGCAGCTAGAGGACATTCCCTTGATGGACAAAATAAATGTGGCCGAGGTAGATGCCTACGAATCCCTGCCACTGCAGATAGACCTCATCCTTTTGGCCCAATACAGGGCGGCTAGCAGTCGCAGCCAAAAGGAGCCGCAGAAGATCGGCGAACGGGCTCTCCGGTCTATGCAGCTCAAGAGGTGTCATTTTGCCCGTCGCCAGCAGTTATCGGATCTCGCAAAGTTCGAGGAACGAATGAACTCTGTGGAGGAGCCATCGCCGCCCATCAAAGTTGAGAATAATGTAGATCTCGAGACCATAGACAGTAGTTTTACCTACATTCAAAAGAACATTATTTGCGAGGGTGTGCCCAAGCCGGAGGACGGACTTCTGGGCTGCAAGTGCTTGGGGGAAAACGGAGCCGAAGAGTGTGCCGCGTCCACAAAGTGCTGTGCCCGCATGGCCGGTGAACTCTTCGCATACGAACGGAGTACGCGACGACTGCGATTGCGTCCCGGCAGTGCCATATACGAGTGCAATAGCCGCTGCTCCTGTGATGCCACTTGCTCCAATCGGCTGGTCCAGCACGGGCGGCAGATGCCATTGGTTTTATTCAAAACTAGCAACGGCAGCGGATGGGGTGTGAAAACGCCACAAGCTCTGCGCAAAGGAGAGTTCGTTTGCGAGTACATCGGTGAGATAATCACCAGCGACGAGGCGAACGAGCGCGGCAAGGCCTATGACGACCGGGGACGGACGTACCTCTTCGATTTGGACTACAATACCGCGCAGGAGAGCGAATACACAATCGATGCAGCCAACTATGGCAACATTTCGCATTTTATCAACCACTCGTGTGACCCCAATCTGGCCGTCTTCCCCTGCTGGATTGAGCATTTGAATGTGGCGCTGCCGCACCTCGTCTTCTTCACTCTGCGCCCGATCAAGGCTGGCGAGGAGCTGAGCTTTGACTATATCCGTGCTGATAACGAGGATCTGCCCTACGAAAACCTATCGACGGCGGTGCGTGTCGAGTGTCGTTGCGGGGCAGCGAATTGCCGAAAGGTCCTGTTTTAGATTCAAATCGGATTGAGATCCTTTTCCATTTTTACGGAGAGCATCCGCGTTTTTTTTTTCAATTCTTATGTATTGTGTAAGCAAATATAACATCGAGGTATTGGCAAACATTTTAATTATTTATTGCTTATTTGCACTGCCACCTGCTTATTTTAATTATATAGCAGTCATTACTAGTTGATTAAGTAAGACAATTTCTGTATATTTTACGATTTTAAATACTTCATTTGGATTATTATTGGATTAGGTTGTAGTTGTGTTTAAGCCTCGTTTACGATGGGCTGTTAATTGTACAATTACTTGACACAAATTTCACAATAAATATAATTATTTTGACAACTATAAGAGTTTTTTTTTCCCTCAAGTCCTTGAAATGCTGGGAGACTATGGAAGTTATTTTTCTTAATAAATTTAAGACTTAATTATAGTCATAATTATAAAATAATAAAATAGCGTAAGGCTAAAAAGGATATAGTGTCTTTAATGGTTGCCTTACACGATTTCAGGATACGCCAATGCCAAAATTTACAAGTGCGACAACCCCAAGTGCCCACGACCGGCCAGTTTCGTTTCGGATGCGTCCAGCAAGGACGACAGCTTGCCCTGTACTCGTCCCGCCTGCTCCGGCAACTTCAGGCTTGTGCGTCACGTCAGCTTCGTCGATTGCCCTGGTCACGACATTCTCATGGCAACTATGTTGAACGGAGCCGCTGTGATGGATGCTGCCCTACTCCTCATTGCTGGTCAGTATCCAATAAAAATTTTTGATTATAATTTTGATTATAAATAACATCTCTTCCCCTTTACAGGCAATGAATCCTGTCCACAACCGCAAACCTCTGAGCATTTGGCTGCCATTGAGATTATGAAACTGAAACAGATCCTGATCCTGCAGAATAAGATCGATCTAATCAAAGAGAGTCAGGCGAAGGAGCAGTACGAGGAGATCACGAAGTTTGTTCAAGGAACTGTGGCCGAGGGAGCACCGATTATTCCGATATCCGCGCAGCTCAAGTACAACATCGATGTGCTGTGCGAGTACATTGTGAACAAGATTCCTGTGCCGCAGCGCGACTTCAACGCCCCGCCTCGATTGATTGTCATCCGATCCTTCGACGTGAACAAGCCCGGCTGTGAGGTTCAGGATTTGAAGGGCGGTGTTGCCGGTGGCTCCATTCTGAGCGGTGTCCTGAAAGTGGGCCAGGAAATCGAGGTTCGTCCCGGTGTGGTTACCAAGGACAGCGATGGCAACATCACCTGCCGACCAATCTTCTCGCGCATCGTCTCGCTGTTTGCCGAACAGAATGAGCTGCAGTACGCCGTGCCCGGCGGTCTGATCGGTGTTGGAACCAAGATCGATCCAACGCTATGCCGTGCCGATCGTCTTGTTGGTCAGGTACTGGGTGCCGTTGGCCAGCTGCCGGACATCTACCAGGAGCTCGAGATTTCGTACTACCTTCTGCGTCGTCTGCTGGGCGTCCGCACGGATGGCGACAAGAAGGGAGCGCGCGTGGAGAAGCTGCAGAAGAACGAGATCCTGCTGGTGAACATTGGATCCTTGAGCACCGGAGGACGTATTTCGGCCACCAAGGGTGATCTGGCCAAGATTGTGCTCACGACGCCTGTGTGTACGGAGAAGGGCGAGAAGATTGCCCTCAGCAGGCGTGTGGAGAACCATTGGCGGTGAGTTGGCAGCGATTTTATAACTGAACTAATCTAAAAACTAATAAAATCTCCTTTCAGTTTAATTGGTTGGGGCCAAATCTTCGGAGGAAAGACAATCACACCGGTTCTGGACAGTAAACCCTCGAAGAAGTAGGAAAATAGGGATCAGATTGTTTGTGAAAGTAAGCGATTGCAGTAGCAGCATCTATCAATTAGGCGTTTTTGACCTGCTCCACATCCTCCTCCTTCTGCCACGGTGTCCACTGATCAAGTAAACTGAAACGAACAGATACTACAGAAAAGCTGCAACAAAATAAAAAATACATACATAAATTAGTTTATTTAATTTTGCTTTCAAGTATGTATATAAAATGGAATTAATTATTTCGCTTACATGTGTTTTGCATCTATATAGCATAATCAGGCATTACAAAAAACAACTAATAGGCTATACACCATACATATACAAAACAAAAGCAAATCTGATACATCGTAAAATTGTTTTTATGATTTAAATACAAAAGAAACAAAAACAAAAACAAAAAAGATTGTATTGCATTTTTTACAATTACCACAATAATGGAGTTTTTATTCGGGAGGATAATGGGACTGTGATGGGGGCTCGATAATAAACGATAAATCGTTTTAAAGATCCAGAAGAAATAAGTCGATATATTTTTCATTATAGACCAATTTTATTTTTCCACGTTTTAGTTCAATTAAATTTAAATAGTTACAATACGATGTTTTTTCAATAACACATTGATAATCGTAATATTTGGTTTTTAAGCAATTATCCTTACAAATCTCATGATCTTTTTTGAAACATCAATGGTGTTGAATAATTTTTTGAAACGGTTTGGTTTTTTTTTCGATTTGATAAATTTGTTTTAACTATCGCACACTAATTAATTTTAATTTATTTGGTTTTACTTTGTTTTTAATATTAAACTACTATTACCAAGTACATATATTTGGGTTTTAGATTTATATTTTTGGTTTCTTGAGATTTCGTTTTAGTAGTTAATTTAGCTTATTGAATAAAAATTCGTACTTAGCCGTGATTTACATTGTTTTAGTTATTTCTTTGCTGATCATTGATTAGTTGAAACTAAATTTTGATAAATGACTCACTAATAAGTTATATTGAAAAACGTTTGATTTCGTTATTTAATACTATTGAGTAATTTGTGTAATACTTGTATATCCGTTTGCTAATCTACCTCCCCCTAAGTGTGTTTTGGGTTTGGGGTCAGTACACGCTTTGAGCATTTAATAACAGAGTCTTCGTTGAAAGTACAAATAGCATAATTGAAAAATAAAATCAAAAATTACAATTCACTCTTATGCGGTATTTAGCTATTTGAGCATCCGTTGAACACAATTCAGTTTTCAGGTCTAAGAGATCACTTACAACCAAATGCAGGACCTGTTTCGTCCTTGAGCGGGGCCAGAAGACAATTTCTCTAAAGTAGAAACTAAGGCTAGGGAAACTAAGTGCAATTTTAATTACAGTACATCCTTCTTAGGTGTCTCTTTGGCTTTCGTCTAAGTTAAGCTTTCACTAATTTTTTTGTTGAATAACTTCCAGCCAGGGCCGTAGCTAGCATGGGGCAGGTGGGGCGGTGCCCCAGGGCCCCCGAAGGGAAGGGGCCCCGCCGGGCCAAAAGACTTCCGTATAGGGGGCCCCAAATTTACTTGTTGCCCCAGGGCCCCCGAGGCTCTAGCTACGGCCCTGCTTCCAGCTTACGACTACTACTAATTTTTGCAAAATTAATTCCCCTGCAGGAAGCTGATCTACCTGTATAATCTTTCCAAGTTTTTATCGTTGGCATTAGACTGTCTAGCAAACGAAAGCCATCATCTTCTAGAAAGTCCTTCGTTATCGATCAAGAAACCGTCCAATGTCCTATACAACCCCTCTATCAATCGATTGGGAAACAAATCTTACTTCCTCATAGTTTAACTTTATATGGTACAGATAGGGGAAAGAAATGTGTATTTGATTAAAGCGGCGATGGAATGTTTCAATAATGATCTTTAACTCTGTATCCTATTTCCATTGTTTATATATAGTATTTTTATATAGTAGTTTATGCATTTTGACAATTTTATATTCTAGGGTTCTTATGTGCGATTTTTGTGCATCTCGGAATGAGCAGCAGGGGAATACCTTGAATTTTGGTCAGCGTCCATACTTATATATAGAGGGTTCAATTACACACATCCAGTTTTAAGATATTACAAACATACGTACACAATTATTGACAGTTAACGTTGGCAAAATGTCAGATGGCAGTAGGGTTCGTTTGACATCTCGTGATGAACTTCATATATATTTAAGTATTTATGGTAAATATTCAACAGTTCCGCTAATACCTTCATAATTCATTGATTATAATTGATTTCTTGTCTGCCCTAACTCGGCTGTCCTAGCTTATCGTATAATACAGATTCAATTACATACATACAGAGATATACAGGTGCTTAACAAACGCGCAGGATTAAATGCCGCTGTTGGTTGAGTATCATGTCTATAACTAACAATCGGTTGATTACTGGCTACATACCATATAATAATGACAATTTTTCGTTTACGTTAAAGTACTTCTTTTTAAATGCCTATTTACAGGATCTCTCTATTCGCCACACAATTGCAGCAGCAATCAGTTGGGTAATCTAAGCCTTATCTACTCGAGGGAGATTCTTTGGTTGGGGTCTTGGAGCCTGCGTTTTCTTTAGGATGCTCTTCTGGCACGGGATCGGGCACCTTAAAGAAAATGGCTTAAATCTCATTCGTTGACATCTTCGTCCGACGAACTAGCTGCAGGAAAGGTTGAGAATTGCCACGACTCTCGGTTGTTGTTTTTACTGTTGGAACTAAAAAGGATGTTTTTTATTAAATAAGTTAAGGCCAGGGGACTTCGATACTAACCCATGCTTCTTGGCATTGCTGGGCAGGGTGTGTGAGGAGCGATAATAGCTCTCCTGGGGCTCATCTTTGGTTTCTTCCAGTGATTTTCGTTGCAGAGTCATTGTCTCCTGGGGCGTCATGGAGGAGCCTCCTCCGCTGTTTCCCGACAACATCTCCGCGTCCAAGTAGTACTTGGCACTCTGTGCTATTTTGCAGTTCTCGCACTCGCTCAAATAGTCGTCGTCCAGACTGGTATCGTTTGGCAGGAAGTGCTCCTTGGGGTTCTGACAGTTCTTGGAAGTAGTGCAGACCGGAAGCTGCAGCTGCTTGCTCGGTGATCTCCCGCTGGAGCTGGGCTTGCCTGGATTCAGCGGGTAGGTGGGCATCTGGCAGTGTGCGATGGCCAAAGCTGTGCCTGTTCCGGTTCCAGTCTTCACACGCAATATTTTCGGCAGTGTTGTGCTTTTCCCCGGAGTCTGAGCTGCTGCAGCCGCCGCCGCGCCCGCGGCATTGTTGTTCTCCACAGGAGGAATGCTAATCACTGATGGCACCTTGCTGACCACGCTGTTGATGGTGCTGTTGAGCGACACCTTGCCGCCGATGTGCTTGGGCAGAGTGTAGGTCACGTGGTTGGCCAACGGATAGAAGGTGCTAGAGTTGATCTTCCCGCTGCTCAGCTTTTCGGCAGCGCTTCCAGCGGATGGACTCGCTGGCGGCAGTGTAAGCGTGGGTGCCTGCTCCTTGCTCCTCTGGGCGCTGGTGGTCGGCTTGCTGAGCGTGTAAATGGCAGCCACGCTGGCGTTGTTGTTTCCGCTGGCGGACGAGGAGGAGGATGATGTGGCTGCCGTGGCTGCAGTCACGCTCTTTAAATTCGTTAGGCTTTTGTAGAGTTTCGGTGGTAAAGTCGGATTGCTCGGGTCTGGCTGCTGCTGCGTTTGCTGGTTATAGAAATGTTGCTGCTGTTTCTGCGTCAAACTCAAGTAGGCATCAACCTGGAACGAATATGGAGTTAGGTCATGGGATTCTAAAGAGTAAGTAATTGGAGAAATGAAACATCGCAATCATTTAATCATTTCATTCCCCGCCATGTCAAGCTCTCACAAAGGGATTACTTACATTTCGAACTCACCTTTCGATTCAAGTAGGCGGTGGAGAGGGAGTCCGCACCGCTGGATACACTCCGTGTCCCGCTGGCAGTGCTGGTTCCTCCACTCGAGCTCCTTGCCCTTTCAGCCGAACTGCTGGAGGATCGTTTCTGGACCCGACCCAGTACAATTGGTGGGGCAGAGATCTCTTCGGGATGCTGGAGCGGCGGCGGGGGAATGATTGCCGAAACATTGACGCCTCCATTGGAGCCCGTCTGGGCATGGTGCGTCTCATCGCCCACCTGCTTCGAGATGGTGGCGATCTTCGGTTCGTGACCACATCCATTACGCCTCAAGGTGGAGGATGATATGATCAGATCTTGGGCCTGCTGCTGGAGATTTGTCGAGGATTTAGCCCGCTGTCCGTAGGCCAGAGTGGCGGCATGCCTAGTTCCAGGCGACAAGGAGCAGGTCGGTGTGGAGGTGCTGCTTCCGCCGGATGTGGTTGTGCCGAAAAGTTTTCCAGCTCCGCTCAAGAAGGCATTGGCATTGGCCGTACTGCCCATGTAGGACATCGGTACGTGCTGGATGGGACACTGGCACATTGGCTTCTTGCTGACTGGCTTTTCTGTTCCAGAGCCGGCGGAGCTACTCGTCTTGGGCTTCACTTGGAGGGGATCAGCCACAGCGAAGTACCTCGGAATGGTTCGATGGTAGCGACGCGAACTTGAAGGCGTTTTGCTGTACTGCTGCTGTTGCTGTTGAACGATCTGGGTGTTCTTCAGCGTCCCAGTCAGAGGCATCTGCGTGGTCTGGGTCACCGAGTCCGCAGTACTGCAAGTCGGAGCTGCCGAAATCGTTGCAATCTCCAGTGGCTGCAGCAACTCAATGGCTGGCGCCAGTAGATGTTGTGGCTGCTGCTGCTGCTGGATGTGAGTGGGCGTGGGCATTGGCTCTGTACTGGCGGCTGGCAGGGAATGGTAGCTAGCCGCACTGGCACTGGCGTTGATCTCCACATCGGCCACAGTGAGATATTGCTGCTGTTGAGTCTGCAGCGGCAGCTGATGGAGCAGTTCCTGGGATCCCCGCGGGGTGGATCTGCGACTGGAGGTCGCTGCTGCTGTGGTCACACTGGCACTGATGTTCAGGTGGCAGTTCTTGTAGCTGCACTCAGCGTTTGTCGGTGGCTTGGGCATGGCCTGCAAACAGATGGAGCCACTACTGACAGGAGGTTGAACCAAATGCTGCTGCTGCTGTTGCTGTTGCTGCTGATGGTGCTCCAAGCTGAGCTGTTGCTGCTGCTGCTCGGTCTGGAGGCTGTAGGGCGGCTGGTGGTTCTCTCCGGTGGCTATGGTGGTCACCCCGCCGCTGTTGATATTGATGTTTATGGTGCTCTGGGTGTACTGATTCGACTGGGGATGCGGATGCGGATGGGCATGCGCCACCAGCTGCTGCCCGTAGGGCGGATGGTGTTGCTGCGGCTGCGTGTGCAACTGCAGCGTGTGCTGCTGCAAGTGTTGGATCTGCTGTTGCTGCTGCACCTGGGCCTGGATCTGCGACTGGGTCTGCTGCTGTTGACTGACAGTGGCCACTGCCCGCTGAGCGTTGCTCGCCGGCAGCGTCACTGTGCACTGGGCACTCAAAGCTTCCGCCTGGGAAATGGCCACCGCCTCCTCGTAGGGCGGCGGAGCTTCGCCGCGGGGAAAGTGCGGCTTCCACAATGGATAATGAGTGGCACCAGCGCCGTAAGTGTAATCAATTGCACTCAGATTTCCCTCCATGTAACCCATATTACCGGCAATATAACTAAGCCACAAATGGTAATTAAAACAAAGGCCAACAAGGCATATCCAAAGCTACACTTACCCAATGCTACCCACAATGCTGCGCTGATCCTCGGCATTCTGGCGATTCTCCCGCGCCCGCATCTTGCGCTGCCTCAGGCGATTCACCAGGAAGAAGAGCAAGGAGAGCGAGAGCGTGGCCGTAATGCCACTGGCCACCAGTCAAATGCCAAAGTCTGTGCTCCCGTCGCTGAACTGGTCATCGAGGCAGATGACTTCGCAGCAGTTGTTGCCGCTTCCCACCGTCTGAAAGGACTTGCACTTGCTGAAGGCCTCGCAGAGCACCATCTTGCAGGCCTTGGGCAGTCCGCTGTCGCAGATGCACAGCCGGCAGGAGTCCGGCCCGGGCATGTAATGCATGCCAGTCTCGTAAAGTTTGCCATTGAAGTCCCGGCAATGGCCACCTGGGATGAGGCTAGAGCTCACCGCGTTTCCATCTGAGGATGGAAAGTTGATAGAAGGTTATTTAATTTTTTGTTGCCTATTTTTTAGGGCACAGAGTGCATGGATGGCATAGATCCTTTTTTTTATTATACTTATAAAGTTATTCAAAAAGGGAATATAAAATAGTAATTTAAATATCTAAGCCCCTTTGTATCTTTAACCCATATATGTATCTTCATCATCAACCCATATCTTCCGAAATAAACTTAGAAACTTGAGGAAGAATAGAAATCTTAAAAGCTCCCAAGTAATTTATTTTATTTTCATTGAAAAAAAATAGTGAAATGAATAGTTTTATGCTAGTATTCTAGTATATCTTTTCCTCTACAAATACTCTTTGTGTATTATAATTTTTCCATAAATGTTTATATGTATTTGGAACAAGCTCCCACAAATGCATACTCAATGCTGGGTTTATTCTTTATTTTGGCACACTTGACCAACTTTCGCCTTGCGGATTTAACATTGCGCGACAAAAACCCACACACACACACTTATAAGAATGCAATGAGTGCAGCAGGTGCTGTCAGGACCTTCCAAGTGAATAGGTATAGAGATGGTGGGGTAACAATATTTATCACTTGGGCGAAATTAAATGCAAGTGCTTACCAATTTTTAGCATCATTTGAATGTTTATCAGAAAAAAACATAAAAGTGTATTTTTGCAGCAAGGATACAGTGTGAGAAGGTCCTGGAGAAAGTGGGCGACTCTGGTGGGCAGTGGGTAAGCGAATTTCTGGCCAGGAAACGCACGAGCGAAAATGACAAACAGGCGTAACGCACGCCCCCGCAAAAAAATAAAAAAAAAAAAATCGCACAAAAAAATGTTGGGGAGTGTGCATGTGTGCGATAAATACATACACAATACACACCCATACAGAGGAGGCAAGTATACATGCAAAAAATAAACACCATATGCACACACCCCCAAACAACCGCCCACCGCCCTCAACATACGCATACATATACACACACACAGAAGCAAAAGCAAAGTAAAATTTTGCAGGCCACTTCCTTCATATTGCCATTTCCATTTCCCCACCCAAAAAACGGTTATGCCCCCCTTTTCACAGGAGTTTCTATGCTGTTTCTCGTTCTCTTCCTCAGTTTCAGAGAGAAAAAGAGCGAACGTGTCCTGGTATTGGTGTAAGCTGCGCCACTGCGTGTATGTGGGAGTGTGTGCCCCGTGTCCCATAAATTGTGAACTCTGTGGCCATGGACCATATTTCCAATTATCAAAAGGCACAAGAATCCTAGCAATGGAAATTGATTTTGCCTCAAAACCCCTTTAGTCACTTTCAGAAATATTATATTTAAACGCCATTTGCGATTTTCACTTAAAATAATTCAACATTTTTGCCAACAAGGATATTGGGTCTGAAATTGCATGAGTGTGTGTGTGTGTATCAAATTTTTCACACCAGTCCTTTTCATTGGCTTTTACCTTTGGCATTTCCAATGAACGCTAACAATGCCAAAAAATACATTTTGCACTCCTTAGTTAGCACTTAGCACTTCACGAATAATTCAATTTTTTCCTATTTTGTCACTAAGCTTTCGCATCCAAGTATTTTCAACAGTTTTTTGCGAACGTTCGAGCAATACCAAAAGGAAAAACAGTGTGGCCCTAGCACTTGGTTGGGGGCGGGACTGTACCAGAGTCCATATATCGATAACGTTATAAAAACTCGCATGCGATTTTTGGTTGATATATAAAGAAACCGTTATTTTAATTTTTTTGAAAATATAATTCCCCAGAATGCATTTAAATTCAAAATATTTTTTATTTGTTAAATTTTTCGGGTAGGCCTTCAAAAATATGGGAAATGCATGAGAGGTCAATATGGCCCACATTGATAGCCATATCTTTGCCAATGGTCATCCGATTCTTGAGCGGAATACATTAAATGATTTGTGGCTCGATTATCCATCAATCTGCATCAAAATCTAGAAACAAAATATTTTTTTAGATTTTTTGTCAAATTTTTCGGGATGAGCCCTTTAAAAATGGGGGAATTGCATGGGAGGTCAATATGGCCCACATCTATAGCCATATCTTTGGCAATGGTCATCCGATTCTTGAGCGGAATACCTTAAATGATTTGTGAATCGATTCTCCATCAATCTGCATCAAAATCTAGAAACAAAATATTTTTTAGATTTTTTGTCACATTTTTTGGGTTAAAAATGGGAGAAATGCATGAGAGGTCATTATGGTCCACGCCGAATGCCATATCTTTGCCAATATTTATCTGATTCTTGAGCGGAATGCCTTAAATGATTTGTGGGTCGATTCTACACAAATCTGCATCAAAATCCAGAAAAAAAATATTTTTTAGATTTTTTGTCAAATTTTCTGGGTAGACCCCATCGAAAAGGGGGGAAATGCATGAGAGGCCAATATGGTCCACACCGAATGCCATATCTTTGCCAATATTTATCTGATTCTTGAGCGGAATACCTTAAATGATTTGTGGCTCGATTCTACACAAATCTGCATCAAAATCCAGAAAAAAAATATTTTTTAGATTTTTTGTCAAATTTTTTGGGAAGACCCCTTTAAAAATGGGAGAAATGCATGAGAGGTCATTATGGTCCACGCCGAATGCCATATCTTTGCCAATATTTATCTGATTCTTGAGCGGAATACCTTAAATGATTTGTGGCTCGATTCTACACAAATCTGCATCAAAATCCAGAAACAAAATATTTTTTCGATTTTTTGTCAAATTTTCTGGGTAGACCCCTTCGAAAATGGGGGAAATGCATGAGAGGCCAATATGGTCCACGCCGAATGCCATATCTTTGCCAATATTTATCTGATTCTTGAGCGGAATACCTTAAATGATTTGTGGATTTGTGAATGATTTGATGATTTGTGGATCGATTCTACACAAATCTGCATCAAAATCCAGAAACAAAATATTTTTTAGGTTTTTTGTCAAATTTTCTGGGTAGACCCCTTCGAAAATGGGGGAAATGCATGAGAGTCCAATATGGTCCACGCCGAATGCCATATCTTTGCCAATATTTATCTGATTCTTGAGCGGAATACCTTAAATGATTTGTGGATCGATTCTACACAAATCTGCATCAAAATCCAGAAACAAAATATTTTTTAGATTTTTTGTCAAGTTTTCTGGGTAGACCCCTTCGAAAATGGGGGAAATGCATGAGAGGCCAATATGGTCCACGCCGAATGCCATATCTTTGCTAATATTCATCTGATTATTGAGCGGAATACCTTAAATGATTTGTGGATCGATTCTACACAAATCTGCATCAAAATCCAGAAACAAAATATTTTTTAGATTTTTTGTCAAATTTTCTTCGAAAATGGGGGAAATGCATGAGAGGCCAATATGGTCCACGCCGAATGCCATATCTTTGCCAATATTTATCTGATTATTGAGCGGAATACCTTAAATGATTTGTGGATCGATTCTACACAAATCTGCATCAAAATCCAGAAACAAAATATTTTTTAGATTTTTTGTCAAATTTTCTGGGTAGACCCCTTAAAAAATAGGGGAAATGCATGAGAGGTCAATATGGCCCACATCGATAGCCATATCTTTGGCAATGGTCATCCGATTCTTAAGCGGAATAACTTAAATGATTTGTGGATCGATTCTCCATCAATCTGCATGAAAGTCTAAAAACAAAATAATTTTTAGATTTTTTGTCAAATTTTTCGGGTGGAGCCTTTTAAACATTTGGGAAATTCATGAAAGGACTATATGGCCCACATCGATAGCCGTATCCCGTCTAAAAATTATCTATTCTAAAGCGATAAATCTTAAACAATTTTTAGATCGATTCTTGATAGCAAATGTTTCATTTGAAATACATATAATAACATTCCTTCGTTATATGTCCCTAAAAAATATAAATGTCGGCATTCGAAAGCCTAGAACGAATTCACAATAAGCTATTGTTTCGTATACTCCGTGAATTTTCCTCCTGGCTTTGCATTAAAAATAGACTTTGATTTATTAAAGTACTCTATTAAATCTCACATTCCCTTGCTGTTTAAATTCAATCCACGCGAATTTCACTAATAAATTTTGTAGAATGCACGCCAACACCCCGCCGATGCAAAAAAAATGAACTCAGTGTCAAGTTTGAAGGGCTGTAGAGGAAAACAACAACAATTTAATGTCTGGATGGAAAACACGCACACGGAATAATCTACGATGGCTGAACGGCGATTAAGTTGCATTTAAATCAAATGCAGGTAATTTGTAACTTTCATTTGCTGATTTACCTCCGATTTTGGCAGTCTATTCCCACCGGGAAACTCGAACGGACCTCGTCATGGAAAACTCCAGCGCCGTTTTGGCAGCCAAGGGAGCTGGAGCTGTGAGGAATCATAGCACCTATGTGATACCCGGAGTGTATGACCTCTCGGTGGAGGATACAAACTGGGTCCTAACCTCCTCCTTCATCATCTTCACCATGCAAACTGGGTTCGGAATGCTAGAGTCGGGTTGTGTGAGCATTAAAAACGAGGTGAACATCATGATGAAGAACGTAATCGACATTGTCCTTGGCGGATTCACTTACTGGCTCTTTGGGTATGGCATGAGCTTTGGCCGAGGTCCACTTTCCAATCCCTTTATCGCCATCGGGGACTTCTTGCTGGATCCGCCGGTGGGTGATGCTCTCATGGGCCAGATCTTTGCCGCCTTCCTGTTCCAGCTCTCCTTTGCCACCACAGCCACGACAATTGTTAGTGGAGCAATGGCTGAAAGGTAATTAATAATACCTAATAGCTATATAATTCCACTGGAGAAAACCTATTCCTTTTCATGAGAGAAATATAATCTTCCAGGTGCAATTTCAAAGCCTACTGCTTGTTTTCATTCCTGAACACTGCTGTTTACTGCATCCCCGCCGGATGGGTCTGGGGAGAGCACGGATTCCTCAACAAAATGGGTGCCGTGGACATTGCAGGCAGCGGACCAGTGCACCTGATTGGAGGCGCCTCTGCCTTTGCCTCGGCCGCTATGCTAGGACCTCGCTTAGGTCGCTATTCCGAAGGGTATGATCCCTTACCGCTGGGAAACCCGGTTAACGCCTGCATGGGCCTCTTTGTCCTCTGGTGGGGCTGGCTGGCCTTTAATTCTGGAAGTACGTACGGCGTGAGCGGTTCCAAGTGGCAGTATGCGGCACGAGCAGCGGTCATGACCATGATGGGGTCCTTTGGCGGTGGATTTATAAGCTCCATGTAAGATAATGTCTATAGAACATGGTTATTTTCTAATAATTTCCTCTAGTTACTCTTTCTGGCGACATGGAGGCGGCATGGACATCATGGATCTGATAAACGGAGTTCTCGGATCATTGGTATCCATCACTGCAGGATGCTTCCTTTACCGAGCTTGGGAGGCCCTTGTGATTGGAGCAATCGGCTCTCTCTTCTGCGTATTGGCCATGCCCCTGTTCGATAGGATGGGAGTGGATGATCCGGTCGGAGCTAGTGCTGTCCATGGCGTGTGTGGAATCTGGGGTGTCATTGCCGTCGGATTGTTTGCAGACAATCCCATTCCCCTGGACACAACCAATGGACGAAGTGGCCTGTTTAAGGGCGGTGGATGGTATCTACTGGGGATTCAGACGCTCTCCGCCTTCTGCCTGGCTTGCTGGGGCATCTGTTCCACATGCCTGCTGTTGTATGTCATCAACAAAATTATACCCATTCGCATGGATCCTCACGAGGAGCTGCTAGGTGCCGATCTCACCGAGCACCGGATTCGTCACTCTCAAATCGGTTTATCCCGGGCCATATCCGCGTTGGCGCCCATCAAGGTGGATCTGAAGGAGATCGCCGGCATCCAGCCCATCGGCATAAATCCCGGCCACGAACGCAGTATCGATCAACTGCGTGCCGCGGAAGACAAACTGCAGCAGTGGCAATCCTTCCTGGATCAGGTGAGTTCTCAGAAGAACCCGAAAACGGATGCGGGGCAGTCCCATGCAGACATCACCCTCAAGCCCCGGACAGCGGGTAATGTCTTTAATCGTCGCCCTATGGATAGGAACACTACTACCGCAGGCATATACCGAGCCAACAACACCGAGCTGCCCGTCATCGGTAAACTGGAGAAGGATCCTAACTTTGCTTGGGTGGATTAGGTCATTTATAGTTAATCCTATAACAGCATTACTCACCAAAAATAAAAAATTTCGTTACGGCAAGTCAGCTGGAGTCTGTGAGTCACGACATTTATTTTAAAAGTTTCTAGACTCTAGAGTTTTTTAAAAGTATGATTAGGTTTAATCACTCCAAAAACCACGTTGGTGACAAACCACATTAAATAGTCCCTTCTAGAGATTTGTTTCTTCACGTGCTTTACTCCATGGTCCAAAAATTTAACCCCAAAAAGATACATCACTATGTACATGGTACATATGCCACATTAGTCCCTTCTAGAGATTTGTTTTTTTTTTTTTCACGTGCTTTACACCTTGCTCCAAAAATTTAACCCCAAAAAGATACATCACTATGTACATTGTACATACATATATTAAGTGAAAACCCATAAAATAAAGTAGATAAGCTCTTTATTTCTCGTTTATCTGGCCAGCCTGTTTCACAAGAGTCAAGAACACATTGTTTATTATCACGATAAGATAATGCGTCTATTAAAACATTTACCTACTTTTAAAGTATGAGTGTACCTACATGACTTGGTCAAAATCATACCTTGTAGAAAATTCCCCCATTCTTATAAACGAACAAGTTCCTGACGAAATAAAAATGTAATTAAAAAAACTAGTTTTGCAATTCTCAAATTTATTTATTGAATTCAAGTACAAGCAAATATTGTTTGGATGATCGATCGATGACAAATAATATAATATATATTATTATTATGGAGCAGTTGTGTTTGGTTTGGTTGTGGTATGATTTTTAGAAGTATATAAATTAGTGGTCGAGAGCAGTTGTCGTTTTCTCGAATGGAATTGTTGGTGTTCTTGTTTAATGTTTAGTGAGTCTCTAATTTAGAATCCAAGTAATGTTTTAAGCAACTCTTCTACTGTGTTTGGTTGATGTTTCGTTTGGAGAATTGTTACTGTCTGCTTTGAAGTGGGATTGGGGGGGTGAATGATTTAGTCGACCTCCTCGATGGTGGGACCAGCACCGCCGGCACCGGCAGCGCCAGGAGCACCGGCTCCAGCAGCGCCAGGCATGCCACCGGGCATACCGCCAGGAGCACCACCGGCGCTCTGGTACAGCTTGGTGATGATCGGGTTGCACACACCCTCGAGCTCCTTCTGGCGGTGCTCGTACTCCTCCTTGTCGGCCAGCTGGTTGGCATCCAACCACTTGATGGTGTCGTTGCACTTGTCCAGGATGGTGGTGCGGTCAGAGTCGGAAATCTTGGTCTTCAGATTGTCCTCATCCAGAGTGGCCTTCATGTTGAAGCAGTACGACTCCAGGCCGTTCTTGGCGGCAATGGTCTCCTTCTGCTTCTCATCCTCGTTGCGGTACTTCTCGGCCTCGTTGACCATGCGCTCGATGTCCTCCTTGGACAGACGACCCTTGTCGTTGGTGATGGTGATCTTGTTCTCCTTGTTGGTGGAGCGCTCCAGAGCGGTGACGTTCAAGATACCGTTGGCATCAATATCGAAGGTAACCTCGATCTGGGGAACACCGCGGGGTGCTGGGGGAATGCCCGAAAGCTCGAACTTGCCCAGCAGGTTGTTGTCCTTGGTCATGGCACGCTCACCCTCGTACACCTGGATCAGCACACCGGGCTGGTTGTCCGAGTAGGTGGTGAAGGTCTGGGTCTGCTTGGTGGGGATGGTGGTGTTGCGCTTGATCAGAACGCTCATCACACCTCCAGCGGTCTCAATACCCAACGACAGAGGGGTAACATCGAGCAGCAGCAGATCCTGCACCTCCTGCGACTTGTCGCCGTGGAGAATGGCAGCCTGGACGGCAGCACCGTAGGCCACAGCCTCATCGGGGTTGATGGACTTGTTCAGCTCCTTGCCGTTGAACAGATCCTGCAGCAGGCGCTGCACCTTGGGGATACGGGTGGAGCCACCGACCAGCACGATGTCGTGGATGGCAGACTTGTCCAGCTTGGCGTCACGAATAGCCTTCTCCACGGGGTCCATGGTGCTGCGGAACAGATCAGCGTTCAGCTCCTCGAAACGGGCACGGGTGATCGAGGTGTAGAAGTCGGTACCCTCGAACAGCGAATCGATCTCGATGCTGGCCTGGGTGGAGGAGGAGAGGGTACGCTTTGCGCGCTCGCAAGCGGTGCGCAGACGACGCAGAGCGCGCTTGTTGGTGGTGAGGTCCTTCTTGTGCTTGCGCTTGAACTCAGTCACGAAGTGGGTGACTAGACGGTTGTCAAAGTCCTCGCCTCCCAAATGGGTGTCACCGGCAGTGGATTTGACCTCGAAGATGCCGTCATCGATCGACAGAATGGACACATCGAAGGTGCCGCCGCCCAGATCGAAGATGAGCACGTTGCGCTCGCCAACGGCCTTCTTGTCCAGACCGTAGGCAATGGCAGCGGCCGTGGGCTCGTTGATGATACGCAGAACATTCAATCCGGCAATGGTACCGGCGTCCTTGGTCGCCTGACGCTGAGAGTCGTTGAAGTAAGCAGGCACAGTGATGACGGCGTTGGTCACAGTCTTGCCCAGGTAGGCCTCGGCGGTCTCCTTCATCTTGGTGAGGACCATCGAGGAGATCTCCTCAGGGAAGAAGGTCTTCTTCTCATCCTTGTAGGTGACCTCGATCTTGGGCTTGCCGTCAACGCTGACAACCTCGAAGGGCCAGTGCTTCATGTCGGACTGCACAGCAGAATCGTCGAACTTGCGGCCAATGAGACGCTTGGCATCGAAGATCGTCTGGGTCGGGTTCATCGCCACCTGGTTCTTGGCAGCATCGCCGATCAGACGCTCGGTGTCGGTGAAGGCAACATAGGATGGTGTGGTACGATTACCCTGGTCGTTGGCAATGATCTCAACCTTGCCATGCTGGAACACACCCACGCAGGAGTAGGTTGTGCCCAAATCAATACCAACAGCAGGAGCTTTAGACATCTGGAATGGATCGAAGGTAAGAAGATTCTTTAGATTTTTCTGTTTATATAAATTTTTAATAAAAAATTAGAAAAGTGAAGTGTGTTTGAGCAGGCAACTGCTATTGAACTAACAATGTCTCGATATATGGGCTACTATGGAAACAAGCCCTAAAACAATGTCAACCCCGGCTTGCTTGGGGGTTACTGGGAAACGATTCAGGAACAAGGAATACAATGCTTCCTGTGATCATTTCGCCTTTTACAGAAAGCATTGCGATTTTTTCTTGCCTTATACGCCGGATTCCTCCAACTGGTTTTTGAGATACAACCGAATCACGAGCCGTATGACTAATACAGCACGAGAGTTCAAATCGGCAAGATCAATGCCGGGGGTTAGCAATGGCGGACGACAGCTGCCGTAAATTTCTGCGAAAGGTGCCGAAACAAAAAACCGCATGGACAAAGGCGAAAATTCTGGAACACGAAACATGCAAACACACCAACACACACTTAGGTGTGTATGCATATGCGTGTGTGAGAGCACGCTGTCGTGCTTTACTTGGAATGTGCTAGAAAGAGACGACTACTGGAACGAGGCCGCATCGCGTGTATGGGTACTTGGGATGCCGGTTGGCAACGCACGTTTTCTAGCTAAATATAATTGAAACCCGCATAAAATATAAATTTATGGATATGATTACTATTTATAGAGCAAACACTTTGATCAATTTGGACCGAGAGATGTCTGTCTGGTTCTCATGACACATGTGTATGCATGAACGCGTGTTCGCGTAGGTGTGTGTGTGCGTCAGGGGAAGCCGCAAATTTTCCCCCTCTGGAATATTCCACTAAAAGAACACGATGCTTTAAATAAAATATTGTGTTAAACATCGATTTATTATTAGAAATGAAAAACGAAAAACAGCATTTAGGTGCAATGTTCAACGGATGACGCAAGTTTGTTCGGCTACGCACACATACACATGCATATACTAAAAAAAATGGTAGTGCCAAATGATTTTCTTGAGAAGCGGCACCTCCCAATGGAATATTCCAGATAGGAATCACGTTTTCTCATTTTTATACGTACATTGTCTAACATCTAAATTTGTTTAATTGCTTCAACTAAAATGCGCCTGTTAGTGCTTACTCATTGGGGTCGAAAGTTCGAGAAGCCTCATTTACGATGCAAGTATTGATTAAGCTCATGGGTCAATAGACCGTAAAACACGTGGTCTTGTCCCCATTTTTTTCCCCCGGCTGCAGAATGCGCAAAGTGCACTTTTACTTAAACTAATATATAAAAACACTTACCTTGTGTGTTGTTTATGTAGAACGTTCTAAAATATAACCGTTAATTGCTACTTCACTGTCCTTTTTCACTTCAATCTTCTGTCGAGTGGCACTCTGACGTTCGATCAAACCACTTTTACTTGAAACTTTTCTTCGCTTGTGCGGCGGTCTTATATAGGGTATGGCTGGTTTTTAAAGTGACCGCCTTACGTGTATATTTGGTATTTTATTCTTATTAAGTGCTGGCAATGCCATGTTTTATTCGATTAATAACACTATTCGGTCTACTTTCGTTATTACTACTACTACTACTTATTAATTTATTTTAATTCAAATTTTTCAAGAGCGAAATAAAAATTCTATATATGGAATATAATAATTTATTTCACAATACATAAAAATAGAATATAATATTGGGATAACCACCGAAACTACACAATTTTCATATGAATATGAATTTCATATGAAGTTATTTAGAAAATATATAGATATAATTCAAATAAGAATTTATATATATTAAATTGTCAATAGCTTTTCTAATAGTAAGAATTAGTAAGAAAGCTAAATATATAAAATAGTATTTACAAATTTTTGAAATACTAGTTAGGCACAAGTCACCCTGTGTCTGACTGAACAAAGCTCATTGAAACGCAGTATTTTGTTTTTGTTTGGCGCACTATTTTTGGTCACACTAGAATCAAATTATTTTACGAATCTTATTATTTTTTGTTTACCAAATGATCGTTCATCAGGAGTCGGGATGAGTGGCTTGTTAAACGAACTCCAACGCATCCTCTGTGAGGTTTGCTCGGACAAGACAGCCAGTTGCCACAAGGCCATTCAGCAACTCGATGAAAAACTGTCCAACTGTCGGGATGACATGAATGGAGTGCTTCTGACCAAGTCTTGTGGTTTATCATGGACGGGTGTCTTCGATGCCGCCAAGGAGGCACTTATTAAGGCAAGAAACAATCCAGTTATATAGGCTATTTAAATTTCTAAACAGTTCTCTATCAATCAGCACGCTGAAAGATTACAGGCTGCCAACGAAAAGACCTTCAAGACTTTGGCGGGCAAATGCTATTTGTTTAGCAATGTCCTTGACAAGATTATAAATTACAACCTAGAGGGTATGCACCAATACAAAGTTTTGGCTTGGCTAACTTTCTACGATTTCAGCCGGGTTGGAGCCTTCTGGCAACGGCCACTTTCTGTCCAGGACAAGCATTTTTAGTGCATTTGAAGAGGGAATCAAGATGCGTGTGACGGTTAAGTTCTTCGGTGACACTATTCTTAACCTGCTTGAAAGGGGTATCTACCCTTCTGCCAGCTATGTTAAGGAGATGAGAATCAACGAGTATAGCCGTATGTAGTACTTTCCATCTAAATCGTCTTGTAATTCCAAACAACCTATTTCAAAGGCGTTCTTTCGTACCTGTTCGAGTTAAATGTGAACGGAGATGAGTTTCTTTGCAATAGGGTACTGAAATGCATCACCAAGACTGTCAGTCTGGCCAAGGATAGGGTCCAGCTGCATGCCGATCTAGCGGCGTATCTTCCCGAGCTAAGCAGCATTGCACTCCGTGCTCAAGGGCCAAGGAAAACTGAGATTGTTCGTCTCTATTCACTTTTTATGTCGGAGGTTCGTTTTTGTTATCAACCATAAACGCAATTAATATTCCTTTCTTAGCTCTCAGTGAACTACCATTACCAGTTAGGCATCCATATGCAAGATATTCTGCCAAAGCTGTGCGAGTTCCACAACGAGGATGTGTATCGCGATGACACCAGAAATATTTTCTTTCAGTGTGTTATTCTGTCTCTGAAATCTATGTATCCCAAGCTTGATCAATGTGATTTTAACACATTCGGCGTGGTTGTGCAAGAAAGCTGGCCAAAAACCCTAATGCGACTAAAAACAATCGTTAACATGGAAATAAGCAAAAATTCTCTAGTACGCTACAAAACTTTCCAGCTGAGCAATGACAAGTTCTCACAGCTCTTTCTCAAGATGTCTGCCTTGATAATGTACATAGTAAGTTGAGATACTACTCCGCCCGATTAAACAAGTCTCAAGAATTGCCTAATAAAAATTATTCTTTTAGGTCCTGTGGCACTTGGACGTCAGGAAACCTGATGATAGTGGCGAGGGCGATGCGCCCAAAAAATTGGCCAAGCCTTCAGATAAAATGGAAGTAATGTTCGGACTTATCGCCAAAACGGAGACCACATATAACGACGTGTGGTTTGGCATTTTTGCAGAGCTGCTTCAGCTGAGCAGCGTGATACTGAATGTGGCCAACTACCAGCAGGCTTTGACCACCGTATCGGACATTTGTGAAATGTACGGAAATTCCAAAAACCTTCGAAATGTCCGTTTATGCATAGATGTTCTGCTTAAAAAGGAAGAAGAGCTTGTAAAATCCCAATCAATTCAGAAAAACTTTTTGGGTGATTTGTGGGTTCGGATGGGAAACCATTTAATATCAGAGTCTACTACCAACAACGAGGAGATAAACGAACGACAATTGATATTGCAGATGCTCATTAGACACAAAAAAATGAGCCAAAAGATGGTCACTAACCTGTTGCAAAACATCACTTCTAATGAGATAATGAAACGAAATGAATGCGTTGCTACTATTCGCGAGATATACATCCATGCAGCTGAGTGTGGCCTGGAGAAATCATCTGCCGATCTGGAGCCGATTTTGGCATGGGCTTATAGTAGTGGGGCTCGTAACAGTGTCACACATTTGATACAAAATATAGCTAGTATAGATACCTTCTTGCAAGCAGATACATTTGCTATTTGCATTATAAATTTTCTGGACGAAAAACAGCAGAAAGAACTTACCAACCCAAAGCCTATCGCCACGCTAGAGGATCAAAATACATTGCTTTTTAAATATAACAAGAAATTGGTCTTTTTGGCTAAGGATTATATGGATTCCGCTGTAAATAAAGCTCAGACTCAAGAAGAAACGAAGAACTGCCTATTCCAAACTAAATACGAGTGCCTTATGCGCAACTTAAACTTTAATAGCGTAAACGACAACGAATCTCAATCTATTAAAAAAAACTTAAACAGTCTGCACAAGTTGGTTTGCACCATGGAAAGGCTTTTGTTTTATAAAGTCTTTGATGCCGAAAACTTTACTGGTTGTCCTTTGATAAAGCGCATTGGCTTGTTTCTCAGTCACATCGAGGTGGGTTTTTATACAAAGAATCTACTTATTCACTTTAATTAAAACTATTACTCTGTTTTCAGTTCCACTATAAGGCCAACGATGCAAAGTCCATTAATGAAAGCGATCTAACCGAAATCCTCGGATTACAAATCGCTGTTTTGGAAGCTTTCAAATCGAATCCGATTCTTTTAAACTATTTGAATACGCAGCCCTTGGAAATGCTTGTGGATTTTGTTAAAAACTCCCTTAAATTTCATTGTAAATGAAGTCAATTACATTTTAAAATATTTAGTGATCATAATTTCAAATGTTTTGTAGGCAGGCAGAGGGACAGCTCGGACCATGATGGAATCACTAATCAATGTATTCAGATTTTGGGTGCTTTGTGTGCCTTCAGCTCACATCGTGAAGAAGCTTTCGAGAATCTTTCCAAAATGAATATGCGATGGAAGCCCCAGGACATTCTTACCGCCACTAAGGTCAGTAATAATATAAGGCTATATCCATCTTAAAGACTACGATGAATTTGTTTAGATGCTGTTCTCCTGCGAAAGCATTTCGAATGATGCTTCCTGTTGGCTGGTGGAGCAGCTGAAACAACTTTTCTTACATCACCATCAGGATTTGAATATTATTGACGAAGTGGTGGAATACATGCCCAGTAAGCTAAATTTGCAAGCATATGAAAGAATTAAGCTTAAAGTTATGTTTTCCATTCAGAAATATTCAGTTTTATTTCCAAAATGGAATTTCAGTTGGATGACATGTTAATGGCCCTTAACTCCTTGCTGAGGATTGCGCTGAAGAAGTCCTACACATCCAAATTAACCGCGAAAATCGTGCGCTGCGTCGGTTTGATTGCCCAGCGGTGTCCTGACATATATGCTGTAGATAACTTTTCTGTGATATGCAAGTCCACTGCCAAGTTCATAGCCATGCCCACCCTGGAGGTGCGGTATGCCACACTATTCAGCTTCATTATATTGCTAAATACTAATTGTGTGACTAGTGATTTTATTGGGCACTCACAATGTCACTTGAAATTCTGCCAGGAGCTTTATGACAGCATCGAATTAAAAAAACTGTCTGTGAGTGTGATGCCTACTTCTTAGTTTAATATATGGAGTTTTATAAATCTTCTAGTACAATGATGAGGATGCAACGCAAAACGCTAATTCTATAGTGGTGCAAATGCTGATCGCTTTTATAATTCGGAGCTCATTTCACCAGGAGATTGCGCTAAAGGAACTGTTGTATCACATTGCCTCTAGAAATCTTAGCGAAGGTTTGTCAAATGGATTCGATTTGTTTCTTTCTTAACCTTTTTTTCATTTCAGGTGAATTTTATTTTCTCCAAAATGTTGAACCCCGCTATGGAAAATCGATCAGAGACCTTATACAGCCCTATACCGATGACCTTTTGCATCATTGGGCCGAACAAAGTTGGCCTATTTTAAAGTAAGAAAATCAGAAAAGCAGATTAAATCGCAGTCTATATAATTCTCCTTTTATCTGTCGGTTAGATTTCCCTACTTTCTGTGTTATGAATCGAAAATTGACTTCCATAAGGCTCACATAAACAGCATATTAGCTTACACATTCATATATGGAAAACCCGAGGATGTGGATCGTCTTAAAAAGGCTGTTGAAGAAGAGGTCAATTTTATGAAAAAATGTATCGCAGATAAAATTAATATTTTTAAGTCTACAGATCGCCTATCCACTTATATCATCATTCATGCTGGCCAAAAACGTAAACTGTTCGGAATCTGAAATGGAAGACTTTAAGGACCGTTACCGGAATTTTGAGATTAATCTAAAAAATTCTCAAATAGAATCGTTAAAAATGGCCCTTAATGCAGAGACCCTCTGGAGGACTACAAACATGCTGTATGATCCACAGGAACTGCAAAGGTTGCTGGGACATTCGGCTCCTTTAATAGAAGAGTGCAGCTGGTACCATCTTAAGTCGAAATCTCTATTCAAGTGTATAAATTGGCATATTGTAAGATGTTTAAAATTACCATTTAATCTATATTGATATTATATTCTTTTTAGGATCCTAATAATAACTCGTTGAGGGGCAGTCGATCGCAGTCCATGTCCATGCTTCAATTGAAACATCCTCGAATTTTGGTCGATCTCTTCGGGCGTCTAAAGAAACATTGTTTCAACGCCACCTTTTCCAGCCAGGCTGTGCACGAATTCTTCCTTTATTGTGTAATCGCAGATGCTGTCTACGATGCTGCACTTGATTCGGAAGATGCTGAAACAGTTGTCAAGTGCTCGTACTTTGTCCGAGATATATGGTTCTTTTTGGTTCGATTTTTAAAGCACTGTAAGCATTCTACAAAATCCAAACCAGTATTATCATTAAACCCTTCTTACTTTCAGCCAAGTCTATCCAAGTCCAGATATCGGTTGTATCTTATTTAGAAGTGTTGCTCAGTAAACATATATTTGGATTCGATGAATTTACATCTCACATGGCTGAGATAGCCAAGCATCTCATAGCTTTTGAACGTAGTTGTGAATTCAAGGAAGTGAAGAAAAGCATTACTGCTGTGATTGAAAAGATTGTGGACTACCACAAAAGTACCATAGATATGCCTACTTTTCTCGAAGAAACAACTGAATGTGAATTTCTTCAACCTCTGCGGGAGGAATTTGGATGCAGCTCATCTATAGATAAGTCGGACATAAACAAATGCCTCAATTCATTCCTAAAGAGCCCTACATCGGAACGCTTGAGAGACCTAAGGGATTATGTAGGTTTTATTGTAATTATAACCATTTCGTATTATATCATTATTTTTGCTAATGCTATTTCAGATTGCTGAGCATAAAGACAAACTGCAAGCGAATGAGAAGTTGCTTTTCGAGGTCATCAATCGTCTGGTCCAAATGGCTCGAGATACCCAAAATAAGCAGACCACCCTATATGCCCTTAAGTGCCTGGCTCAATTAGGCCCGCTAAAACTTTCAAACATATCATACTATTTTCAAACCGAGTTTGATTCCTTTGAAGAGGTAAGTCATTGCTCATTATTAAGTACGCAGATTAATAAACATTTATAAACACAGCCGGAGAAAGAACCAATGGAAAGATTTCTCAGTGCAGTTTGTGAAGCCTTGGAGCATTACATGTTCGACTTTGATCCAAAAACCCATGATGATATCGTATGTGTGGCCTATAATGTGGTTAACAGCAAGGCAGGAATGAAAATCATTAGTAAGCAAGACCAATTTATAAATAGAGATCGTTATTATTTAACAATTTATTCAATTTCAGGTAAATATAAAAACTTAAAAATCTTTTTGGATAAGTCTGCAGCATCTAGTTATCTGAATTCCCACAAACAAATTCGATGCATTGATTGGTTGAAGGTTTTGAAAGCCACCCAAAAACTGGAGTATGAGTCCTGGTTGTGCACCTTTGTCTCCCTGGCATTTAGGGAGTGCGGTTGGATAGGATTTGATGCGCTGGCAGAAAAATCATTCGCCTTTGCCAAGATTTGTTTGCAGCCGTTCATCAAGCTGCTCTTGTCCAATAACCAGGAGCACTTGCAGAGCCTGTGCCAAATGTTGGACTACTTTTTTGAACATTTTGTCAGCACGGAGTTATCGGGCTCTGTGGAGATATTTCAAAACAAAAGAGCTATCAAGAGGTTCTTGTACATCTGCGAATGTATACGAAATTTTAATAATTGGTAAGGAGATTTTATTTAAGTAAATTTTACAACAAATAATATTATTCATATCTTTTTTAGGAGCATACCCGTCAATCTGAGCAATGTGGTTAGGGCCAGTAACCACTGCCAAGCCTATTTCCTCAGCATTATGTATTTGGAGTTGTGGGCCTCTTCTCCAAATGCTTCAGAGTCCGTAGCTCTTCTTGAGGATGAATCATTCCAAGCCTCTGCAAAAAAAGTAAAAATACTTTGTTTCATTTATTAAGCTTTTAAAAAATGTATATTTATTTACAGGCCTATGAGTCCATTGGCTGTCTGGACGCAATCGCTGGCATTGTTAATCCCATGCGCTGCCGGCTGGACTTCCTCAGTCGCAATAACAATCTCTCAGCTATCCTAATGGAGACTGATGATTGGAATTGCTCCAGTGGACAAGTTTGTGCCGAAATTATGAAGAGCAACGGGCTGTGGTCCTTTGCCATGTTGCAGGAGCACCAAAAAGTAGAGCCGGATTACGAGATCCTTTGGCGTCTTGGGAGGTGGGACTCGCTGCACGAAACTCAGCAACATCAAGTGAAGGCGAAGACCAAACTAAACCTAGAGCGGGAGTTCCAGCGACACCACTTTCTGGCCCTTCGGAGCATCGGTCAGCGGGAACAAGAAAACAGTCTGTCGGCTATTGACCTGGCCTATCAGTGCGTTGGTAATATCCTGCAGGACATCAGCGTCGAGTGTTTGCAAAGTGTTTACAAGTACCTTACATGGCTGTGCTCGCTTCAACAGGCAGAGGACTTTTGTCAGGTGAGGATTGTGATCGGTTGTAAGAAATATTTTATTGATACACCTATTAATCCTCTGCAGATTCAATTTGGTTCCCATTTAAATCCAGTCATGCTCACTAAGCTCTTTGGCAAGTGGAATACAGAGCTAGAGCTCCTGTACGGTAACTTTAACTGCAAGGAGTATACAATAGCCCATCAGATCGCTCTGTTCAAAATGGCTGGTACGAGGACGAATCGTCGCCTGCTGGAGTTCTACAAACAAAATCCCATAGACACATATCTGCTGAAAGGAATCGAGGCGTGTAAGAGTGCCGGAAAACTTAATCTGGCACAAAAATACATTGGAATGCTTAGGGAATTACCAGATATCAAGGAGTCAACAAAGGTTTCAAGATTTACAAACATAACTTATTAGAAAAATGTAACATTTAAATTTTAGATAAGCGGTCTGCTGGAGGATGCCGAAGTGAATGTGAAAATGGGCCACAACCAGATAGCCAAGGCGATTCTACAGCACATAAACACCAATCAGGAATTCACCTACTGCTTGCAAAGGATTCCGGCTATTCGGATGGAGGGCGAGTTTCTAATGGACTCCAATGCTGACAGCCTGAGTTCCGTCCAATGCCAGAAGTTCAACGCCGCTCTCAAGCTGATTGATGACTTTTTGTCTAATCGCCAAACTCTGAGCAACAAGTATCCGCACATCTTCCAGTGGCAGAATCTCGACACCTATACGAACCACCAGCGGACGGCCACTTATGCAACGATGGCCAAGTATGCGGACAGAGAATACCAGCAGCTGTACGAGTACCGTCACTCGCAGGACTATCAGACGCTGATCGACATTATTGAACAGAACCGACTGGCGGCGTCGAAAGTGACGCAGCGGGAAAACCACGATCGGCTGGTAATGAGCTTGCAGATGAAGCGCTACGCCAATCTCGACGAGAGTCAGCTGCAACATGTGGAAGAGAAGCTAACGCAGCACCTCTGCTCGGCAATGAAAAACCATATTGCCTACTGCCGCTTGGACAGTGGCTTTTCCAGTCCTGCCATCTATCGCATCATTTCGCTGTGGTTCACCAATGCGTCGAATGAAAAGTTGCAGCAGTGCATCAAAGAGGAACTTCCCACAGTGCCGTCTTACAAGTTCATATGCGCTGCCAACCAATTGATCGGGCGATTGAATTCTAAAAATTCGAGCTTAATCAAAGCATTGGTAGATCTTCTGGTACGCTGTGGCCAGGATCATCCGCATCACATCTTGTATATGTTGTACCCGCTCGTCTTTGCCAGTCTAGATGGAGAGCACAGTAACACGGAGCGAGCTGGAATCGCTCAACGAATCATAGCCAAGATTGGCGAAAAGAATCCTAAGGCGGCGGCTTGTAGCAAAGAGTTGGAATCTGTGTTTCCAGGTAGGAAGACAAGAATAGTTATAAATATTCATTATTAACACTTAACTTATAGCTCTTATAACCTTTGCGAATGAGGCCAAGACTGAGAATAACCAGCCGGTATCGGATGCGACCCGACAAAAGCAGTTCGAAAGGGTGAGACGCCTTCGGCACTTAAATAATGTTCATTGTCCTACTCTGGAGTTGCCTGTTTCGCCAAACAACGAATACAATATAACAAGTGAGATTAACACCATTCCATTATGGTTTATGAAGCTAAATGTTAAATAAAATAATATACACTCAAGGTATTTGCAACTGGGCCAAGGAGATTTCTCAATGTGGAGGCCTGAATGCTCCCGTTAAGGTCCTATGTTTGTGCTCCGATGGTCAGACTCGGCCGCAGCTGATCAAGGGCAAGGATGATCTCCGACAGGATGCAGTGATGCAGCAGGTGTTTGGCATTGTCAACCAACTCCTAAACCAGGACTCGGAATTTATAGAACGGAAACTGAAGTTACGCACTTACAAGGTGACGCCTTTATCCATGCGGAGTGGAATTCTTGAGTGGTGCACCAACTCCATTCCGGTGGGGGTTTACTTGGCCGGCCAGGGCAAAGGAGGTGCTCACCATCGGTATCGGCCCAAAGATTGGCCGAGCAACAAATGTCGACAATATTTGGCGGTAAGATAATATGATAATAATATCCTCTATTTCAAGACGATTAATACATCTTCCATTTAAAGACTCATTTGAAGTCGTCCAAGGAGAAACGTTTTGAAATTTATCAGGAAATATGTGATCATATAAAGCCCGTATTTCAATATTTCCTGCTAGAAAAGTTCCCCATACCAGGTGTATGGTTTGAGAGGCGACTAGCTTACACCAACAGCGTGGCTACCACATCAATGGTGGGCTATGTCCTGGGGCTTGGTGATCGGCATACCCAAAATATTCTTATAGATGAGAGAACGGCTGAAGTCATTCATATTGATTTTGGTAAGAATTCCAAATATGGTATAAAATGAATATAAAATAAAATCACCTTCTTCGCTTCTAGGTATTGCTTTCGAGCAGGGAAAGATACAAACGACACCTGAAACTGTTCCTTTCCGGCTGACCCGCGACTTTGTGGCTCCCATGGGTATCTGTGGAACTAAAGGAGTGTTTGCCAAATCCTGCGAGGCTACAATGCACATTCTTCGACGATACAAAACAGTATTCACCACCATACTCGCAGTGCTTCTCTACGATCCACTGTTTATTTGGGGTGTGCTTAGGAAAAAACAATCCTCCTCTCAATCTGGTGAGTCTCTTTTATATTTTTAATGGATTTCAAAGTCATTAACCGTTTTAAAACTTTAATAGAAGAGGAATCTGTAAATCTAGTGGCACAACGAGCCCTACTGTTGGTGCAAAATAAACTGGAGGGCCGAGAGGCCGGCACTTTGGGAGACTCCAATGTGGAAGCACAAGTCGAGCGTTTAATCAATGAAGCTACGCTGCCCAGCAATCTATGTATGCTATATCCTGGCTGGGATCCGCAACTCTAGACCAACAACATCACACTCGCTACCAGTTACCATCTTAAATATATATTTTTTTTTACGATTTTATACGAAACTCTATTAGTTTATTGTTACTGGGCTATTTTGGGCACAATTTTTGGCAGATGTTGCGTATTTCTTATCGCAGGGGAAACTCTTAATTAGCTTTTATTTTCTACATTCATTCAACAGCTTCGTTCTTTTCAGATACCGCTTTGGGACATTTTTGACTCCCTGAAAGTCTGAAAGTTTGCCACCTTCGTTTTATTGGTAAAACTGGCCATAAATCAATAAACCACCATAAAAATAACTCTTATCACGACCCCTCAGCGATTATTCGGTATTCGAAAGTAGCCAAAACATTGTTGATTACGGCTATCGGGAATACCGAAGCTGATAAGTGAGCGGATTTAAATGCAAATGGGCTTTTGATAGCTGTTCGGCTAGTTGAACTAAGCTTATCTGTGGTGAAAGAGACTAAAACGTCAAACGGTCCATAAATCTTGTAGTTAAAGTTAGCTCCCTTTACCATCTTCAATCTAGGCTGTATTTTTGCATCTTAGACTATATATCTAAATCTAAAGAATTCCTTTTCAGTCTTATTTTCTTGAGCTAGCTTCGGGCTTGCAATCCGGTTCCACGCCATCGAATATCGGAGTACTTTCCTCTCCTTCGCCACCTCCAGTTATTATCCCGATGATATCCGTCAGCGAGAACTGACCCAAAAAGTTGTTAATAGCCTGAGGAGATTTGAAGAGTTATAGATCACACATTTTTAAAATGTTTAGGATTACCCACCGTTTGAACTTTGTCAATGACTGTGCCCTGTCCATAGTCCCAAATGTCGCCGAGCAGTTCCACACCCATTTCGTTCACCAGGGCATGGATAAAATCATTGACACGCTCCTCCTCCAGCAACTTATCAAAATGGATCTTAAGATCTCCCAAGTGCAGTTGGATATCCAGCGATCGAATTCTTATGGGAGATATATTGCTTACAATAAAGGTGATGAGAACAGAAAAGTCCTTGATGGAGGCTCTGGAAAAAAGATGCTAAGACATAGGCTCTTTTGCTTCTCTTATGTAACAAGACTTACTCGGCATCTCCATCGCCTGCCAGATTCAGGATGTACGCCAGAGATCCCTTGGCCGTGTATGTGGAGTTTAAATAAGCCAGGGGTAGAGTGACATTGATAGTGCTTGTTCTAAGCAGTCGCAGGGTGAGTGCGGGAACCTCAAAGTCGGAAAGGCCATGCAATTGGAAGTTGTCGATGGAACCAGTAAAGCTATAAAAAATAAAATTTTGTATTACTCTAAAAATCTATTTAAATTAAAATTTCGACCTACTCGACGAGATATTTTCCATCCGCAGCCGCCTCGGCGTGTTTAATCTCGAGAGGATCTAATGCCGGCAGCCCCAGATTAGGAATGGGATGGCACATGCGCTTCTTGAATTCATCCAGGAAGTTAAGGATCGTAGTTTCGTACAGGCAGGTTGCAGGTGCCAGGCACGCGCAGAGAATAAAAACGGCCAAAGAGACCTGGCAAATTAAGTGTTCCTGGCGCATGTCTCTTGATCCGCTGGGCTTCAAGTTAAAGTGGCAACTGACTACCTACCGGACTGCTCCCCGGATTTTGTTGGCCTGCTCAAGTGGATCCGATACGATTCGAGCCGATCCCATTGTGTTTGTCAAGATACGACGTCAAGTTTATTTCAACATTTATTCCCAAATACTTATCTTCTCTAATCGCGAACGGGGCCCGATCGACAGAGATTAACGGGTCGGTTACCGTGCATCATTGAGCCATTTTTTTTGTAGTACAAATCCTAATCTCTTTCGGGTTTTATTATTAACTATCTCTTAGGTCCTTCAACTGCACCAGCAACGAACTTCCTGTTGCAACCCATAGCTCCACTTCCTTTGCAAGATTGCGCCCTGGATTTCGTCTTAAACTGTTCAAGAGGAGCAACTGGAAGAATTGAAAGCCCTCTTCCAAATGTTAGATTATCACTTCGTCCTTCCAGGTAACCTTGGTAGTAAGGTAACCTGAGGTGCACAATCCTCAGAAATCGGTATCTAACGGTATCCAGAATATCCAATTTCGGGAAACTGTCTTGCATTGGAAGTTGTTAACAGACTTCAAAATAAAATTATATTATGTATAAATTAAACTAATTCCTAATTAATACTTACACTATCTAGTGGATATTTTATTTAATTTATTTTTTTGAAATGTCAAAAACAACTTCAGAGCCGGCAAAAATGTACCTAACGCCTTACGGAAATCAAGAAAATACTAGCCACATGTGTCTTCAAACGAACGGCACTCTATATACCCTAAAATTAAAAATGTTTATATCCGTAGTGTATATTTAAATACTGATTAAAAATATTTATTTAAAATAAGATGCATTTTTTCTTATTCAATAATTAAATAATTTTCTATGGAAAAAAAAAGAAGCACCCTGTATGAGTATTTTTTTATATATCATACGCGTTAGGTGATTTTCCCTTCAAATTTCGCACGTGCTGGCGCCGCCGACTAATATTTTGCAATTTGTTTAACTTTTTTGACAAGAACATTATAAAAATATTGAGCAGGACTCAAGCTATAACAGACAAGCAAATAATCAACCCCTATATTATCAGAAATAACCATGAAAGATACTAAAATTAATGGTAAATATTCAAGTAAATAGTTGAAGTTCAATAAATAAACAAATTGTACCACCAGACATCACAAATAATAAGAATGAGGCTCCCAAGGATTCTGAAGCGGCGCAGGCAGGTGATAGCTCCGAAGAAGAGGATTACGAAGACATTGATGAAGACGACGACGATGATGAGCAAATGGATGAGGGAGAGGAGCCCACCACATGTCTTTTTTGCGAGGAGGTCTTTCCATTAATAGCCACTGCCATCGATCACCTCGATGCGCGGCACAAAGTGAACCTGTCTCAGCTTCAAAAGAAGTTCCACATGGATCAGTATTCCTTCATCAAGCTCGTAAACTGCATAAGGGCCAACAAGATTAGTGCTGAAACTTTACTATCGACTGAACAGACCTTTTGGGAAGATGAGAAGTATCTAAAGCCAAAGGAGTACGAGCCATGGCTTTGCTATGACTACGATGTGCTTAAGACAGACGGCGCTGAGGCTCAACCATCGGTGGCCGAACTTCTCCAGCAAATCGCCGAACAATCCAAACTTCTGCAACAAGCAAACGAGGATATGGAGCGTATGCGTAGCGACTACAAGGAACTGCTGCAGAAGGTTCATGAGGGAAAAGATTCCAAGTCATCTGGCGAAATAGTGCCGCGAAATAATCCAAACTTTGACAAGGAGTACTTCAATAGTTATTCGCATTTCGGAATACACCACGAGATGTTGAGTGACAAGGTACGGACCAGTACGTATCGCTCGGCTCTTTTGGAGAACAAGTCTGTGGTGAGCGGCAAGGCAGTACTAGACGTCGGCTGTGGTACGGGAATCCTGTCTATTTTTGCCTCCCAGGCGGGTGCTGCACGGGTGGTGGGAATTGACAACTCGGACATTGTTTATACTGCGATGGACATTGTTAGGTAAAATCTTTCTTTTTAATAGCAAATCCCAATTAAAAATCATATTTACAGAAAAAACAAGGTGCAGAATGTGCAACTAGTGAAGGGCCGGTTGGAGGACACTGATCTTCCAGAGGCCAAGTACGACATCATCATCTCCGAATGGATGGGTTACTTTTTGCTGTACGAGTCTATGTTGGACAGCATTATCTACGCCCGCGAACATCACCTTAACCCCAATGGCGTGATCCTACCCAGCCGTTGCACTCTTAGCATTTTGGGCTACGGCAACGACACCTTGTACGCCGAGCAGGTTGAATTTTGGTCAGATGTGTACAATGTAAACATGGTTGATCTGCAAAAGAAGTCCATTGAAGAGCCGCTCATGGAGGTGGTGGATGCCCAGTTTATGCTCACAGAACCAGAACAGATAGCTAACTTTGACATGATGACTGTCGACTTGAATTATCCCAATTTTACTCACCATTTTAATTTAAAAGTAACCAAATCCGACCGTCTCACAGCCTTTGTGGGCTATTTTGACACCTTCTTCGACATGCCCGCTGCAGTTATGTTTAGCACATCGCCCACTGAGACCCCGACACATTGGAAGCAAACCATCTTTTTCTTAGAACACCCGAAGGACGTGAAAGAAGGTGAAGTTATCAGTGGGAAGATTGTCTCACGGAGGCACAAGGAGGACATAAGAGCACTCAATGTAGAGATAGAGGTGTTTGGAAGAAAACAAAAGTACATGGTGGTCTGATGAGACTCTTGATCCACAGACTCGAGTCAACTACTACTTTTAATTCTATTATTTTTAGAATGTAAAATATTTTTATCTTCAGGCAATGCTTCAAAATAAAACTAAATCTTTTATCAAAATTTCTCGTTTTTAAATACTTATAAATTATTCCACTCCCCCATTTAAAATATTCGTTTTGATTATGAGTTTTTTTTAAATCATTTTTAATTAAAGATTCGTAGATCATGCGCTGCTGACAAGTAGAACTTAATTACTTTTTAAAATTATGCTTTATTATATAAATTAATATGTGTGTCCATTGTCGGACGCGGCCAAAACAGAATCGATTCAAGGTTGTACGAATTTTTTGAGTTTGCGGTGTTGTTAAGCTGTGTTGGTTTCCAACTCAGAGGCAGGGATCTCGGGCTCCTCGTCGTTGTAAACATTCTCGGCCATTTGCCACACCTGCATAATATTATCCTCAGAGACCGAGCAAATGATCCAGGGCTCGTTGGGGTTCCATGAGAAGTCGCTGATTTTGGCCGTGTGGCCGCCGTGAATGAAGAGCAGCTCTGGCGGTCCGTCTTCGGCGTCCTCTGAGCTCTGCTCTTCTCCGATCTTGGACAAATCCCAGACATGTAGCCGGCGATCGGTGCCCGAGGAAGCGAGGATTGTCTCGTTATGCGGCGACCATTGCACTTGGAAAATTTCGTCCTTGTGCGACTCGAAGGAATGTAGTTTTAGTTTCAGGTTGCGCAGATCCCACAATGCAACAGTTTTGTCAGCAGACCCGGTGGCCAAAATGAACTCTGAGTAGGGGTTGAAGCTCAGACAGTTGACCTCGGCTGTGTGTGCGTCCACCGTGTGCGAGGGCTTTGAGGTGTTATTGTTGCGAGTATCCCAGATCATCAGCTTCTGATCGTCGGCAACGGAGCCGAAAAGCGACTCATGCAATAAATGCCAGGCGACATCCTCGACAACAGCGGTGTGTCCCGTAAATATATTCTTGGCATCAATAACCCGATGCTCCTTAGGAGTAGCGTTAATGTCCCACAAGCATATGGTGTGATCATCAGAGGCCGACAGCAAGTAGCCTGCCAAACGAAATAGTAAAAAGAAGAGATTTTTTATTTAGAAATTAATTTCTTGCTATTGATGAGTTTTTTTTCTTACCGTTGAGGTTGGGGTTCCACGAAAGACCATAGCCCTCCTTCTGGTGACCACGCAATCGCAAATCTGGCTGGCATTCGCCTGAAGGTTCCGGCTTGCTCGGATGCTTCGTGTAGTCAAAGACAAGAACGTCGCTTGAAGGAGTCTTGGTAGCAATGACGCATGCGTTCTGGGGCATGTAACGCGCCCTGTTGACCTCCCCCTCGTGGTTGATCTTGATTTCGATCTCGATTTTGCCACAGACGGAACCAAAACCGCCAAACTCGCCCTTCTCGTTGTCATAGTGCGATCCATCAAACTGGGCGTCTTCACTGGGAAGCTGGACGCTAGCGATGAGCAAATGGTTTTGCTCGTCGGATGTGTGAGTGCCCAGGATGAGGCGGTGAACCGAGTAGTCTTTGCCATCCTGCTTGGTTACATCGGGCAGCCACTGTGCTGTCAGGGAGGGCCATTCAAGGGCGTGGGTCATCACCAAATCGTAGAGAAAGGGCGTGTTCTTTTTCCATATCTTGTATTCCTCGTTGATCACGCGCTCCTCGACGGCATCGTCGAAGGATTCCGCAGCTTTTATAGGAAGAAGCACACCAAATTAGATACTAAAGTTAATTTAATCATCTGAGGACTTACCATTATCACTTCGATCCACCATGATGATTAGCTGTTAGCGGCCCAAAAATTCCGCGTCACAAAATCCGGCTGCCAAAATTCGGGCGCCAAAACAACAAAGCCGGAGCGGCAAAACGCGTGCACAGACTTTCGGCTAAAACTATAGAAGTCCGCTGGGGAAACTACGTTTGGTGCTGCTTTACGGCGAGAAAACCCGGCAGCAATTAAATTAATTATTTTCAGCGCACACACACTTCAAGCACGCTGATGATCGGAATACGGAATATGCAAAATGGCAATTTTCCTCTTTTCTTTTTGCGCGTCGGCTTAGAGGTGGTTGAGTGGCGATGCTTTTTAATTTATCGATATATAAGTAATTTTTCAACACTTTAGGTCGAGTCTGTTCCGTTCCACTTCCACGTTCCGATGGTTTTTTTATTTAAGTTTTATTAAACATACATATTGTATATATATATTTTCATCCTCGGATATAAATTTGATTTCTTTTTGCGTCAATCGTTGCTACATTTCAAAATGACCGTAATTATTTCGATACCCATCCGAGTACCATTTTGCGCCAAAATTTGAATTCCGATACATGTTCTTTAGGTTTTGACCCACACTAAATTCTAAAATTTAGCAGCACTGTTAGCGACAAAAATATTTATAATTAGGTCAAAAAGTTAATATTTCTAAATTAAACAAAGAAATTAGAACTGAAATAATGAAAATCCATCATAAAGTAGAGGCCCAGTGGCATATCATAAATTTTATGGCGAGGTTGCCAGTTCTTCCATTTCAAGAATTGATTGCATAAAGAGGGCGCCGTATAAACGCTGTGATTGTTTATTATCTAAAAATTTAAAGCTAGTTCTCGCGCCAATGAACAGCTTAATATCACCATAGCTGCCCCGAAGTCGCAGTTGCTTCTCAGCTATAGTTTTTCAGTGGCAGTCGCGAGCCGACATGCAACCGTCATGGATAAACATTGATGAACATAGTCGTGGATTTGCACACAAAGCCGAGCTTTTGAGTATTTGCAAAATAGTTTAACAACTCGTAATTGAACCTACAACTTGACTTTTGATGGATTGAACAGCTCATCCCCGGCTCTGAAAAGCGTGAAGACAAGTTTACAAGTGTAAAGTGGAATGAGGAGCGGGAGCGGTACACCGGCCCCACACGAAAACTTTCTCTTCATCGAATTGTTTGGTCTTCGCTTCTTTCACTTGTGAAATCTATGTGAGCGCGCTGCGTGGTCTTTTCAGAGGCCAGTGGGAAAATGCATACCGCCAAAGAAGGGCAAAAGGCCCTCAAGGCCGACGACGAAGTAGAGGACTGCAGGTTTTCGGACCCGGATCAGTACCTGGAACACCTTCTGAACGATGGAAGCCAGGAGGGGGACAGTGGAGCCGCATTGGAGTTGCCGTCATGGTACGATGAGCAGCTGTTCATGCGGTGAGTTACGTGACCAATTGATGAGTATAGCTATTTGCAATCATACAATGGCAATTAATATGAGTAATATATGTATACTAAGATCTAATTGCTAATATAACTTTATATAATAAACCTCAAAACCTCATCTAAAAATATTTTTAAATTTTATGATTGATTTCAATCCTTCCATTTAAATTTTTGAGATTTAATAATAAACCCTTAATTTCTTCTCTTTGGCAGGGGTCAGAAGTATTTCCAAGTTTATCGCTTTGTGATGAATGCAGGAATGCTAGCCGGACTAATTGGTGTACTAGCCGTTCCCTCGATTCTGAAAGTGCTCTCGTGCACGCGCCAATCCTCGACTGCATTTACGGCCTACCGGCGATACGTGCGCACTATTTTTCATACCCAAACTTGGTACAACAATAATATATCAGATCGAGGGAGCAAGTTTTGGACCAGTATTGCTGCTGTTCGCCAGGCGCACTCGCGATCCAGCAAGGCCTGTGCCCGTCAAGGAGCAGGGCAGATCACCCAAAAGGATCTGGCGCTGACACAGTTTGGGTTCATTGGATTCATTACCATGGGTGCACACCGGATTCAGCTGTATGATAAGGATTTTTTGGAAGCCACCACGCACATGTGGCGGGTCCTAGGATTTTTGCTGGGGATCAAGAATGAGTACAATATTTGTGGTAGAAACTGGGAGGAATCAAAGCTCCGATTGGACATCGTCATGCGAAAAGTTTATGAACCCGCTTTGGAAAAGACTGGAGAGGATTTCCGCCGCATGACGGAGGCCTTAATTAACGGTTTGTGGCATGTGAATACCATGCTGTCGGTGGATGCCCAGATATTCTTCACCAAGCGGCTGGCCTGCGTCAAAGGATTCGAGTACTACAGATTTGATCATGAAAACGGAGTGAAGCGGGACCCCAACCAGAAACTGCACTACTACGATATGGGCTGGTGGGATCGGTTTATTGTGACCTATGGGCTCTTTTTAGTCACCTATCTGCATAAGTATGCCATTGTGCGGTGGTATCTAAACTTTCGCGTTTGGCTCGTGGATGTTTTTACTTATTACTTGCCCTATATTGCCATTTGGAAGTTTGGAATCAAATCGGCTTACGTGCGGATTTTCCGGGAGGGGGGCGAAGCCCATGATTTTGTTACGAGTCATAAATATGATTAGATATTGTTTTTAGATGTTCTTTCCCGAATAAATAAGTTAAAACGTTATTTGCCATTAAGATAAATTGTCTTTTACTGAAAAAAGTTTGCTTATGTTTTTGAAATAAAAATTCATCAAAATTCATTACATTGGATTTCAAAAAGAGTTATGTAACCCGGCTAATATTTTATTTTCCATGCTTAAACTTAGTTGGCGGCAAGATTTAAAACTTGAATAAAAATAGCATTGCCATTCTTTGGTTTGTTGGGCGCTTTGCTTCTTCCCCACATGAGGGCGCTGCTGTGTGGTGTTTCTTCGGCGGTTTTGGCCACACTGTTTTATGAGCATCGTTCCGGTGCCGTCTGTTTATTTTATTTGGCAACAAAAATCTGATTCTACAATGTTTTACCACGTTAGTTGGATAATTTCAATCATTTAATCACTGAAACAGCTAGTAACTATCTCTTTTCGTAGATATCCCTGGAACATGAGATCCTGCTGCACCCACGCTACTTCGGTCCACAACTTCTGGAAACGGTGAAGCAGAAACTATACTCTGAGGTGGAGGGCACCTGCACAGGCAAGTACGGATTTGTGATTGCCGTTACGACGATAGACCAGATCGGATCCGGCGTTATCCAACCGGGTCAGGGCTTCGTCGTCTACCCTGTCAAATACAAGGCCATCGTTTTCCGGCCCTTCAAGGGAGAGGTGTTGGACGCTGTGGTCAAGCAGATTAACAAGGTGGGCATGTTCGCCGAGATCGGTCCCTTGTCCTGCTTCATTTCTCATCATGTGAGTGATAACCTTATGAGTGTAGTAACCATGAACTAATTGTAATCCCTTCCAAGTCTATTCCCGCTGACATGCAATTCTGCCCGAACGGCAATCCCCCTTGCTACAAAAGTAAAGACGAGGACGTGGTCATTTCTGGAGAGGATAAAATACGACTCAAGATTGTAGGAACACGTGTGGATGCTACTGGAATTGTAAGTCTAAAAGGATTTGATTGCTGGCTTTAGATATTCCCGCTAAAATATAAATTTTTCTTCCATTTAGTTCGCCATTGGCACTTTAATGGATGACTACCTGGGTCTTGTGTGTAACTAAAATCCATCCCCTGCTACAATTACGACCATTTTTGTATACAATTTAAATATATATATTAAACTTTAATGAAATGCATTTAAAGAGTTAAACATCTATGTGTATATAGTAATAAATATGTATGTACTTTATAAGATTTGATTTGTATTTAAAGGTACGTTACATTTGTAATTTAGTGGTAGTTGGTGTATGTTGTCGAGGCTTTATATAGTAATGGATGGACATTAAGTAAACAAACTCCCGTAAAGACAGATATAGCTAAAGATTGTAATGATACATAGTAAAGCACTTAATTTAGGTGTACAACTGAGGAGTACTTAAGAAGCGAAAGCTAGCTGCTACTAAATTCAAAAGATTGCGATTGCACATGGAAATAATGAGAAACGAGATTGAATACGCGATTTGGAATTCTATACAAAAAGCGCGCCACAGGGCTCACAGATCCCACGAGAAAAGATGGTGCTTCACCAGCATGTCCCGCACTCCGTCTTTGAGCGGCTGTGATTCCTTGCCACGCTTTGGGGGTAGCTCCCAGTCAGGATTCAGGTTGAAGGCGAACTGCGATAGAATGCGAAGCTCGCATTTGATCTGCACCCAGCCTGGAGAGTCAATGAAACTCCAGGTGTGGTACCACTTTTGCACTACTTCTTGGCACGCGCATAGCACTTCAAGCCACAGGTGAAGAACTTGTTCGTTTAGTCCCAAACAGATGAGCGAGCGTAACTTGACGTCCATCTGGGCATGAGCGTCGTCGTGCGTTTGATTTATAGCCTGGACGCAACGGTAAAGAAGCTCCTCTGGTGTCAGCACCTTTCCATCCTCATCCAGGCGGTACGTTTTGCACAAAACCAAGCGACTGTAAACGGATTCGAAATCTTTTTCCACTTCCCGCGTGGCAGCCTCCTCAATATAGAGCCATGGGTGGATAGGTCCACCCAGAAATGTGGGTCTTTTCATGCCGTGTTCCAAAAAGGCCTTAATTGCAGGTGCCAGGGTGCCTCTCACCAGATCTGTGACAGTCTCCGATATGGCATCATCCCCAGCCGATGTGTACAGTTTGCTCCGTTCGTCCAGCAGTTCAACGAATTTGGCTGGAAACCAGCCTCGGAGCCCGTTTAACTCGCCAACCCAGCAGTGTTCGTCCTTCTGGCTGATGATTGTAATGATGTCGTTCCGCCGGAAGCCCAATTCATCGTCGTCGTGGCGTTCGAAGTCATGCAGGGCTTTGGCCCGCCGCTTTCGCGTTCTCGCCACGTTGATGAAGTTCTCATGGTCCTTGGCGTGGGACTCGCTGCTGTAGTTGGCCGTTAGCTGGATATGCCCAGCCAGCTTAGGCTCGATGGTGATAAAATGTCGACCCACTTTGAGGATAGCTTCGCGTAAATCAACCAGAATCTCCGTTTGACGAATGTTCTTGTTTTTCAGCTGATCAGCTTCGCTGCCATCGCCTCGAAACAGGAACGCCTCTAGAATGGACTTGCTCTTGCGGACTTGCCTTCGAGCTAACTGTTGCTTTGGAAGATTTGGTGCTGCTTCAGGATTGCCGATCTGGTGGCCTTGGTCCGCCATGAGATATGCCAAATGTCTTCGACGGTGGGTGTCGATTACAGTTTGACTAAGGGAGCCTCCCACGTCTAACGCCTGGCGAAAGAGCACTTCCACATCGGTGACCTCTCCCGGAATGTCGGAAAGGGAGTTGAAGATCTGCGCAGAGTTTTCCAGATGCTTAAGCTCCTGCTCCTTAACTTTAAGCATTCCGAGCGTCAATTGGAAGAGCACAATTGAGCCCTCATAGAAGAACCAATCCCAGATTCGGACCAGGATTTTCATGTGGACGACATTGGCGAAAAGTGTGAGGAACCAGTGAAGAGTGATGAGGGATAGTTCAATGTCGTGCTTCTTTAGCGATTCATCCACGCTGCTCAAGTAGTTGGCAATGAGCGTCTGCATCACTCGCTGGTCCGCCTGGATTCCCAGAAGCGTAGAACTGTAGTAAGAGGCAGGAAGCAGATCCTCAACAATAGTGGCCATCATCCAAAAGGCGTTCTCCTCTTCCATAAACAGTAACAGACAGGCTACGATCACACCAGTGCCCTGGCAATATCCAATGTCAGGAAAAAGCCACGCGATTCCTCTAAGGATGCGACGAAGTCGAGGTATCCCCGTCCCGTTTGGATTGCTGAAGCAGGCGTTAGTGGGCAAGATGCGCAGCAAGTCTTTTTCTATTTGTTTTGAAGTCATGAGCTGGTCATTGCTGGAGGCTGAATAAAAATATGCGATGTAACTTCAGCTTAAGGTGAGTTTAAAACTATATAGTCTTACCCTTTACTATATCCTGGTAGCTGGTCTCGCTTTTTTGTCTCTTGGCCAGCGCACCAGAAAGCCGCATCCACATTTGAGCACGCAACGTGTGTGGGATGCCCTGGCGCACCATGTTGCGCAGCTTTTCGGTGCGTGGGAGCAGTACATCCACGTGCTCCCAGCTCAGCTCGGTTGCTTCTTTGTTGTGTGAGAACTCCAGATGAGCAATCCACTGTAGTCGCTGTTGGGCGTCCTCCACGAAAGGAATGCTTAACAACTTGTTTGAGCTTTGCTCTGGTCCGTCTTCTTCCTCAACGCGGAAGCCAAATTCGTCGAATCGGTACTCGGGCTGGTCGTTGGGGCCGGAGGCCAGCTCTGCCCCTCCACCCAGTTTAGCGAGAATCTCCTGAGGCCACATGGAGGCTGTGAGGGCAGAGAAGGGTCCGCCGGGATTCGGTCGCAGTCCATCGGCGACACTTAGTTCTTCCATCATGGGCGGCAGCTCTCCCAGATCATCTTCCGAGCCCAGGTTCTGAAGTTTGCGCTGTTGGCAGTACCAATGCGGAACGATAAATATTAATTACTCTGATAAGCAATCTTTTCTGATGAATTGACGTTACCGTATGTTCCTCACGGCCCACGTAACCCTCGTGATCTCGGCCGAAGATACTTCTGGCCATGTCCATACTCCCCGCTGTTTGGTTCCCCTAAGCTTCCCAGTCAAGCATTCAGCGAATATATTCTTCCAGTGTATCTTGTGTGTGTGTTAAAAACAAATCTTCAGTTTTCACTCTGCATTGTTTGCAATTGGTATTAACGCTGATTTCACTGTCAGCTGTTTGGTTAGCGATAACGATGGTATTGATTTTTAGTCAGCCCTCAAAACCCATAGGTGGATCAAGGGGGTCCGCTCCTGGAAGACCCTTCAGTAATAATTAAAATTAACACATTGGATTGTTTTTTTTATGAATAAAAGAACATAATTTTCTTTAGTTTAAGCTCGATTAAAGGTATAATCTCCACCAAACAAAACCCTACGCCCATGTTCAGGGCTACTAAAACAGCACCTGTTGATTAAAAAGACAGAGCATATAGTTTCTTAATTTCATTAAGTAAAGGGAAAATAATTAAGTAAGATTAACAAAATGTGTTTTGAAAAATTATCTTAAAAGTTATATTATTAATAAGCCGATAACGATAACAGATAAAAAATAGATAAATCGATTGGTATACAAAAATCAGCTGTTTGGTGGGGAGGGTTTTCTTTACCCGATGCAATAAACAAAAAACACAAAAACAATGCAGATAAAGCCTATAATTACATGTAAGTTGTGATAGATTTGACGCCAATATTCTAAGAAAATTATATATTTTCAACAGACTCCGGCTCATGCCCCCTTTTTCGCTCGCTGGAGTCGCAAATTCTGAACGCCATTCCCCTGGACACTTGTGAGTGGAGACGAACTTTCCAACGGCCCACAAAACATGTTCGCTTAGAGGCCCAGACTCAGCAGTTTAATGTGTCCTCCCTGGAGAAGTACAAATCCGGAGAATGGAGCATCTTGGAGCATCCAATACTGCACATCTTTGTCACGGAGTGCAATGTGAGTTGGCAAATGGCCACAGAACCATCTCTAATGTCATGTATTTGCTTTAGGATGTGGACACCTACAAGGCTACCATCAAGGAGGAGATTGACACCTGGCTGAAGTTATTAAACAGCTATGGTGTTACAGACTGGATGATTCTGTTGGTGGAGACACTGGACATGCGCAAGACAAAAAACTTCATGCCACGCACAACGGTGCTGGACAAGATTCGCTTAGACTTTGGTAGCAAGAACGACGATCGCTGCATCTCCGTGCTAAACCCAGCCAAGTTTGAGCAAAAGTCCACAGAATCTTTTCGCTGCCTGGTGCAGAGGATTCGCTTTCTAATGCTTACTAGCTACAACCGAAATATTGTCAAATATGAAGAGCTTATCCGTAGCAAGCGCGAGAAGCGGAATCATGATGGCTGGGACTTCCGACAGTACTTCTTCATGCAGGAGGATCTGGCGCTAATTTTTGAGAAGTTAGAGCTGCCCACTGAGGCTTTAATTCAATACGATGAACTAGATGCCATGTTCTCGCAATTCGTCACACACACGGGATTGAACGAAAAGCAACAGTGGCTGAATTACTTTAGGAAGCCCTTGGACTCTTTTCACGGCATTTGTCTAACCCGACCCGATAAGTTTGAGATGCGGGCAAAGATTCGAGATGAAGGAGTCTCACTATTGGAATTCCGAAACTACCTGTTTGAGCGACAAGCCTATCTGTTACTAACTTGCAATGATATTCCGGAGATAGCTAAGCGTCTTCTCAACTTCCTTTTCTCCACATTACGCGAAGTGGAGTTCATTAAGCTGGAGTGCCAGGAGGGAGCACTGTGCTGTTGGGAATTCGTTTGTGCTCTAGAGGTCCTCCAACTATGTGAACAGGCAATGGAGCCCAATGAAGTTACATGTTTTCAGCATTGTGCTCCTATTTGGAATTTAGCCAAGGACAAGTTGTATGAACTGGGCAAGCTATGTGGCTTGCTGCCAGGTTGTACACCCACATCCGAGCAGTTGCACATTGTAGTTCAACTGTCCTCTGGAATAGGAGATGCTCCGCCAGAACAGCAACAGTTTCTGCAGGCCACTCCACAGCTACGCGAACGTTCCCCAAACCGCAAGCCTAAGAAGTCGGCGGCGCAACAGCTCAAGGAAGCCCTTGGCTCTAATCAAGCCTTCCAGAAGCTTTACCTTGAATTAGCCGAATTGGCCATCAGTACGTACAAGCATGTGGCTCGTCTGCGATCCGCTAGATTGGTGGGCTTGGACTTGGGAAAGTTTTATTGCGCCCTAAATGAACCGCACAAGGCGGTGGGATTCTTCACTGATCTCCTCAGGGAACTGAAGGCGGAGAATTGGCATTCACTCAGTTCTCAGACACTATTGGAGCTTGCCAACTGTTACCGCAAGATGGGCGACTCCATGGCCTACACCAAGACTTGCAGTTCCATTTCTTGTTGTGTCGAGCTGGAGACACTGGTTCGAACTTTCTACTTTGATGAGTTCCTTAAATCTCTAAAGACTCTGAAAACCACGCTTTCTGCTCAGCCGTCCATGGAAAATGCCAATTTTTGTGTTCTGGAAGATCACTTTCGCATCGTTGACATTGAGGTTGCCAACCAGAAGCCCATTATTCAAGATGACTTCATAGTGGTTCACCTAAAAGTGGATAGCCTTTATCCCCGAGAAATTGTGGCGGAAAACATAAAACTGTGCTACGAGCTGCAGGCGGCTCCCTTGGAAGTGGCTATGGAGAATGTGTCGTTGACTGCTACACCCTCAACAACAAAGGTTAAGGACACAACTGCACGTCTGAAAGTTTCCCTTCAACTGGCCTACAAGCAGGACAATCGGCTTCACTCGGCCTCCGTATCCTGCGATACCCCAAAATCGAAGCAGCCCGTGAGGCGCACCAGCAGCACAAAGCGGAAACTGTCTCCTAGTGTTCAGGCAGATTTTACCAACTTTGTCCAGGCGGAGAACATCGCTCTGCAGCCTGGAGTTAATTTTGTCGAGCTAAAAGCAAAAGCCACTCGGGTTGGTAGCTGGACTTTCAAGCAGGTGGGTATTCACATAAAAACTATTATCGTTTAACGGAAGCATCATTTTCTCGTTCAGCTCTGCGTTAGTATGTCCAGCCTTGAGTTCCTATCGGAGCAATTGCCTTTTGTGCCGCCCTGCTTTGAGATCAGCACAAAGCCAGCCAGTGCGGCATTGGAGTTCAAAACTCTGACAGCGGGCATTGTACAACCCATTAGCTTGAACGTTTCCGGAGGCAGTTTTATTTTTCCACCGGATGCCAAAATAACGCTTCGCTGCTCCAAGAATCTGAGGATGCGTCAAGCCCAAGACCCCGCAAATCTGGATGCCTATAACGACGATTCCACGTTTGAGAGCCAGTTGCAAGTGCCGCTATTACACTTTAAATCGTTCGAGGATCGTAGTATTCCGCTGGAGGTGCTCTCGGATATGCCGGGGCGCAAGGTGTCCAAACACCACGAGCACCACATTTCCCTCACTTGCCCGTGGTCGCGTAGTGAACTGCCCATACCAGTTGATTTCCAGCCCGCCATGGAGGCGACTTGTAGGCTGCACACCTGTGGCACCCAAAAGTTCCTACAAGTGATAATGAAGGGCCTGGATGCTCACCTTCTATTGCAGCAGGCAAAGGTGAAGTGCGATGTGCCCGGTGTGCAGCTGCTTGACTTGAATCCCTCGCCGCAAGATCCAATCGTAAGTAAATAATTTCCTTCAATTGCAAGAACTAATCCTTGATGTCAACTTTTAGGAAATCTACAAATCTCTGACTGTCACATATTTGTACGAAATTCAAGTGGAACCTTTAAAGACCGAGCACGAGTTGCCCATCGTCAAGGTGCACTTTGTAGTCAAATACGCCCCGGTGTCCCAGCCGGATGTCTTGAGGAATTACGGTTGCGCTTTCGATCTTGTGGACTATACCACTCTCTTTAAGCTGCAAGCCCAGCTGGAACCAAATGAACTGTGCCGCCTGCGCACCGTGTGCAACATGAATCTGAAGATCACCAAGGTCCATGAGAATCCTTACACGGATCTGATGTACGAGGTGCTCAATGACCAGAATCTGTGGGCCGTTTGCGGGCGCTCAGCGGGTGAGTTGGTTTTGTTTGAATTACTTTCATTGTCTTTGTTTATTGTTTAATTCTTATTTTTCTACACACACGATTTACTTTTGCATTTTAAGATATGGGTAAGTTCTTTGGTGAAGGACACAAGTAGCACTACACTAGCCTAGAATAGTTTACCAGCATGTTTAACTTATTTCATACTTTCTATTTCTTATTAGAAGCGCTTAACACTCCCAGCTTTGAATCAGAAAACCTTAACCTCATTCAAAATTTGCTAATCGTTTATGTTTGACAGCCTTTAATACGCCTTACTAATTAATTGAAACATTTCAGGTGTTGTCTCCATGAAAGACGTAGACAGTCACTCCATATCGCTGGATGTTATGCCGCTAAGCACCGGATTTTTACCCATGCCTAGCATCCGACTATCTAAGTACACCGCCGGTGGCAAGAGCAAGACCGACGGCCACTCCAAAGTGCATCCTTTTCCGCCCGGACAGGTCTACAACTCCACGAAGAGCATGCAAATCCATGTCATTGCCAGTGTAGCCGGCGATCAGTAAAAACCAAAAGCCAATTTAATTTAAGTGTATATTGTTTAAATATATGGCCTGGGGTCAAGTATTATTTATCAAATATTGTTATATTCCAAAATACAATACTCAAATTAATGTCAAGCTTTTAAAGAGGCCAGATCTTGGGCAAGTTTGGCCAGCTGCTTCTCTTCAACGCGATAGTAGTGCCAGCCCTCCTTGGCAGTCAAGTCCACAGCCCCAAGGCTTTCGTAAAACTTGCGGGCGGGATTCCACTCCAGAACGTTAAACTCCAAACGCGGGCAATTTAGCTCCACGGCTCGGGCGGATACCTCCAGGAATATACGTTTACCAGCGCCGCGTTTTCGGTGCTCTGGTCGGACGTAAATGTCCTCCACGAAAAAGTAGCGACCTTGCCAGGTGGAGTATGCCTTGTAACAGATAGAATACCCAATAGTTTGCCTGGGAATGTTAAAAATGCAAGTGTGAAATTGTCAGAGGATAAATATTTGACAGGCAAATGGATTTTTGTTTGAAATGGCCCTGAGAACACAATTATTTTCCTTATCAGCTATTGGTTTAACTCACTTAGTGGTATTGTCTATGAGGACATAAACTTCACAGTCTTCCTGCTCCCCAGTAAGTCCTGCATCACGCTTGAGAACTAAGTTTTGAAATTTTCATAATTCAGGAAACCTATTGGTATATCTTTGTTTAAAATACTCACCCTCCTCTGTTAGTTGGGGTCCGTTGCTCATTTTTTCAAAGTCAGCAAGTTCCTGCATATTAAATGTTTATATCTTATAAGATATATAATACGTTTCTTTACCTGTATCATTGCTAATACATCTTTTATATCATCCACCTGAGCACGCCGGAAAGTAAATTCATCGCTCTTCGACATAGTTACTGCCTTTTTGTCCACTTAATCAAAACTGAACCTGGCGACTACTATTTTTGAGTAGGTACGGTCTTATCTGGGTGGGGAACTCATAAACACCTCGTATTACTAGGGATGAGCCGTAATCCCGTGACTTAATGCCGTGCCTCCCAAAAATATTTAAGGAATTAGGATTAAAACAATATTACAAGAAACAGATTACAAAATGGGGATTGAGAAATAATATTTGGTTATAAACCTATATAATTACTATTAATTGTAACTAATTACTATATTTTTCACGTGTTATCTTAAAATATACATATATATTTATCTCTTCTTAAAAACTATATCCTTTACTAAAATATTAAATATTTAAAAAAAAAACAAAATTCACGTTCGAAAAAAAATTTGAAGCATATTTTTGGGAGCAAAACGCAAAAAGATTCTTTTACAAGAATTTAATCTTTTTTTCCATTTATGATTATCAACCTGGGGCGAAATTTAGTAGTAATATTTTATAAATATATGTATAGAAAATGAATTGTTGTTAATTAGTGGCACTTTGCTTGGGTTACAGAATTATGGCGTCGCTCTTATCCGTGAAGTGCCCCATACAAATGTTTGTCAAACAGATTTATTGTTTGAGGGAAAGGTTTTCTTAGTAAATATTTTCCTTCGACCGTCCCAATGTGACGCCTCATTGGGGTCTTATCAATATTTTTTGGTTCTCTCACTTTTGATTCATTGTATTGACTTAAATGTTCGGTATATGAGCCCAATAATGTCACAACTTATCTGATAAGTGGAAATCGATTTGTTGTTTCTCTCGTACTACACAGATAGAATCAGAACGTTGCTCGGGCTGGGCTAGATTTTGGGTTGATCTCTCATGAACCTGATTGGTTCTGACCCAGGCACCTTGAATTTGATGGGGCTATCAGTTGCCCCGGGCCCGGGACCCATTAGTAGTGCCTGCAGCTAGTAAATAGAGTCGACCTCTTGCCACACAGCAGACTCAATTTATATATATTTTTTCAATTTTGTTTCCATTTTGTTGTTTTGTACAAATCCCGGCTTATCTCCGCTTCGTCACGATGATGTGGCTATGGATTATGAAAATATAACTCAAATCCATGGGGTATGGGTTTTATATTATTTATGTACAAGTCGAGCGCTAAACGCGACCCGTTCGTAATGGAGCCTGTATTTCAATTTTCATGTGCGAGAATTCCTGCTTGGGTTGGATTCGGGGCAGGATAGCCTTATCTCAAAGGCCTGTTGTTTATAATGTGGGGCTTTTTTTATTTTAATAAATTCCATTTAAACAGCCGAGATTATGTAGAACTCGCTCGGACTCAGCACTATAGCTTCAACAAAATAAACCCAAAGCCCCAGTCGAGCTAAAACGATAAACCGCAGCTTAAGCACAGAGAGAAAATGGAAAGCTACAGTATTTGTAACAATAAAATATTAGAATATTAATGAAAGTCTGTTAAGATATATAAGTTTGGTACTAACATCTATGGTAAATATTTGTGTCTATATATTAATATTATTCTTTAATATTGAAAATAAAAAGAAAGTTTTTGAAGTGCATCCCACTCACTTGGAAATTTTATCTTTTAACCACAATGCATCTTCCGGGCTTCGCAGTAGCTCTTTACGATAAATAACTGTATAGCTATAGCCACTGCCCGCACCCTGGCACCCACACATCCTTATCAGTTGTGGTCCTACAAGAACTCCTCCTTCCCCTATCCGTGACCCGCACCCCGGAGCGACCCCCTTCCAGAGCCTGATCCGCCTTCTCCCTCTCTGTCGGTCTTCTATTGTTTCTAGTAGACGGAGTCGGCTTAAAGTTCTTTTTCGCCAGGTTATTTACCTCCTTATCTCACCAGCATTGTTCCCTTGCTGCTTCTGAATCCGATTCGTTTTTATCAGTATTGCTGTTTGCAATATGTTTGCTCTCTGTTTTTTTTCTGGTTATCAATCCACATGACGTCACGAGAGCCGGCGTTTTAGGTTTCTGAAATATTTTATCTTGGAATTTTTTTCCAAACTTGCTCATTTTAAAATTTGACTTGGCAGACACATGGGCAGGGGTTCCACTTTTTTTTCTTTATTATTTTGGTTTGTTTTTGTTTATATGCTTTATCACTTGCCGAGGGAGTAAGAAAATAGAACGAGATAGATAGTCAAGGTCGAATGAGCTTGGTTATCAATGTTTAGAAGGGTTTAAATCGAATTTTCCTTTTTAATCTTTGATTCATAAGTGTTATAAAGTTTTTACATTCATTACTTCTTTAAAAAAAATATACAAAAATATGATATATTTTATATTAATTTTTACAACTAGTATTAAATGATCATCAATGAAATATGTAGTATGATTATGATTATAAAATGTTTCAAATCTTATCTGAAGATAATACCTATTTAACCTAATTGTTATTACCAATTTATTAAAAGCTTATGCTCTCGAGGGAGCCTTCGTTCTAGTTTCTTTGAGAAGAACTTACAAACTGCCTCCGATAGTGGCAGTTTGTGGATTGGCAATGCTCTCATCGTCTCATCATCAAAACCCGGCCAAACAAGTGGGAGCGTTGATAAGGACACAACCCACTGGTGGGCCATATGACTCGTTAAGTCGGAGAGTTGCCCCGATAAGGATAGTCGCGCGACCAGCGCGTGATGCAAGTTAATCAAATCGGGTTTTGGTATCGCTACCCTCGCCGCCTCTCGCTCTATCTCTGGCGCCGTCCTGTTCGCTCCCGTACAGTGGCAATGGGAGGCGCCGGTGGGGCTGGGTCGTCGGGATCCGGATCCGGTCCCAGACACAGACCCGGCTCAGATAGCCATATCTTGGCGGCGTCCAATCAGCAGCCAAACTACACCAAAGTACACGGCGCGCAATGAGTTCGACGGTTGTTTCTGCCCCTCTGCCGATAATAAGTACAATCGTTACTTTACTTTTGCTGTGTAATTGTTGCTGTTGTTGTGGTTGTTGTTGTTGCGTTTTTGAAAAGGTGATATGAAATGTGCTCTGATAAGTTTTAATCAAGAATATTTTACTCGTATTGCTTTGGGTGGCTCTCTGGGCCGAGTAGCATTTGAAAAGTTGTAGTAGTAGGTCGAAGCGCGGATGCGGGTTCGGTCCGTATCGATACACTCCTGTTTTCCGTCTACCGTTTACCCTGCTACCCGGTAAGATCCCATCCGAGACCTGGTGGGCAGTGCCCGGCGATAATCACAGTGATCTTCCGGTGATGCATTTTTCTGGGCGTGCAACCGAAGAAACCCCTTTCCGAGCTCCGAACAAAAAAAGAAAAAAAATGTTGCGCCGGCGCATGGAAAATCCTTTAAATATGTTTAACCACAAAAACGACGTGAGTCTAACCAACACAAATCGAGCCATGGAAACGGAAATCGAGGCGCCCCGGGAAAGTCCCCCTGCCCCTCGGGAAAGAGTTATAATCCGTCGGCGTGACCTGTGTGACACTTTCATTTGGCGGGTGAACGCCCACTCATAATCCGGTCAGTATCGAAATTGTACGGTATAAGTATGTGAGATCGGATAACCAGATGCCCCTTTCCCTGATGCCCGGGGTTCGGTCATCATCGATGCAAACCACATGTGCCAAACGCCCCTCATAATGAGCGCATCTGAGCTGAGCACGGAATTTGGAAACCGCCCGAAATTCTCCCGAATTAATATTTCTACAAATTTCCGGTCGTTGTGGGAATATTGGCTGGAAATCGAAAAGATTCCGTCTGGTATTCCAAAGATTCCCAATTGGTAAGTTCCCAGAAGCCTACTTTTCTGTCAAATTTGTTTTCGAAAAACTGCGCTTTAAGCTTTGGAATTTCCTGCACTGTCAACAGTATTATAAATTTTAAAATTTATTAAAATTAGCCTAGATTAGCAAAACGATTTAAAAGCAATTAAAACTTGTAAAAAGTCAATTAACAAAGTGGAAGAAAATGAAAAGTCGAAGGAGCTGTTTAATAACAAAAATGGAAACATTGGAACCCAAATGGAAATGCAGGGAGAATTATGACGATTACATGAAACCAGCATGACGATCAACGAACCCAAAAGGCAAAAAACTCGGGGCTCTCTCGTCCAACCGAGGAGCTGGGGTTAGTCCAGAGCCCCGGGGCTTTCGTTGCCTTTGGAGCTCCCAACAAGCAGTGACACCCAACAAGTGGTCATATACCATTTAAATTGCGCCCATGTATGTCTATATAAGTGTATATGGCATGAACCATATAAATATATGTACTTCTACTTAAAACAGAAAAACAAAATGCAAGTCAAATGCTGGAGCTCCGTTTCCCTAGACCCTCCGCCTTTGCGGTTGTTGGGTTGCGACGCCGTCGCCGACAACAACGATGTTTCTTATCAACATGCCCCAACAACCACAAGCAACAGGCATACATTATATATGGGGGAAAAATATATTCACATATACATATATACAAAAAAACAAGAAAGGAAAGCTAACTTCGGGCGGAGCCGAAGTTTATATACCCTTGCAGTTAAAACCGGATATATATCGCAAACATCGGATATAGTTGGCCGATCCTTATGGGAATAGGAATATATACTCCAATTTATTACAATACAAAATCTAAAAAAAGTCCCAAGCTTCTATCTTCAAAAATACGAAAGTTGATATTTCTATTAAATACCATTTCCGATCGTTCAGTTATATGGCAGCTATAGGATATAGTCGGCCGATCCTAATGAAATTTGGTAGGTTGGATCAACTGACCAAAAATAGAGTCTGTACTAAATTCCAGCTTTCTATCTTCAAAAACACGAAAGTTGGGTCATTTCCGATCGTTCAGTTATATGACAGCTATAGGATATAGTCGGCCGATCCTTATGAAATTTGGCATGTCGTATTATTTTGCCAAAAATAGCTCTCACCTAAAATTTAAACTCTCTAACTCTAAAAATACCAAAGTTATACCATTTCCGATCAATCAGTTATATGGCAGCTATAGGATATAGTCGGCCGATCCGGGCCGTTCCGACTTATATACTGCGTGCAAAGGAAAGAAGGGTGTGTGCAAAGTTTCAAGACGATAGCTTTAAAACTGAGAGACTAGTTTGCGTAGAAACAGACAGACGGACAGACAGA